ATCCCAGTACCGGAGGGCAGACTGTGAAGCTTGGTGGTGAGACTCTTGTGGTTGAAATGCCCTCATCTTCCAAGGATGATGTCACCGGACATGCATTGGATCTTGGTCTGACCTACGAAGGCATGTTGCGTGAGTTGAGTGCGCTTGAGTCCCTTGCAGTCGGTGATGTGATGTGGCATGTGGATCCGAAGCAGAAAGTGATATCCACAAGATGGGTGTCAAATGCAAAGCTGGAGCGGGTTGACGGCAAAGAAAGACCACTGGTTCGTTGTCGGGTTGTTGCGCGTGATTTCGCCCAGGGAGCAACGGCTGCTCAGCTTGGCATTTCTGCGGCGACCAGCTCAGCCGAGGCATTGAGGACCTTCCTCTTTTATGCCGGCTCGAAGAGGCAGAACGTCGTAGGCCTCGACGTCAGTACGGCGTTCTTGTTCGCAGAGTTAGAAGAAGAAGACGGCACGGTGGTGGTGCGGCTCCCTGCTGGAGTTACCGGTCCCAATGGACGCCCTGGGTTCATGCGACTTCGCAAGGCTCTTTATGGGTTGAGAGCCGCGGCCCAGACCTGGGCTCGTCATCTCGCAAAGCTCCTCAAGCGCCTCTGCGACCTCACTCCATGTGAAACAGAGCCATGCCTCTTCTCAGGTGTGGTTCTCGGTGGACAGAGGGTGGCAGTGTTGTGCTACGTAGACGATCTCCTCATCAGCGGCGACAGCGACGAGGCCATCTACTACGTGGTGGAGAAGCTTAAGAGCGCGGTGAAGATCAAGGTGACCGCTGACTTGGATCGTGATCAGCAAATCACGTTTCTTGGTCGTCAAATCACCAGGAAGAAGGGCGAGGACTCTTTGGTGATTGGCATGGCAGGCGAGTACTACCAGGAGATCTATGAGGGTTTTGGACTTGGGAAGAGTCCGAAGTCTTGCCCGACGCCGCCGAATCTTCGAGAACTTTACGACAGAGAAGAAGAAGTCTTGGAGCGGGAGTTGAGCTCAGAAGCTGCTGCTCGATATCGCTCTACGCTGGGACGCCTTTCATGGTTGGCCATGACGCGCGTGGATCTAGCATATTATGTTTCCATGCTAGCTCGAGGCCAGGCCAGTCCACGTGAGAAGCATGAACGTGCGATGCGGATGGTATTACGGTATCTTCGGCATGTTCAGGACTTTCGACAAGTCGTCCATCCAGTTGATGAATGGAGCCTTCGGTTGGATTGCTACGTGGATGCGTCATGGGGCAGTGAGAGGAGCGTTGATCGCAAGAGTGTGAGCGGTGGTTGCATCATGCTTGGTGGTTTCTGCTTGAAAGCGTGGTCACGGCTTCAACAAGCTGTCGCTCTCAGCTCAGCAGAGTCGGAGTTGTACGGATTGGTTGAGGGAGCAAAGGAATCACTTTCAATCCGAAGGGCAATTTCCCACGTGTTTGGATGGGAGGAGTTGTGCGCACCGCACCTCTTTTGCGACTCCGAGGCCGCCATTGCCATCAGCAGGGCTGACGGCTTGAGGCGTGTCAGGCATATAGATCTGAGAGCATGCTTTATACAAGATCAGCTCCGACAGCGACTTCTCTTCATCTTCGGAGTGCGAGGAGCCTCCAACGTCGCCGACCTCTTCACAAAATCGTTAGATGCCCGGACTACGTTGAAACACATGTTGAGCCTTGGTTTGTCCGAAGTCACTGTTGCAGCTTGCGTTGGTGAGTTGGCGTGTTTCGTTGGCTTGCTTGGTGCTGCTGTGGCTGGCAAGGATCATGTATCTCTTGCAGATCGGTATCGTTTGATGGAGTTTGCCAAGTGGTTGGTGGTTGAGTTCTGTGCGCCTCCCATGTCGAGCATGTTGGCTGCGTCGCGAGCGTGCTCCTGGGTTGGTGTGTTGACTGTCAGTGAGGCAGATGACGGCGGAGACCCGGCCACTACAGCGCAGCTTCAACAGATCTGCACTCTCCACATCCGCAGGGGGGGTTTCGTCTACTTGTGGGCTAGTACTCCGTGCACCGGTGGTTGTCTGTACCAGCATCTACATGCACGTGATCCAGCCTACAGACGCGGTCGCTTGGCACGGCACTGGTCGCTACACAGGAAGCTGTGGAAGGCTTTTATGTCGCTGTGTGACTACGTCCATGCTTGGTCGATCGAGTGGCCCCGAGCCTGTGCTTACTGGTCATGGAACCAGACTATCCGTTTTCTGCAGTCGCGACCGTACATGTTGCACGATGTGTTGGTTGACGGTTGCTCGCTTGGCATGCGTGGTCGAGATGGCGAGTTGATCTACAAACGTTGGCGTGTTATCACGACGATGGAGTCGGTTGCTCGCAGCTTGTCGGTCTTTCGGTGCCCAGGTGATGGTCATCCACATTCCGCCAACTTCGATCTCAAGAATACCCAACACTACCCGGAGAAGTTGACGAACGCTTTCTTGCACGCGTTAAACGCATGACACCGCGAGATTTGCTCAAAGTTTTTCCTCTTTTTACTTTGCCTTCGGTACGGTGTATAGAGCGTAGGACGTGCCATGGCTGATATGGTCGAGGTTGAAAACGCTGTGAGGCGCACTTGGGTTCGAGAGCTCTGGATGCAATGGGTTCCTCAGCAGCAGGTGGAAGTCAGTTTGATCGCCTTCCTTGCGATGTTTTCCTTGGCGATGCTTGGCAGCTTCCTCGCTGGAATCTTTGTGCAGCAATACCGACAGCGTCACAGCCATATTCTATCTTTGAGTGAGCTTCTTGCCTTTCTTCCGGTGGAACAAAGTCGGAGAGCAATTATCACTACGCGGCATGGATACGCCTTTCATGTTCGCAGCGATTGCCGCCCTGCGCAATACCCACCCAGGCAATCTGCAGCGTCGAGTTGCTTGTGAGCTTTGTCTGCAATACTTGCGCGTGGACCAGCCGACACCCACCGTGTCGAGGGGGGGTGTAGAAGTTCGAGAACTGTGCGTCATCCTGTGAGGGTGCGACACGGTGAGTTTTGCAGTTTGCAGTTTTGTGTGCATAGCTTGGAGTCTGCTCAGCTTTTGAAGTTTTCCCAGTAGCCTGAGTACGATTAGTGGTGCAGGAACGTTTTGCCTCGTAGGGAACCACTCTCGTCGAGTTTCGTGACTTGAGGGTAGTTTTGGAGGTCTTTTAAGCCGAGCTGTCAAGTTGGAGAGCTGTGATACGTTTTCCACTTTGGCTCAAGTGACGAGCACTGGTGTGAGTGCTGCAAGCCAAAACAGAAGTGTTGTCCGAGTGTCTGAGCTTGTTTGCTTGGTTTGGACTTGTGTGAGTTGGCTTGGTTGTATCCTTGGTGCCTTGCTTGGCATCTTGGGTTTTTAACGAGCCCCGTGCACGGCCTCGAGCAGCAAGCTCGTTCCAAGGGCCGTGCAGCCTTAGAGAGGCCTGTGAGTCTGTGCCAGGCGCCTGCAAGCAGTGGGATTCATCCATTGACGTGCTGTGTTTCCCACTTCACGTGCTTGTTTTTGGGTGCAGTTTTGGTTGTCGTGTGGGCAACGTGGACTAGGGCTGCTGTTCCTTGAATGCAACTGAACCTTCAGAGTCTGGAAGAGCCGCATTTTGTCAGTCCCTATCACAAGCTTCGGACAGAAGTGAATCAGCTTATTTTGGGTGTGGACGCTTTGCTGCTTCGCATCCAGAATCTTGAACGCCGGAGTGTTAATTTGCTTTCCATTGCAACAGATCATTCCCAGCAGCTTCGTGCGTCTCAGCAAGAAGAGCTGCAGGTGCGTGAAAGTGTTCGGGACCTTGCGGATCGTGTGCTCGCGTTGGAAGAGCGAGTAAAGTCGCTGCGCCTTGACACTGATTCCGCTCTTCGTAGGGCTGGAGATAACGGGATCCAGGTGGCGTGGTGGCTGGATCAACATAATCAGCTGCGTTCTTGGGTGGTCATTAGTGTCCTTTCCCTCTTTGCCTGCTCCTGCAGGTCGTGCGAGCACTGGCCGGGTGGTGCATTGCAGCGCCCCCTGCGTTCCAGTAAGGCCTGATTGGCTTTCGATGGCTTCCGGGTCATCGTGTGTGTGTGACAAAGGGGGGGGGATAAGTCCGATAACCTAGGGGATTTGTTCTTCAGGGCTGCCTTGTGGAATGCCGGTGCAAGACCCAAGCGCCCACTATTGCCGTGGGAATGTGAAGGGTCTATTCTTGCTGACGCACTGGGACAACCGAGTCCGTCCAAAGTTATGAGGGTCGAGTGGCCGTCACAAAGCTTGCTGGACCAGGACGATCTCGCTAGTGTGGTGTCTACTGCCGTTTCGGCAAGTGACGCAGACTTGGCGGGGGCCGGAGGCTTGAAACTTGTTGTGTCCAAAAAGTGGCTAAAGAAATCGGGGCAATGCAGGGCATGGCAAGATGAGCGAGATGCGGCTCGCAATGCCGCGTTACAGTCTTGGAAAGCTTTGATTATGGTTTCGGGCACAGGAACCAAGTTGGGGGCTATCATCCTTGATGCAGCTGAAGAAGACGAAGAGCTGGTTCTTGAGTCGGTCCGGGATGCTTTTTCAGGCAAGGCCACGTCTACGTTACGCAATAGGGCAAACTCGTTGTTGTGTTACGGACGATGGAAGGCCTCGCTTGCAGCTGAGCAAGTCGTTGCAGTGTTTCCGATCACCGAGCAAGAAGCTTACAGGTACATTTGCTACATGCGGCGTGAAGGGGCACCGGTCTCGAGGGTGTCAAGGTTCGTGCAAGCCCTTGGGTTCGCCTGTGGTACCTTGGGAGCCAAGGTGTCTGATGTGCTTGAGTCTCCAAGGGTTAAGGGAGCGTGCAACAACACACAGCCCAGACAGGTGCATAAGAAGGTGCCACTTACCGTCGCTGAGGTGGTCTTTCTTGAGACCTTGGCCGCATCAAGCGCATGTGTGGATGCCATCATCGCAGGTTTTGTGTGTTTCGCTCTTCACTGTCGCTTGAGATGGTCTGACGCAATGCACTCAGAGGAGGAGCCAGTCCTGGATGCGCCTGAAGGAAGGGGGTTTGTTGAAACGAGCCTTTACAGCTATAAAACCGTAGCTGCAATGAAGTTTCGGTTGTTGCCGGTTGTAGCCGTGCTACCGGGAATGTCCAAGCTTGATTGGGCGGGCAACTGGTTGCGCAACCGGAGAGACCATAATCTGGTGGCGAGCAGGAATTGCCCGTTGCAGCTTGCGCCCGTGCCCACAGGGGGGTGGTCGGCATTGCCATTCGAGCCCATGCATGGGGCTATGTGGTTGCGTGAGAAGCTGGCAGGTATGCACGTTCCGGTGAGCCGTCTTAGCGATATTGCAACTCACTCCCTGAAGGCAACGGTGTTGTCGTGGCTGTCGCGTGCTGCGTGCCCGCAAGACTTGCAACGCAGGGCAGGGTGTCACATGTCAACCTTTGAGAAGAGTGCGTTGGAGTATGAGCGGGATGGACAATCAGCTGTACTGCATTTCGTTGAGGGCGTGTACGAGTGCATCATTCATGCCATGTCTTCCCCTGACGCAAGTCGATCTGGTCGTTGGTCGGGATGCAGGTCGGTTGAAGAGGGCATGAAAATTTTGGCAGGCGCCGTTGATGAGGTGTTCCCACGAGCGACCGAGGGTGATGGTGATGCCAGTGATTTGGAAGATGAGTCGGAGCCCGATGCACACGGTGCAGAAGCTGATTCCGAGGATGAGCAGATGATGGCGGAAGTAGCTGTGCATCAGGTCGCAAAGGCCGCGCCTATGGCCATGCCGGAGTGCATAGCCTTTATGCACTGGATGAGTGGAGTTGTGCACTTGAGCCCTGTTGTGACTTCAGATGACGATGGGGAGGCATGCGTGTTCAAGTGTGGGAGGACGGCCAATTCTAACTACGAGCAGCTCAAGTTTGTGCCTTCGTGCAACACCAGACAGTGTTCCGTGTGCTGGATGTGAAAGAATGTGCGTGTAGGCCGTGTAGGGATCTGTGATGTGCGAGTAGGATTCTGTGATGTATGTAGTAGCATTTCGTTGTGTGCATGTACGCAGAATCGATGTTAGGGCGTAGGAGAAGTGTCTCGCGACATGATGCGCGCGCGCATCATAAATTTCACATGCCGGCGGGAGTTTGGGAGAACTGCGTGTTGCTTTCTTGCTAAACGAAACACGGGAGGCATGCCCTGTTTGTGCAGCTTGGGAAGGCCCGAGTGCTCGTGAGGCAAAGGCCCGCGACTGAAAGCTAGCGTGTCCATGGTCGACAGTGAGCCTGTGTTGCTGCGAGGTGCACGCGCATTGGCATCCCGGGAGCCGTTGTGAAGAAGCTTGCTACCCATGGGTGGAACACTTATGCTACCTTTGGCTTCTGCATCCAGAATCATGCTGATGACAAGTCGTTCGAGTCACAGGTCATAGGACCCGTGTTGGGTACCGACCCAGCTATGGTCGCCCACGCTGCGAAGTTGCGTAGGTTGTTCATGGAGTCCTACACTGTGTCTGCGGGAGAAATCAAGAGACAGGCTGAGGCGTCGGAACAGGATGCACCGCGGAAGTTGCCACCACAAGAGATGGCAGCCCGAATCGAGCTGTTGGCAGCGAAGATTGCTCCCTTGAAGATTCAGGATCGCCTTGAGCCATCCCAGAACTTGGTTAGTTTGGCATGCCAGATGTTGGATGAGGGTCGTGTCAAGTACATCTCTTGGGCGCAGTGCACCACAAGGTCGCAGGAGATCAACGCTGTCAAGGAGATCAATAACCTTAAGATTTGGCAGCCAGCCAAGGATGGTGTCATCAAGGAGACGCGTGTGGAGCCAGGCATGACAGCGGCAGTGGCTACGGAGCTTGAGGTTCACCAGGCGCTGCGTCGCAGAGGCATTGCTTATGCTGTGGCACAGGTGATGTCCTTTGCCCGTCATGAAGAACTGATAGCCCTCTTGTTTGATGAGTTGCAACGCGAGGCAAAGGCTGGTTTCCACCCCGTGTCGCTGGCTCAGCTTGCGCAAGCGGACAGAGAGATTCACGTTCGGCTGGGCGAGGCAACCAGGGCAGGTCTGGTGAACGGACCTGGTGGTGAGCTCCCGCTTGATGTTCCGTTGACCCGTGTCTTGCAGAGCCCGGCGGTCATGTGGTTGCTCATGCCTCGACTCAAGCAAGGGTCAGCGCCAGCAACCGAAGATCCGGAGGCGGCTGAAACGCCCAAGAAGAAGAAGACTCGAAAAAACAAGAAGAAAGACCCGAAAAAGGAGGCGGATGTTGAGACACCGCCTGCCAAGAAGCGTCGGGTTCCCATGCCAAAGGCGCTGATTGGCGGCACACCCGAGGATCCTGAGGCACTGAGGGAAGCTCGCTGTGTTTCGGGTTCTCGTTGAAGACCTGTAAGGTGCATGGACCGAAGTGCGACAAAGGTCTGCACAAGTGTTGCTTCTGCTATGGGCATCATCCTGGTGTCGAGTGCAGAAGCAAGAAGGCGTGACGTGAGGGTCATGCCGTGTCCGTGCTTGACGATGGGGGGGCCGAAGGGCCAAGCCTTGATGCTCATGTGAAGCCTCCGGCGGGAGGTGATCCGTGGGCGTCCGTGCATCGTCGGGTCAAGGGGCCTAAGTTTGTGCAAAGCCATTTGCAGCGTGTGCTTGCGGCTAAGGGTCCGGTTTTGTTGAGCCATGAAGCGGTTCATAAGCCGTGCAGCCTTCATGGTGTGGGACACTCGCCTACTGATTGTGATGCAGCTCAGCATCCTGCTGAGAGACTTGCGGCCACGATCAGCAATCCTGACAACAATGATATCCTCAGGCTGTTGAAGCTGTTACCGTCAGAGAAGCCAGCCCGAGGTGTTGCGCAGCCGAATTCACATTCCTTCAGCACAGGTGCTTTTTCTAAAGATGGACGGGTCGGGGTGCGTAATTTTCTTAAGGAGTTTCCTGTCACATCGCGTCTCTTGACGGCTTTCGTGCGCAGACACGCCCCGGGGCAATGCTTTGGGGCCGTAGCGCTCTTTACCAATCTTGAGGCAGATTTTCACAAAGATGTCAACAATGATGCATCATGTCACAATTGGATATGCCCCCTCTCGCATTGGGAGGCTGGCGGCGATGTCTGGGTCGAGGACGAACAAGGCTCTTCCTGGCAAAATGCCCGTGGTGTGTGGCGACGAGGCCGCCTTTTGCCCGTACGACAGAGACCTGTTCTCTTGCCGTCACATGACTTGCACAAGGTTTTGTCATGGAAGGGGAACCGGGTCGTGCTGGTGGCGTTCATGCCTCGCGGTTTGTCTGGACTTGAGCCGGAGCATCAGCGCCTCATGTCCAGTGCAGGTTTCGTGATGCCAGGTGCGTTGCCTCCTTTCGTGCGTGCGGGCGGAGCCCTGAAAGATGCCTTAGTGTCTCCGGGCGCTAGGCCTGACCCTAGGGTTCCACCTCCCCCTCCTGTAGGCGCCGGAGTTGGCACCCCGCCCTAGGTCACTGTGCTAGGCCTTCCGACGGTTCTGGGTTACCGACCCCTTTAAGCACAGTGACTAGGTCACCTACTGCCGCTCAAGATGCAAAACCTCCCTATGTGCTGGAGATCTTCTGTGGCACTGCCGGCGTTGCTGCCGCTATGCAGGCACGGGGCTGTGATGTCCTTGGGATTGACAAAGACTTGCGTCCACGCAAAGTGCGAGCACCGGCGGTGCGCCTGGACTTGTGTGATGCGGAACAGCGTCGGCTGGTATGGCAGGAGATCGAACTGGCCGATGCCGTCTGGCTGGCTCCTCCGTGTGGCACATCGTCCCGGGCAAGAGGCATACGTTTGCCTTCAGGGGGACCGCAACCCAAGGCCTTGAGGTCGGAGGAGTTCCCGCAGGGTTTTCCAAGCTTGCGTGGCGTCAACAAAGCACGGGTGACGGCGGCGAACACTTTGTACGCGTTTTGCGCTGAGGTCTTTGAGCATTGCCGTCAAAACCACAAGGCAGCCGTCATAGAGAATCCCGAACGTTCCTTCATGTGGCTCACTGTGTGGATGCAGCGTGTGTTGCCCTTGGGGCGATGGCATGTACTACATGCGTGCATGTATGGTTCCCGGCGTTTGAAACGCACAGCCTTGCTGGCCACGCATGATTTGCCGTCCATGCGCAGCCAGTGTGATGGCACCCATGCACACATAGCATGGGGGCGCTGCAAGCAAGGCGCCGGGTGGGCGTTCGCTACAGCAGCCGAGGTGAGCTATCCGCGGCCCATGTGCAGTGCCGCGGCCAATGACTTGTGTGCTATCCTGCGGGCAAATGGTTCCTTGCTTGATAGTTCATATGCTTCGCGCGCTGCTTTGGCCCATGTTGCGTCGCAGCGTCAGCCACGACGCGATGGTCCGCAAGTGGGACCCGCGGAGTTCCTATCCACCGTGACTGTACAGGTGCCTGCTGAGGACGAGTTGCCGGACTGCATACCGGCTACCGGGTGCTTGGTGCCGGGTCTTGGGGGTGTTCCTGCTGGCTCCAAATTACTTGCCTCACGTCGTTGCGAAAAAGGGGGGAAGGTGGTTCGTGAGGTTGTGTTTGGCATATACAGGACGCCAGATGCATTTGTCAATGAAGCTTTGAAGTGCACACATCCGTTTGACAGGCCGGGAGCTTTAGACATGGACAATGTGCAAGCTATGGCCAATATCTTTCAGCATGGGATAGAGGGCACGAAGGCTTTTCGCGAGAGGATGTTGGATCACTACAGAAACAGAGCAAGGGAGCTGCAGCCCATGGAGGATGCGGCCAAGGGCCAAATGCACCCCGATGTGAAAGCAATTATGGGATCCAAGCGCTTGTTGCTGTTGCAGGAGCTCATGAGAGATGCAGGCGTCCAGGACCGTGAGCTAGTAGCAGACATGGCCAGTGGTTTCCGACTGACGGGTGAACTGAGACCCTCGGGCTTGTTCCCTCGGCAACTGAAGCCGGCTGCATTGACGCAGGATGATCTGAAAGCAACGTCCAGATGGTCCAAGCATCTTGTGGAGGCCTGTTGCCGAAGGGCAGCTCGCGACAAGGAGGTGGCGTCCAAGATTTGGGACGAGACTCTCGAGCAGAAGGAGAAGCAGTGGGTCAAAGGGCCTTTTTCTTGGAGCGAAATTAGCGATAAATACCAAGGTGAATGGATTGCATCGAAACGCTTCGGTGTTGTGCAAGGAGAGAAAATCAGGGGCATAGACGGTAATCGTGCTGCAAGTACAAACCTTTATTTTCCGGAGAAAAATTTTCGAATTCTCCGAATGAGAAAGTTTTTCGGCTCAGACGAAGAGAGGCCACAGCCCTCTCAGTCACAACCCTCGTGGAGAGGGTCGGGAAAAATTTTTCTGCCCTCAGCCAAGTGAGCTGGGGGATTAGCATCCTGCTGCCTGGTGGGGGGAGCGGGAGCCTCACAGAAGGTCGATGGCGTTTGGAGCTTACAATTTACACTTGGTTTTGAAGCCGAGTTGCCTTGCTGTTCTTGAGTCTTCTTGGAGCATGTGTGCGTTTTTGTAGTCTAGCCAGGAAGCAATTTAAGGATTCTTTCCTCCAGGTCTATCTTGGAGACTTTGTGAGTGCGTTGGTTGCTGTGCAATGTTGCCGCTTGAAGTTTGCTGGAGTGCAGGGAGACTCCTGGAGACGAGCTAGTGTCTCGGGTTTCAGAGCCTGCTGCAGCTGGTAGCTGTCTTCGTCAATTGCGAGAGTTGTGCACGTCAGGTCAAGATATTTTATCTTGCAGGGAACCAAGTTTGGAAGCTTTGTCCTGGGTGTGAAGGTACCCTCGTCTATACTTCTCTCCTGAAGCAAAATCAAGACTTAGCATGTGCAGCTCACGCCCCGTCCAGGCATCTTGATGTGGGGACCTGGAGTGCCCTCTTCGTCAGCCGATGGCCAAGCAAGAGAGTTCAGCAGCGTGTCCGTCCTGCCCTGACAACAGGTCCTAGACGCTAAGGGACGGAAAGTACGAGCAATCAGTGCTTGCATTCGCACTCTTTCTGCGAGTCGGCTGCGTGGTTCGTGCTTGTGAAGCAGGTTAGTTTGTTTTGGACCTTTGCAGATAAAACCACATTCTCATCTGTACACTGCTGCACTTCAGGTGGTGTTCTTCGAAGTGAAAAAGTCTTCAGAGAGAATTATACTGCATGGGCAGTTTCAAGAATGCTGCAAGGGCAGCTTAAGAGAGATCAAGCTGCAAGGGCAGTCGTGGTGAGAGATCGGCTGAAGGGTCAGCTCGTTGAGATTTGTTGCAAGGGCAACTCAAATAGTTTTGCTGCAAGGGCAGCTGAGAATGGCAAGGGCCAATATTCAATGCACACAATGAGTGTGCTTCGTACGTCGCTGCAAGGGCAGCCTATTCTTTCAGGCAGTGACGACAGCCAAAATCGGCAAGGGCCGACAAGAGGTGCAAGGGCACCGATTAGTCGTCTAGTCGAGACGAGAGGTTTCTCTCGAAAGCTTGAAAATAGGAAGATGTAGGCTGCTATCGACTCAGCACTTAATTGCACATTTGGAGGGAAAGACGTGCTGACATCTGAGTTTATTCCCCCAAACCTGAAATTCTCTCGGCTCAAAAAAAAAGGAGACAACAAAAGGGTAGCAAAGACTCCGAGAAGAAACAAAAGCCAAGGGGCAAAGAAAAGAGGCGTAGGCCCATATGTTTCCGTGGCCCTTCTTTCCGGGCGGTGAGTCACAAGGCTCTGCCTCCAGGGGCCGCAGGAGGAACAGAAGCAGTAGCGACAGCCGTCGCTCAAGACGCAGAGACAGGCGCCGAAGGGCGTCTAGGTCACGTAGCCCAAGGGGGCGTCGAGAAAGGTCTCCAGAGACCCAGCCCAGGACCCCAATTGTTGGGAGCCCCAGCATGCCAGCTCCGCAGCCAGGATTTCACTGGTGCCAAGTGCCGACTGCGGCCTTTGGCGTGGCGTCCGGCCCACAGACCCAGGCATCCCTTCCTGCACAGAAGGGGGTTGAGGCAGCTTCTTCTTGGAAGGATTCCTCCCGGTGGCAAGAACAGGCCACCCCATGGAAGAGCCAGCAGTCTTCTTGGGGCAAAGGTTGGGGGCATTCCAAGAACTACGGCTCCAGCAGCTCGTGGCAGGGCTCTGGTGGGAATCGGCGCGAGAAGTGGGACAAGCCTAAAGGCTGGAACAAGTGGCCCAAACCTGAGCAAAAGCTGGCCAAGGAGCAGTACGAGCGAGGGGCTGAGGAGCCGGAGATTCTTCTCGACCCAGCTATGGCTGGGATTTTTGGCGCCCGGCAGCGGGGGCCACCTGAGAGGCCCGACTCTGAATTCAACGTTGCGGAGGCAACGGAGGAGGAAGTTCAAGCGGCAGCCAACCGCAAGGCTGAGCGCGAGGAGGAAGGGTTCCACAGTCAGCTTTGGCAAGGGGCGATTGCTAAGGCCCTCGCGGACCCCTCGCGCCCCAAGTGCGCCCGTGAACTGCTGCGTGAAGGCAGCTTGCGGAGCTGGTGGAACATGTCCTGGAAGGACGCCCGAGGCCTGATTAACGGAACCTTGGTGGATGAGTACCGCGACCGGTTGATGCTGTACATGGCAAAGTACAAGAATCCCACCGAGGTGCCGCAGCCCATTGTCGAGCGCTGTGCATGCTTGTTCGCCTGGTTCAAGCAGAACTCCAGGCCGCTGGACATTGAGGGGGACTTCGATGCGACCATGTTCGCAGTGCCAGGGCAGAAAGTGCTGTGCTTTCGCACGAAGATGACAGGGCCATCTTTCCTTGAGCCCGCAAACCATCGCTACACGATGACAATGTCCCACGGCTTGCCGTGGACGGCAGCCATGGGTGTGGGCGAGTATGGGGAGATAACCCCTGGAGACTTTACGGACGGCGACTTCCCGTCGTACGGATTCAGCGGCCGAGGGGTCTGCAACGACTCCGGCTTTGAAGGTATCAAAGCCTCAATCGCCAAGGTGGCTGCAAGAGCCAAAGGAAGGGACGTCATCTTCTCGATGGAAGGGCTCCTGCAGGAGAACACGCCCCAGGTGGAGGGGGGCATGCCGGCACTGAATGCTGCCTGCCGAGATGCAGGCAGCGCGCGGTCAGGGGACCACCTGCTTTTGAGTCCCACCTGTGCAGTTTTGAGGGCCGTATCCGTAGCCTGGCCAATCTGAGCCAAGAGCTGAAACATTGAGCCTTGATATGAGCTCGTCGGGAGCGATAAAAGAATGTCCCGTACTGACAGGGTGAGTGAACTTTCGCTTTGTCATCATGTTCGCAACAGGGATTCTGTTTCCTTCACATGTTTCCTTTGACGCGGGTATCGGGAAGTTTTGGGTCAATTTTGGTTCAAGCCCCAGATGGCTGGTCACCTACGAGCATCGGAGGTGCCTTCTGACAGCGAGTCGGAAGGTCAAGAAGTTAACCAGCATCGTGTTGCTCAGGTCCTGATTTCCGCAGGACCACCGAATGTGCAACTTCCCTGGGAACAAGGAATTTTCAGGGATATCTTCGCGCCTGGACCAGTGGTGTCACTGGATTGGCCAGAGCCCAAGGTTCTTGTCAATGTGGATGAAGCCGAACTATCGTCTACACCAGGTCCCAGCGTTTTGCAGGACAAAGACAAGACGCCAATCGCAGGTGTCTTCAGCTCCTCACCGGGAGCCAACGTTTTCAGCAAAGTGATCAAGTGCAAAAAGAAAGATGAACCTTTTGAGGAGGCCGTTGCAGGCATGTGGTTGAAGAACATGCAGATGTGGAAACAGCTGTTCGAGGCCTCGCCGTCCACCACTTTTGCCAAAACATTACAAGAATTGGACGAAGAGGAGAAGATGTTGTCCATTCGTGACATGTTTGGATCTAAATCACCACACACAATCCAGAAGCGTGCATCGACCTTGTTGAGATTGTTTCGTTGGCTTCAAAAACAGGCAGATGTGCAAGGGGCCTCTGTGGAAGAACCCCTTCTCCCATCAGAAGAAGCGGTTTACAAGTTCTGCAGAGAGATATCCAACAGGAAAAAGGGCAAGCTGGCACCTCAGAGCGTGGTACAAGCGTTGAAGTTCGTGAAATTTGTGCTTTCCATTCCAGATGTGGAGAATTCCATCTCCCCAAGGGTCCGAGGCTTGGCAGACCGAGTGGCAGGTGAGCACGAGCCCACAAATCAAGCCCGGGACCTAACAGTGCTTGAAGTTAGATTTCTGGAAGAGTGTGTTTGGAACGCTGAGCTCCACATTGTCGATCGATTTGCAGCAGGAGTGTTCCTGTTTCAGATCTTCAGCAGGAACCGTTGGTCGGACATCAGGCACGTGCGATCCTTGGAGTTCGATTTTCTGGAAATTGGCCCCGAGACCTGTGGTTTTCTAGAAGGCAGGGCCAGAGAGGTGAAACAGTCCAACAAGAAGAAGAAACTCTCGTTGTTCATGCCCCTCGTGGCTCCAGTTCGGGGGGTCCACCCGAAGGTGGTTTGGGCCAAAGAATGGCAGAAAGTGGCTGCCGAAGCAGGGATCATGCTCTCGAAGACCCCTGTAGGCCCTTCACGACCGGCCACCGCCCCAGATGGTGCCTGGCTGCAGAGGTCCATTGACTCCGCCGAGGCCTCCAACTGGCTGACGGGACTGCTAAGGAACCGCGACCCCTCAACGGCGAGGGTTACCACACATTCCTTGAAACACACTGCTCTTGGCTGGTTGAGCAAATACGGCATTGTGGGCGAAACACAGACACTCTTGTCACATCATTCGACTGGAGCTTTGAGCACATTAGCTTACTCAAGAGACGCCCTTAGTGGCCCCCTCCGGCAGCTGGAGGAAATGTTGAAGCAGGTACGGGAGGGCTCGTTTTGCCCGGACGCTACTCGAAGTGGATACTTTGCCCGAGCCCAAGGATCAGAGGCAGGTGCATCTGTTGACCTCGGGTCCTGGTTGCCGATCAGCAAGGTAGGCAGCTTAGATGGGCTGCCTGCGAACTCCGAAAGCACGCATGAGCCTTTGCCAGCTCCAGTGGAAGGCTTTGAGGACGATTTCCTGGGGGTTGGACCGCTTTGCCCCTCGCAAGGAAAGGTTTTTGAGTCACCAAGTGCCATGCCTGTCTTGGAAGCATCCGCACCGTCGTTAGCAGAAGGAGAAGAATCCCCCTCGAAAGAAAGTGAGGAATTAGACAAGCTGGCTACCGTGACCTCTGGGCTTTGCGAGACGTTGTTCGATCAGGATGACACACAAGATGCAGATGACAACGGGGAGGCAGAGATCTCGCCCACCACATCAGCAGAAGGGTCCTCCGAGGAAACCTCTGATGGAGCCTCATCGGAAGAAAGGGAGGAACCAGCTGCGACCCTGAGCCAGCCGGAGGGTTGGAGTGCGATCCAGAACAAGAAGTCTACCATGTTACATCTGTACAAAGTAGGTCAGACAACGCTGAAATGCGGCAAGTGGATCAGCGTTAATTTTGTAGAAATGGAGAAGCCCTCAGCGAAGTGGCTACAGTGCAGCCGGTGTTTTCAGGAGTAAAGAGAGGGGTGACACTGTTGTTGGCCGGTTTGTGTACGTGTGCAACACAATCCCTTTGTACCAGCTCTCTCTCTTGCAATTTGCAGTTTTGGCCCCACTCCCTAAACATGGCAAACGCAGCGGATAGTCAGCCTTTCTTCGAGCAACATGCTCGCAAGATCGGGATGGAGCAGCAACTCTTGGACAAATTCATAGCTGGAGGGGTCAAGACGGTGTCCATGGCAGCCTATGCCGCCACTCAACCGGGTCAACCTCTCACAGATAGGGAGGTCTCCACTCTATGTACGAGTCTGGGGCAGAACAACCCCACTCTTGCACAGATGACGGTCGTGAAGAGGCTCCTGTTCGAGTGCCAGACCATGAGCTTGGCAAACTTGAAGGCCACGGTGGAACAGCAGCCGGACTCAGTTCTACGTAAGCTGCCAGGAGCTGAGAGAGCCCAGCGCCTGGAATTGCAGGCTCAAAGGCTGGGCGGACTCTCGATTGAGCATGACTTGGAGCCTGCCTTTTCAGTCTATGATGCCGTGTCGACACAGGTAGAGCAAGGGTCGCTGAAATACCTGCACCCGAGCAAGATCCCCGCACGTCGCCAGGAATTAGCGCAAGGCAAGCCAACCAAGGAACTTGTGCTGGATGCTTCGGGGGACGGCCTCTCGGTTCAAGACAAATCCTCTAAAGTCGAGGCCCAGTTGGGGTCAGACATGGCGACTTACAGGGCGCTGCAGAGAAGGGGTCTGGCCTACGACCTCGTTGGCATTTTGAGTTTCAAGGTGCACGAGAAATGGCTTCAGAAGGCCTTTGCTACCTTGCAGACCCTACCGCCCCCAGGCTTCAACCGTCCGACGCTGCAGCAGGTCCTGCGAGCAGATCGGGCTTTGTGGATGGAGCTTGGCAGCAAACAGCCGACCCTGACAAGGGCAGCGGCGAACGCGCCGCTCGCGGACGCCCGGTGCTTAGATCAAGTCTTTTTGGAAGCCACCAACACGGTTGCAGTCAATTTTCACTTCATGCCGACACCTCGTGCGGAAGGGTTCCCAGATAGAGGAGGCAAAGGCGCTGGCAAGGGCCCCAAGCGCTGGGGCGATGGAAAAGGGTATGGACAATGGAAATATCAGAGGACCGACAAAGGAGACAAAGGCCAGGGAGGCAAGTCAGGCTTCAAGGGAGCCCGCCTCCCCACAAAGGGAAAATTTGACAGTGGCAAGGGAGGCTTTCCGAATAGGTCCCTTGTCTTGCAAGGAGGCAAAGGGGAGATCCCCATGCCGGCCGCCTTGCGAGGCGGAGTGCCGAACGACGAGCAAGGAGATCCTCTTTGTTTTGGCTTCAACCTAGGACAGTGCAAGGACGCCCCATTGGGGGGCAGATGTGCACGTGGCAGACATGTGTGTTGTCACCCGGGTTGCTTCCGGAAGCATCCCTTTTCTGAGCACAAGCAGTCAGGCCAGGCAGCCTGAAAGAACGCCCCGTTGCAAGGGACGTCGAATGACAGGGTGCATGTCATTGCAGTCTGTGCATGGAATTGCATTGCTGTGCATGGAACACCAATGAATGAGCATAGCATCAATGGATTGTCCTGTACTTTCAGCCAGAAAATGTTTTCATACATTTGAAACATTTTTGTTTGGAAAATAAGACTTGTCTGAATTCCTGGTCAATGCTTCTGTCACAGAGACTGAGAAGGTTGTCTTGGATGGGGTCGATGCCATAGCAGCTACAGCTCGTTTCTTTGTACGGGGTCACCTAGGAGCGACTGAAGAATTCCACCTGCCAGATCGTGACGGTGAAACGTTCAGTGGGCGACTTCACCCCGAATTCCGAGAAAAGGAGAATCGGCAGCTATACGGCAGGGCTCTTGATTTGAAAAGCGCCTACAAACAACTCGCTCGGCATCCAGACGATGCATGGGCCACAATCCTGGCGGTTTTGAATCCTTCAGATGACACCGTGTACTATTTTGAAGCGGTCGCGCTACCGTTTGGCGGGACAGGATCGGTCACCAGCTTTAACAGGGCGGCGCGTGTGCTCAAAATGGTGATGGCCCGACTGTTCTGGTTGGTGTGCACCAATTATTTCGATGACTATTGCCAAATGGAACTTTCCCCGCTGATCGATTCGGCTTCGCAGACGGCTGAGGCGTTGCTGGACTCCTTGGATGGGAGGTAGCCCGAGGCGATAAGCTCAAGGACTTCGCGAAGTCTTTCGACATCCTAGGGGTGACTGTCAGGTTCGATAGAGCTTGTGAGGGCATCGTAGAGGTGTGCAACAAGGCCGGAAGGATTGAAGAGCTCACGAGCGCGTTGCAAAACCTTGCGAGTGGGTCCTGTGGTCACAGTGAGCTTGCGTCGTTCAAAGGGCGCATGTTGTTCGCTACCAACCATGTGTACGGCAGGTGTGCGCAAATATGCACCCAGCTCATCAGCCAAGCCCAAAGATCCGGTGATGTTGCGGTGGCCCGCGAAGCCCTACTGGATGCAGCGCGCTTGGCGCTGGATACCTTGCGAGCATCGGGCCCGCGACGGCTGTCGTGTTGGGCTCATGAACCGCCCGTGCTCATCTTCTCTGATGGTGCCCATGAAGATCAGATTGTGACACATGGAGCAGTGCTCCTTGACCCACTGTCAGGGAGACAAGAGTTCTTTGGTGATTTTGTGCCAGAGTGGCTAGTGAAGCGGTGGAGGTCTAAGGGCTTAAAGCAGTTGATCTTTTTCGCTGAGTTGCTACCTGTGGCAGTTGCCAAGGCGACCTGGGCACATGTGCTCGAAGGTCGGCTCTGTTTCTTCTTCGTGGACAATGAAGCCGCGAGAGCTAGCTTGATCAGATCCTTCACACCTGTGATCAATGCGACTTCCATCCTGATGGATGTGGCTTGGGCAGATGTCAAGTCTAATGCAATATCCTGGTACTCGCGCGTTCCATCAAAGAGCAACATAGCAGATGACGCATCCCGTTTGTGCTTCGCCAGATACCAGTCCATGTTTCACCAGTGTATGAAAGCATCACTTGAAAGGCAGACGGGGGTGGTGAGGAAGTGATGCTGTGAAGGTGTGCGAGGGCACACACTTGGAACCGACGTAGGTGTACTCCTCAACGGAGGAGGGACCTGGGTCGTGCATCTGCAGGGCTTCGTACCGTCCCCCGTTGTGCGTGTGAAAAAGTGGGAGGAATGAGCGTGATGCATGTTATAAAATTTGAAGATATGTATTCGTGATGGTGAAGAAATATTCTGACAGTTGTGTTTGGGATTGTATCGGTGAGAGGGAATAAGGAATGCTTCTTCTTGATAATTCTTTATTCCCTAAAGCGATGCAACAGATGTGAGGGCACATCGTCCCAAAACAAAACTGTTTTCCGTGTCAATCATTGGTGCTTTGGGGCTTGTGGAGGGAGGGGGTCCGAAAGTGATTCCTGAAGTCCCCCGAGCAATTGGGCCAAGAACGACATTGGGATCGCATGGTGGAGGGAGGGGGTCCGAAAGTGATTCCTGAAATCCCTCGTGCAAAAAGTCCCTGTGTGTGAGCTCCAGTGTTTGCATGAAGTATTCCACTATATTTTCATTTGTCGGAAGGGGCACGAGTGTTTTTGGGATGCACTGAATCACGTTTTGTGTGAACGCATGCACCGTGTCAGTGCTCAAAGGCCACAGAAAGCTGTGGCATCAGAAGTTTTGTCCCGCCCAACCCACCCCCTGGAAGTGATGCTGTGAAGGTGTGCGAGGGCACACACTTGGAACCGACGTAGGTGTACTCCTCAACGGAGGAGGGACCTGGGTCGTGCATCTGCAGGGCTTCGTGCCGTCCCCCGTTGTGCGTGTGAAAAAGTGGGAGGAATGAGCGTGATGCATGTTATAAAATTTGAAGATATGTATTCGTGATGGTGAAGAAATATTCTGACAGTTGTTTTTGGGATTGTATCGGTGAGAGGGAATAAACGTGTTTTTTTTCCACAGTTTCACGCATTCGTGGCTTTTTGAACACCAACATGTGTGCTTTCAACATAGATGCATGCCCTTGACAATGTCGTTGCATGAAGCAATCGTGCAATCGTCGCTAAGAGCGAAGGCGCGTGGACTTGAGACCCCCAAGGTCTAAGATCCAGGAAACCGGGCACGATTTACGACTTCAGACCCGCAGCGAGGCTTGAGTCCCGGGACTTTGGCTTTAGCAACGTAGACAAGAGAATAGTGGCACAAATCAGACGACAGCTTCGCACAGCAGAGTAGAGTAGAGTATCGCAGAGCACCATACGGCGGGGTAGAGTAGGCATAGAATGGTAGACGAACTGAGACTCAAGACTGGTTTGCTTTGAGGGTCAAGACGAAAACTCAGTAGCGAGAGACGCTCCTCCGAAGAAGCGTCCTTCGACTACTTCTCAGTCCTAGATGGGTTAGCGCCTGAACGTTCTATGGACCTTCAAAAAGCGCTCCGCATTTTCGGGAACCTCGGTCCTAAATAGGAACCCAGAGTTGCAGAAGACCCCAAGACAAAGCCGAGGCAGTCCATGCTGGAGTGGCGGGTAATGGCCGTATGGCGGAGCAGTGGCCGTCCCGCAGCGCCTTCCACAGACAGGCGGGGCATGTGACGTTCGTGGCGTAGATTGCAGCTTCGTACAGTAGATGGCATGTGGTCTATAGTTGAGTCTCTAATTTCCGAGAATATGCCTTGACTAGGAGTATCTAGAGAATTACTGTGCTTCATCATACTGTTGTAATGCACCATAGTACATGTGACAGTGCGGGGCAATATCCAAGTAGATAGTAGTCCGCAAGAGTGCTCCACTCTGCATGATGGCCGATGATGTCAAACCCTTGCCAGAAGGGAAGACTGCATGTCTTGGCCGCACTTGCATGCCACTTATGGGCTGCCTCTCGCCGTGGAAGTATGAAGCTTGCCCGCTCTGCCGATGCCCCCCCTTCTAATGGATTGGCACTTTGGAAGGACTTAGAGACTGCTTGTAAGGTAAGGCAGCCCCATCTGGACTGCACACTGGCACAGGTTTCTGGGACTGAGCCATGTTGGTCACCGGTTGGGCCGGTCTGTTAGGCTCTTTCCGAGACATGCTTCTGGCTTCAATGCGCGTGGCCTCCTTGGCATGAATCGAGGATGAAACAACACAGTTCAGAAATTGTGAAACATGAGCCCGTGAGTAACAATGCAAAGGTGTTTCGTCCAATGCTGGCAACATGCCAGTTTTTTTTTTCATGGGCAGCTTTCGGTTACCTGTAGGCTTTTGGCAAAACGTGAAGATCCAGTCAAGTCACATCCTGACTGGTTGTCATTGATAGTTCCGCCGCTGAGAACCGCAAGCATGATTGGCATGTTGTGACATTCCCGTTCATTGCAATGATAAACATCTCGAAGTTTCGGAGATATCATCCAAACCTAGGCCAGAGCTTCCCCCTTCATTTCTGGGTGCTGCTTTCTGACGAACATCTTGACCTTCAGAAATTTTTTCCAATCGCAGACCAGGGCTTCAGCAAATGTGTTTCCACAGTTGGGTGGAAGGTAGGTCAGGTAGAGTGCGTGTGTTGTGTGTTGGGTTGTCCTGTACAGCGCATGGGATGTGCAGCTGCAGGCCGGATCAGAAATATCGGCAGCAATCTACGAGAAAGGAGCTGCCGGGTTCTGAGCCAGTCACAAGGGTGGTAGCAGAATCATCAGAAGAGACCATGGGAAGTCTGAGCGTCCGCAGATGCCAAGCAAAGCTATAGGCCGTCATGGTGGGTTGGGATGACATTGTCTATTGAGCAGCTGTTGCAGAGCTTTGAGCTATGCCTGGCCGTTTTTGCTCCAGAAGCTAGGGAGCATGCTCGCATGAACATGCCTGAACAGAAGAGCGGAGCAACGATCAGAGAGCAGATGCTTTTCCAGTTGCCCAGAACCAAACTTGCTAGCAGGGTCCGACTATACAGGATGTTTCTGGGAACCACTTCAAAGGAACCACTTGGGGGGTACCGTGCTGGGATTCCGCCTGCAGCTGGATAGCTGTGCCATGGGCCTGTGGTGGTCTGCTCTCTTTGGACCTGAGCGAAAGCAAAAGGTCCTTCAGATCCAGTTGGCAGATGGCGAGGACAAAAACGCTTCAGATCCAGTTGGCAGATGGCAAGCAAAAAGGACAGTACACGGTTGACGACCCCAGCGATCGGGCAGGGACTCGTACAGAAATCGATGAATTTGTACAGAATTACCAGGAGGAGCATAAGCGCAAATATGGCCGTTCCAACTTGACGCCCAAGTACATGTGTCCTCACAGCGGCGACTTGATCCATTGGGACTCAAAATTCAGCCCTCTCGACTTCCTACAGCAGGAAGGGCCTGTTGTCATTCTTACCATGGTGGCCCAGGACATCGATCAGAGCGCAGGAGAGGCCATGCACAGGACATCAGGCGCCGAGCTGGCTGGACAGCCTACGGATAGCGACTCTGCGCCAGACATCAACACGACGGAGACGTCAGTTGAGGAGGCACCAGTCCGCAGCACAGAGGACGAGCCGCCTGCCCCCGGCCAGGAAAGTCTGGTCGCTCGCCTGCAGTCGCAAGACCCCAACGCTGCAGCTTCAGTCAGGCCCTCCTCATTGCAAGCTCCTAGGGATGATGTAGGACAGGCTGGCAGGCCTCTTGTCGCACATGTTCAAGATGGAGAAGTACAAGGATGTACTGCAGAGGCTGCTGCCGATATTGAGCAGCTCACGAAGTCTGCCAGGTTCCAGCAGTCAGGTCCGAGCAGTATCCTGGAAAGCTCAGAGATGCCTGCTGAGGAGCAGACGTCTGCTGGCACCGGCGTGCAGCGTGAACCGAAACCAAGCCAGAAGAGGCGGAACAAAGCAGCTCAGAAGCTGGTGGAGTCTCAACGCGGTCCGACGGCGGAGGAACTGCGTAAGCCCGATGACATGGACCAGCAGATTTTCGGTTCAGATCTTTACAAGCTCGTTGAGAACATGCACACCCCTGCCCTGACTGGCGAAAGGAGCATCGAGAGCGGTCTGCAGCGTCGGCAAAGGGGCTGGTCCTTTCATCCAGTTCGCTTCTTCCCCGATGGTTCAGATGAAAAGAACCCGAAGAAGAAGGGGAAGGTTGGGGACGTAGGTCAGAACTTTTTTGTTTTGAAAGTTTCATACTGTGTGGAATCGAGGGGGGGGGGTGAAAAGTGAAGGCGTTGTGTGCTCGGGAGCGTGTCCAGTCCAGGAGATGATAGAAGGATGCATGGCCGTCCTAACTATTGGCGCAGAGCTGGCAGCAGATCTCGGCTACACGACCGACCAGCGAGTTGTCGTCGTGGAGCGACACGAAATAAACAAAGAAATCTTGGTTGAGTTCGGCGGACGGCAGGCCTGGGTGAATTCAGGAGCAGTGTTCATCACGCAGGCAGGGACTGACTGTGTTGAACCTTCCGCGGGCGGGGGGGGGGGGTGCAACTGTCAGTTTAGAACTCCCTGCCTCCAGGTCAACATCGATTGGTTCATGGGAAACGAGCACACAACAGTGGCGAAAAGGCTGGACAGTGCCTGTGGTACGAAGAGCAGTGCCGATGATGTTAACTTCCTTGGCCGTGTGCAGTTTTTGGCCCGTTGTGTTTCGTGCAACATGTTCTTCCTCCAGAAAGCGGCGGCCCTCCTTGTCTCGCATGCGCAGCCAGATCAGTACTGGTCCTTGTTCCGTCGTGCCTTGGAAACAGAGGCTGGGCACAGCATGCTGTATGCTTCTTGTATATCGGTTGTGATTTTTCCTCAGCTATTGGCACAACGGATGTTGCGTGGACACATGTCCTTGGTAAAGAGTTGGTCATGAGTCATGATTGCACAGGCTACGAAACTTAAACCGAATTTGCAGGACCGACAGCCTTCGGACCTCCAAATTCGATCGTACTTAGGAGGATGATCCTTTCGACACGTAAAAATGCTCCAAGCTCTTCGACGCGGGCAAGTGCGACAAAGTTGTCCCATCGCAGGGGCTCGGTGCGAAAGACCTTGCAACTTGGAAGCCTTGCACAAGAGACCCTAAAAACGAGATGTCGGAGTTGAACAAGTCTCACCTGAAGTCTCAGCCCTAAAGGGAGAAAGGAGATGTTGTATTCGGAGAACCTACTACGTAAGAGAACCCTGAAGCAGGCCGAAACATGACAAAGACGCAGATAAACAAGACGCAGATAACCCAAAAAAGCCGCAGATAACCAACAAAAAACGCAGATCACCCATCCCAGCAGAAGGAAGTGGAGGTTCGATTTCGAAATTGCAGCCACCCAGACTGACGTGTGCTCTTTACATTCTCTACATTCTCTTTGCTACATGCAAGCTGCAGTCACGCGCAAGCATCATGTCCTGCTTGGCTTGCCGCTGGCTTCGAAGCTGGCAGGTGAAGTTGTGCCGTCCTGCGTAGTGCTAGTATGAAGCCCAGTAAGCCCAAGCCCAGATGCCCTACATAATTGTAAGCGCTTGCGCGCGCCGCCTCAGCAGCCGAGGAAGCGCAATCAGGGTAAGGGGGGCTTTTCGGATGTTCCAAAGGGCGGCAGACAGGGCTTATGAGGGGTGCTTGTTCCAAACGCCTCTCGACCAAGGCCGAGGCGAAGAGGTTCTTCATCATCATCATCATCATCATCATCGTCACCCCGATTACAGAGGACGCCTCCAGATTAGAGACTGTATTCTTGATGATGCCAATCGCAAAACTTTGGCAGGCCAATGGTGGTGGCCCCTTAACCCTGACTCACTTCGGCTCGGTGCAGCCAAGCTGCCCCCATTCATTGATCCCAATGCTGCGCGTTCAGCCCCGACCAGCCCACGCTGCGGATGCCTCCACAAGTCAAGAATTGTTCGAGCAGCCATCTTCGCAGGGTACGTTCACGCCAACATCTGGTCGGTTACAGAGTTTTGTTGTTATGCAGCTCCGTTGGCTGATTTGCTTTCCGTCAGGGCATCATTGGGGCCTCAAACCGCCTTCTTTTGAAAACTCGGATCATATGCAACAAGGGAGGTCTACAGCATTACCGTCGTGAGGGCAAGAAGCAGAGGTCTGGAGGGCGGGAGTGCGGGTTGGTGTCGAGGATGCTTGCAGATCATGATCATTCAGCAGATGTTGTGAGTCTGGGTGTCGGGTGCTATGTGAGTTCTTGCTGAGATGCAGGCATGGAAGGAATTGGGACGTCAGGGAGGAGGTGAGCGTGCTGGCAAGTCGTATGAACCCAAGGACCGCAAGGGCTAAGGGGACGTGGTTTCAAGGCAAGTTTGGCGTGGTCAGTGAGTGGCCCCAATAACGCACGGTGCTGATCTGGCACCGGCCTGTCTCGGCGGTTGGAGGCGATGTCAGCATGTGTAACAGCGGGGGAGTGAGAAAGTGAGAAAGGTTGTTCGTCAAAGACAGACCAGAAAAGGATGACTCAGAGCTAACATATGATGGGTGAGGCCACTGGGGCGCGAGGAATTTCCGAACAGAGGTTCGATTCTAAACTGACAAGACGTGCTATTCAAGGACTGCTACATCCGCGCTTTGGAGCTCAAGGGCGACTTTGCCGCGGCCTGGTCCAACCTTGGGTTTGTCGGCGGCGGAACGGTGAAGGGCAAACCGTACTCGGAGCGGGAGTGCTTCATCCGCGCCGTGGAGCTCGAGGGCGACAATGCCCTGGCCTGGGGCAGCCTTGGGCTTGAAGGCGGCGGAACGGTGCAGGGCAAACCGTACTCGAAGCGGGAGTGCTTCATCCGCGCAGTGGAGCTCAAGGGCGACTATCCCCTGGCCTGGAACAACCTTGCGTTTGAAGGCGGCGGAACGGTGAAGGGCAAACCGTACTCGAAGCAGGAGTGCTTCATCCGCGCCGTGGAGCTCGAGGGCGACAATGCCGCGGCCTGGTCCAACCTTGGGTTTGTCGGCGGCGGAACGGTGAAGGGCAAACTGTACAGTAGTGATGAGTGCCGCCAAAAGGCCGCAAATCTCTGCTGGCCTTTTTTGCCATTGCCTAGGTGGTGAAGCGTTTGAATTCTTTGGTCGCTGATGGGCCGGGCCCGGAGCCGAGCTTCGGGTCCCCTTTGGCGAGGCTCAGATTCCTGCGAGTCCCTAAAGGGTTCCTTTTTATTCGTGCCACTCTGCGACTTCGACGCAAGCTTTTTTCAAAGGTCCAGTTGTACAGCCTTGTCGGATTTCCTTATGGAGCTTCAGGATAGCGTTCCGTCTTCACTCTTCTAGGCGGCCACCGTCTGCCTGTGAGACAACGTTGTTCTTATGTTGTTCTTGCTTGTAGCCTGATATTGGCTACCTGCAACATTTTCGCAAAGCCAAGCCTTGGAGAGGACGAGCTGCAGTTGCACATGGCATATCAACTTCTCCCGAGTCCGTGAACTGCTACAAGCACCCTACAGAAGCACATTCTGTGACCGACCGACTTGTTGCCTCCGCTGCGAGGTGCACCTGTGTGCATCCTGTGTGCCTTCATCTCAGACCTCGCCTCGAAGGCACATCTGGCCGGGCCGTGGTTAAGTGAAGTCATGTGAAGTCCGAGTCATGACGTAGGACGCAGGAGGGCGTTTAAGTACTGGCTCCTCATGCTCGTTGCAACACCAGGTCATGACGATCTCAGTGGGTCACTTGTAAGGTCCAGGAGAGTATGGTGGAGTATGGTAGAGCTAAGCCCCAGATCTCTGCTGCCTTAAACTTCAACCTCCCCCCCCGCCCCCAGCCCTCCAGAATCAACACTGTAAATGGGTTTACGAAATCCATACGATGCCTCGAGGAAAAATAGGATTTACACCCTTATCAACCCTAAGCCCTAAACATCCTAAACCCTAAGCCCGAAACCCTAAACCCTAAACCCTAAACGCGGTTTCCTGTGTGCGTAGGGTTTGAGGGCTTAAGGGTTTTAGAGTTTAGGAGTTTAAGGTTTATTACATGGGTCGAATCTGAACGTTATAGGGCTTTTAGGACTTTCTGGGCTCTGCAGAAATTTGATTGGGGCCCAGGGTTTCGGGTTTACAGATCTTGGTTGTTGACATGGTGTGCACCAAGGCCTGCACTCACAGTCTTGCTTTCTCAGCCCGCGAGCCCTCGTCCCCTCGTCGGCTTGTGCCTAAATAAACTCCTGATTCTCCAACTCGTTCCACTCTTTTCTCAAAAATGGTGCATGACTTGAGGGGTGTTCGGGCGGATGACAAAGATAGCCGAAAAAACACAGCTTCAACAATGCCCTGCTCAACATGCTCGCGCGGTGGACACACCTGCTCACTTGCACGGGGCCGGCCTTGCTTCTGTTGAAGCCTTGGAATCATGCAATGCGCTGGGACTCACTCAGGGATGGCAGCTGTTCGTGCCAGGGCTTGTGCCTGCCAACTGCGAGGAGAACCTGAGGAGACGGCCTCAGATCATGCCCGCGCAGTGCAAGAGAGTCATATGCATGGTTTGCAGATCGCTGCACGAGGGCCAAGCACTTCACAGTGCCACGACTTCAGCAGGGCTTAGCTTGTGCGAACTCTGTGTGTGGTCTTGCCAAGAGGCCTTTCTCATGAGCTCTTCTGCGCGCCTTGTCTGCATCTTCTTCCAGCTTTAAGTTACGGAGTGCAGAAGCCGACTTTGCCTTAGAGGATTGAGAGCGGAAGCGCAGGTCTTGATCATCACAGGGGCCAGAGTCTCCAGCAACAGCTGGCAACGTGAAGCGGGCTTTTGTCGGGACCTTTCATAAAGCTTTGGCTTCAAAAGTTTTTTGGACCGAAGAGGCTCTGGAGCCTCAAGTCAGAAGGTCACTCGAAAACCAAACCGAATTGCAAACAACAACAGCCCAACCGCACAAACCCTCTTCCACACACCTGACACTGTGTGCCCTTGGGATCCATAATCTTTTGCACCTCATAAACCCGAGGCAGGACCTCAGGGTCTTATTTCTTCTGGGAGCGTAGCAGTATTCTGTGAGTGTCGCGGTCTTGTGTCGTGTAGCCAGGAAGAGTCAAGGGTCCAGGCCATGCTCTCTACCCTTTCCGGAAGCCGAAAGCGGTGAACCCCTGCCCCACAAACCCTGAAGCCTACACCTCCACAACCCCTCGTGTATGAGGTGGAAGCTGCCGAAGAGATCAGGAGGAATTTCCAAAGCCCCCTCATTAAGGCTCGTGCCCTTGTAGAGGAGGGGGTCGAAGAGACGCAGGTAACCCGATGCTTTTCGGGAAAGACATAGTTCGTAAGATTTCGTAAGTGTTTGAGGTGTTTACAGGGCTTAGAGCTGAAATTTCGGGCTGGCGACTCTGCATCTAGGAGTGGAGGTGGAGGCTTGGGCCTTCGGGCGGCAGCTTCAACTTCGGAGATGCAGCATTCTGGCCCTCTAGTCCAAACTTCTGTATACCCGTATTTTGGACTTCTCTATACGGAATCTTCATGGCGCAGTGTACAGGATGTAGTTGTAAATGTGGCCGCAAGCAGAGTCCACGTAAGAGCCTTGACTCCTCAAAGCGACCCTGTGCTTGGCCAGGCAGCACGTCGGCCTTGAACCCTTTCATCCTGCCTGGCCCCTGGACCGGTCTCTCTGCTGTTCAGTGCTTCCGGTGGGTTTGGTGTCCTCCATCCTGGACTCAAGAGATTCCTTGCCAAGTTGTTCCTGTACGCTTGGGCAGGTGTAATGGGAGGCTTTTCTGTGCATTGGCGAGATGGGGTTACATCTTTTTGCGGAGTTTCCGGGTTGGGTTCTTGTTTCACAGACTTCTGTGTCGCAGCCAGCAACCGTCAGAGGCAGCAGCCTTATGTCGTGTAGCCGGTAAGTTCCCTCGCTGTCTCCGTGAATTTGTAGCCACAGATATAGGAACCTGTACGCAATCGCTACAAAACCAGCCAGCCTTATCAGGGCAGAATCTCAAGCAGCAACCCCCTGAATTCAGTGGATTGGGCCAATTTGCCTCTCGTGATGTCATGGGGTATTTCTGAGAGTGCAGTGTGAGGTTGCACCTTCATCTGCGTGCCGCATGGAACTGATCTGTCCTAGTGTGCAGGCAGCTTGCGTATAACCGTGGGTTTCCATTCTCTACACACCCCACTGGCCCGGATGGGAGAGACATAGCACCGGCGGCAAAGGGAAGGCGAAAGCTCAACACGTTGTGTGAATGCAACCCAATGGCGACTTGTAGCGTCCCAGCAGACCCACTTCAGAACATGATGCCCCCGCAAATGCTGAACATTTGATTCTGGAGCTTCCGTGCTAAGGACTGACCTGAGCCTCTGCGCAAGGCCTGCTCGAAGCTCGGCAATTGGAGTACATGCTGCGTTTGGACACCGAATTTCGATGCCGCAGGATTTTGCTCTGTAACGCAGGGGCCTGCGCTGGCGTCCTCCTTCACGGTCTTTTCCCGAGCAATGGCAAATGGTGGCCCTGTCTGGCGGCTCTTGGGCTCCAGCCAGGTGCCGCCTGTTGCAGGCCTGCAGCTGATGAGGGAATGCCTTTTGCCAACTGCTCGAATTGAAAAACTTTCATTCTGACACCTCAGCAGGACAATACGTCGGCAACATCTCGCGCGACAACCGCCAGGCCTGAGGGTCGGTTTGCCAGGCTTGGACAGGCTGACAAGATTTCTGGGTAGAGAAATACAGCAAGATGCCTTTTGCCATGATGCTCCAAGCAGCAGGTCGCAGTAGAGTTTACAGGCTCACGGGCATTTTGTGCGGGGTGGGCTCATGTGAGGCCTCGCAAGCCCTGCTTTTCGCTTCCACAGTTCTGCTCGGCGCGAAGTGTGTTGAGATCACCGGCCAGCTGCGGCCTGCCTCGTATTCACATGAGCTATAGTCTAAACTCCTCAAAGGATATTTGTATAGGGATTATCTGAGGTTCCCTTTGTGGGGTTCAAAAAGACACCACAGCTCATACGAGCATCCTGAGAGAGGCTTTGTGGTGGGCATGATGACAGGTCATCCTGGGGATTTAAGTAGAGAGAGGAGTCATCGTACAGCTGGACTACTTAATCAGGGTATTTACGTTCCTGCACCCTGCGTGAAGCGGGAGAGAGACTACCCAGCTGCAAAGGTGTCACTCCTCCTTGTTGGTCCTCATTGGCGCCCTGGTGTGCTTGGGTGCCTGTGCGACCATGGCTTCTCAGCCGCAAGAGATAATCGAGATAGTGTTCGCAATGTGACTTCCAAGAGAAGCTGACTCATGTCAGGTGGTCTGCATCGGTCGAATTGCTGAGCAAGCTGACGTCGGGCGAACAAGCTTCAGGCAGCAGATCTCCGACTTCCACTGTCCGATCTGCTTGTCAGATCATGGGCAGCTACTTGTGAGGCTGCCATGCGGGCACCTCTTTCATTGCAGCTGCCTCCAGCTGTGGAAGCATGAAACCTGTCCATTGTGCAGGTGCCCTTACTGATGAGCCTCATGGCCCTTTGAATTAATTCGGGATTGTGCTTGTAGGAACATCCAGCCCCACCTCTGACTGCAAGTTGGCAGAGGCTATTGGGACAGCGATTTTGGGGGTGCTGACGTGGTGGGTTTGCCTCTCATTGGCGCCTTCCGAGTCATGCGTTCGCCTCTATGCGAGGGACGTGTGTGTGGCGTGAGTCTAGCACGGGAACAGCACAAGTGCAACGTGTAGCAACAGAACCCTGAAGTGGGGACGCAGATATGTTCCATCGCATGCTCACACCATATGCTGGTTTTATTTGGGCAGGTCTCCTAGGCCCCCACCCGACACAGGGCAGCTTGAAGTCGCCCGCAGCCTTTTGGCAAAGCACCATGATTCAGTGAGGGAACGGTTGACAATGACATTCTGTCAGTCGTTGGCAGTCTCTGAGAAATCGTCAGCATCGGCACACTGGTTGTGCAGCCAATGGTCCTTCCTGGGTATCCTTGCTAGTGGGTTCTGGAACTGCAACAGATACCCGGAAGGAAGCGCAGGGAGTTTGGTTTGTCTCTTGCCCTTCATGGAGGTATGGAGCTCGGCCGCGGCCGAAATAGTTGTTTCTTCCCACGTTTTCGTGCTACATGTACTTCTACTCATGTACTTCTACTTGTGTACTTCTACGACATATGAACCGCTCACTGCTGCTCGCAACATGCACATTATTCTGGGAGATAGGCAGGCTGTGCAGTGAACCGAAAGATAGTTTGCACTCACCAAAATCACGACCCTCCTCATATCCTATAAGCTTTCGATGATGCTCAGCCCTCCTTCTAGTCAAAATTGCCTACTCGTGTTTACTGTGGCCAGGTGGGAACGACTGGAAAACATTGCTGAACCAGCAAAATGCGCCGAGCTCTGCTGGGTGCTGAGAAGGTCGCAGGGGTAGTAGCCGAAGGAGTGGAGAAAGCGACATGTGGTCTGTTATCAGCCGGGGTCGTAACTCAGGGATCCCCTCATGAGATGCGAGCAATAGAGGTTAATGATTTAACGTGTGAAGGGGTTTAGAGGCCGATTCGCCAGATGCTGCAGTCTTCTCAGGCGGTTGTTCTCAAGCAGTGTTGCCCGTTGGCTTGCTGGACCCGGCCTTGTAGCAGTATCGCGTGTGCCCATTTGTGCCCAATGGTTTCCAGTGACTCCACTGGCTCCACTCAGAGATGATTGTTACTGGATCGTAGTGGAAAAGGGTGGCAAAGGCGGAAGATGCTTCGACCAGCTCTCCGACAAGATCGATGCCCATGCTGCCGCCACGATGCTACAGGCCACAGCTGCCGGTCTGGTCAACGAGGCGTGTGCCGGCCCTGTGCTTCTCGGAGAATGGGCGTAGCCGTATGGTGCCACATTGGTGCCCACTGCCAGAGTGACGGCCTTTGCGTGCGAATTTGTGTTGACTGCCTTGCAGGCCCACTAGCTCTGTACCAGAGCTGGTCGAATTCGACCGAAGACCAGGCAGGCTTCTGCCTGAGTATTGGACGCGTGGAAGTTGGCAGGCCTGTGAACATTGGCCATCGGTGCTCTGTCCAAGAGGTGTACATCTTTGCCCTGCGAAAAGCTTGCTGCGGTGGACTTGCATTGGCTGCTGCGGCATTCCTGCCTCCTTTTCCAGCAGCCAGGATGTGCCAGACCCAAGCATGTGGACGGTCAACCTAGTTTGCGATTCTGCGTGACCACCACAGTCTAGACATTCAGCATTACTTTTCTCTGCTAGACAAGGGTTTTGGCTTAATCTGTGCTAGTTTCTATGTCTAGGACTTCGGCGCTTGCCGCTGTACTCCGGACTATTTTCAACATGCTGGAGTTTATGCGACCAGCAAAAGGCTGGACTGTGTGGCGATGGGTGCTGGCCACTTCCAGTAAGCAGAAGAAAGTCCTAGCAGAAGAAAGTCCTAGCAAAGAATCAAGCAGCAGTCCCTGTGGTACTGCCGAGATTTTATGGCACCGAGTAGCTTGAAGGTCGCCCAGGACGTGCGGCAGAATGCTCAACGCTGAATAAAGTCATGTTGATGTATGGTTTGATTTCCGGAAGATTAATGGCAATCTGCAACCATCATGGCAACGGCACCTGCAGCCCAACTTTCCAGCGCTTGGAGTTTGCTAAAGAACACATCCTGAACATTGGGAGCCAGTGAAGCACCACTCGGCGTTTTGCTTGTAGATTTTCTCAGGGCAGGGAGAGGGATGAACAAAGTGCTTCACTGCTCGCTGCATTCAGCCTGGCTGAGATTTTTGTTTTGGAAGCTGTCTCGTATAGGCTGCCTGAGCAATGTCGAACGTTCTGGCTGCTCCTGCACAGGCTGGCGGCTGGCAGCGCGAGTACAACACTGTGCACGGGGCAGCCAACTCAGGCCTTGGTCGCTGGCTGAGAATCTTGCGCAGAAAGCAACTGGCTCCAGACTTTGCAGGATATAAGCTGTCGGTCATGCACTCTGACTCAGGTTGACTCACCATTCCTGCGTTGCCATCTTTGAGGCGGAGCTTTATGCAGTGCGGCAAGTGGCACTGACTCGTCTTCGCATTGCTTCAAGATTAATTAGCTCAGAGGCCCGTGCAGACAAGAACTAAAGAGCTGAAGACTTTGCGCATACAACACATGTCAGTCATGCGCCAAAAGTCAGGTGCATCCCCACTCCTGTGCCGCGTAGGTCGGAGCCTTAGGCAGAGCGGTGTGCGATGCTGGCTCGTCTGACTTGTCTCGGCATCGTTCGCAGGTTGTGATTTGGCTGAGAATCCTGTGCACGAAACAATTTCAGACTTGGCAGATACAAAGCGTTTCGGTCACTCTGACTAAGGCGCGCTGCAGTCTCGTGTGCGACGCCGCCTTGTAGGGGATGACCTGCCCTGCCCTCAGGTGAAGACTGGATCCTGGTTTGTATTTTCAGCTCGAAACCAAACCAAACGCCGCCGTTTGCAAGAGTGCTAACCATGCCTCGGTCACTGGCATTCGCATGCATGGGATCTTCAGTTGGTCCAAGGTTCAGGCAGAACGCAGACCTTTCCCTTCTGCAGATTCAGGCTGCATCCCAGGTGTCGGGAACCAAGGGTTTGCAGCAGCACCTCTGTCAGAGGTGCATGCTCAAACTCTGCACGGGCAATTGCTCAAAACCTGCAGGCGGCGGCTGCGTGCTCTCCTGCTTGGTGATGGCCAGAGGGCGGCAAGCAGGTCGCTGGGCCATGTCACATGCCACTACTCGATCTCACGGGTCCCAGCGGGTTGTCTGCAGTGGTGCATCGGTGTACTTGGTTTGCTTGATAGCTTTGCTGGGATGTTGGCTCGAGGCGGCGGCCACATGTTGCATGTTGGAGCGGGGCACAAGCACTCATTCAGCAATGCACCTTGTCACCTTGTCCAGAAGACCCTAAAGAGCCCCGCGGTAGCTTTCGTGTAGACACTTGGTCTTATACAGCAGGCATGACCAAGAAAACATATTTAGTTCGAGTGAGCAGTGAGCACAGCCAGCGTCGCCTCTCCAGTGCCCGCGCAGCATGTGGTCCAGATGGCGAGGCTGCCGTGGCCTTGCTAAGGCAGCGCAGCATAGCGTGCAGCTGCCCGAGTGCATGCGCCAGCGTGAGGACACCACGGAGTGCAGCTTGGACTTGCACTTTGGCCTGGCCGGAGACACTCAGGCGCTGAAGCGGTCCGGGAAGCTGCGCGGTGCGGACCTTGCCCAAGAAGTGGCGATGCGGCCTAACATGGTGCGGCCGGGCACAACCTTTTCCCTGGTCCTGGACACTGATTCCGGGCCGTCAGAGCTGGAGCCGCAACAAACGCTCTGGCAGCAAGGCTGCGGCGCCGGCGGGACCCAGGCCACGATTTGGGCCGTGCGGAAGCCCATTCTCGCGGCGGAGGCCTGGCGAGCTTTCAGCTCAGGGCGCGTGGCGACCCTGGGTCTATCCACACTGCACTTTGGCGAGGACTGCGACTTCGAACCCTGTAGTCTACAGCTGCCGTCTACTTTGGAGCAACTGACATGCCCTGGGCCGGTCTGGAACATGTCGCAGCTCCAGAACCTGAGGAGTTTGACCTTGGACGCCAACCACAGCTTGAAGGATTTCACGTGGCCTCGGCAGCTTGAGATGCTGACTTTAGGCCCCAAGTACAACCAGGACCTGCGAGGTGCCGCCCTTCCCGAAAGTCTGATGTGCCTTTTCATAGGCGACGGCTTCAACCAGACCTTGGACGGCATCCGCTTCCCAGCAAGACTCAAAGAGCTGTCGGTGGGGCGCCGCTTTAATCAGACCCTGGACAGGGTGGAGCTGCCCGACGGCCTCGAGGTCTTGCACCTCGGCTACGACTTTGACCAGGACTTGTCCAGGGCAATGCTTCCTCGTTTCCTCAAGGCGCTTTGGCTGGGCGGTCGCTTCAACCGAAGCTTGGACCAGGTGGACCTGCCGCCAGAGCTGCAGGAGTTGGTTCTGGGCCACCGCTTCAACCGCAGCCTGGAGAACGCCCAGCTGCCTCCGACTCTGAAGAAGCTGGGGTTCGGGAACCTCTACGGAGAGCGTTTGGAGAAGCTGAGTCTGGCCCCGGGTGTCTTGCAGATCTTGGTCTGCGGCACGGGACCCAGCCAGCAGTTCGTGCCAGGGAAGCCTCTCCTGCCTTGCTGCACCGCCCTCATCGAAGTGCATCTCGGAGATGCCACAAACAACAACCTGCAGGGTGTGGAGTGGCCGCCTGGACTCCTGCACCTTGATCTGGGCGACTGCTACAATCGCGAGCTGTTTGATGTGGAGCTTCCCACCACCCTTCGCACCTTGACGTTTGGCAAGAAGTTCAACCAGCCCTTCGCTAGCCTGGGAGCTGCTGTGCACTTCCCAGAGAACCTTCGGCGACTGGTGCTGGGCAGTTACTTCAATCAACGGCTACAGGGTGTGCAGTGGCCCCAGGGCCTCCAAGAGCTCGTCCTAGGAGCGGGGATCCAACATGCCAGCTGTAGTCATCATGTGCCGAGTCGTGTTGTAGCAGGGGCGCTCTTCTTGCAGGAGACTGTTTCGACCAGCGCTTGAACGGCGTGCAGCTGCCTGCTGGATTAGAGATCCTCACCTTTGGCACGGACTTCGACCACAGCCTGGACACGCTGACCTTGCCGGCCGGCCTCAAGAAGCTAACGCTTGGCTTTGCCTTCAACCAGCCGTTGCAGAACGTCGTGTGGCCTCCGGGTTTGAAGCACTTGAAGCTGGGTGACTGTTTCAACCAGAGCTTACGAGACCTTCACCTACCTGCCCTGGAGACCCTCAGCCTTGGCGAAGACTTTGCCCAGAGCCTGGCTGAGGTGAACTTCTCGCACAATCTTCCAAGCCTGCGGGAACTCCGCCTTGGTTCCCGCTTCCAGCAGCTCTTGGAGGGCAACGCCAAGCTACCTGAGGGTCTTTGCTGCTTGGCAGCCGGTGATCAGGAGATCAGCTGGCTGAGTGAGGCCGATGCCCCTCGACCATGAAGGGCACAATTTGGTGCACATTTTTGAAATGTTACAGGTCTGATTAGGCCGGGTGACTGTAGGAGATTCCGTAGATCTTTTCAAAGTTTGTACTTTGAGGTAGACTTCAGCCAACTCATTGTTGGGCCTTCAGATTCCCCAAACTTTTATTGTGTGGCGGAACCCAGAAGGCTGTGCAAGATTGTACAGAGAGGGGCCATGGTCTCAACAGGCTGCAGGTCCCAGACATTGGCCTCAGATGCCTGACGAGCCGTGCCCACTTGAGCACAGCATATGAAACGCGCAAACGCGCCAAGCTGTGTCCAAAGAGCCGATGCTCATGTCCTGTTGCCTTCCTAAGTCTTAGGACCCCATTTCAACAATCCCAGCCGTTTCAGTTGGCCAGGCTGGCTTGTGGATGCTTGTGGGAACCGGCCTGGGCCCTGGAAAGTCCAACTGCGCCCTCTGCAGCTGCCAAGATGAAATTCTACCGCTTATAGGAGCCGATGCAGTTTCATGCTTCGTCCGAGGACTGTTTAGGAAGTGCTTGCACTTGCACCAGCAGCCATTGGCACAGAGATCCTTGTAGTCTACGGTTAGAGACGCTCAGAGGAACGAGCACCTGCAAGGACTGATGCTTGCAAGTTATAGCGCCTTTGACGATTTGACGTAGCTACATAGGGCTTAGGGTTCATGATTTAGAGTTGGAAACGAAGGGCGCGGGTTCAAATGAGTGCTGAAGTACGGAGGTCAGGTAGACAGGGTAAGCAGCCCAGAGAGAAGCTGTGGAAATCTGAGAAGTGTTTGGCTATGTTTGAGTTAAGGTGCCTTGGTGTTTCTTGCCTTTCCTTCGCTTTGAAGATCCGCTCACACAAGTACAAGAAAGCTCTCCTCCCAACTGAGTTGGGACCCTGAAAGATGGCGCGTCCCCAGGCTTGCTGGAGGGCTTCTCAATGTCAATTTGTGGAGTTATGTATATATATATATATATACCATACTTATTATACCATTTGTCATTACTAATTAGTACCATTCTTACCATTCTTATCCATGTTGCGACTGTTCAGTTTTCTTCTCTGGGAGGATCAAGATCATTCAAGATGCAGATCCCGGAAAAAGTCTTGAAGGTGGTTGTGGACTTTCTAGGCCCAGGCACTGAGCACCTCAAGTACTTCGCCGCGGAGGACACGGACCTCCGGGATGCCCTGCATCCGCAAGAGGCTCCTGAAGCCTACGAGGCAGGGGCCCGGGGACACAATTTCCTGCCAAGTTGCTGCACTTGAAGATGCTTCCTGCTCCGTGTCTCCACCAGGCTGTCAAGGCTATGGTCCAGGCGCTGGAATGGCAGGCCTGCAGCCGGCGTTGCCGCAAGGTACTGGACGCGGTGATTGGAGACAGCGTTGCAACCATTCGAGCAAGGCTTTGTGCCGTTTTCACCACTGGCACGCTTCGTTGCCTGTTGTGTGAGGACGTTTGCAACAGGACTTGCTACACCGTACCCAGGAGCCCCTGTCACCGATCGTGCCTAGCGTGCCACATTCGCCATGCCCGCGCAGTTCCTGGGGATGTGGTGATGGACATGCCCGATGACATGCCTGATGTGAATCCTTCATGGCGGTTCACACTCCACCGGGCGGACCGATGCGGCCTGATCCTTGCAGATCCATTTGGCCATGCTCGCCGCTTGAACGCCAATCGCTGACCGTTGCGGATGACGTTGCAGTTTTCACCGCCGCCTCTTGTGGTGATGAATTCAGGCCTACCTAGGCGGACTGACAGTCAATCTCATCGTGGGTCTCCAAAAGAACTTGCAGCAGATGAGCGGCACACCTACCAAGCTGTCTTACGTGACACAACCTTTGGATCAAGTCAAGAGAGTGAATGTCAGTTGATTCTTGAAGCACCCCAGCCTTCAGAAGAACGGGCCTCATTATTGGCCACGTTTCAGCTCCTGAAGTTCGTGGAAAGCAGACTTTGCCTGTCTAGGCACTGCTTGCATTCCTGGACCACAGCACAAGACCTGTAATCCATGTAATTGTGCATGGATGCCTTGACCCAAGCCGCCCCCTGTACATGCTGAAGGCATGGGTCTGGTCATCTGGTGAAGCCGGTATGTTGTACGCTTCAGCACGATTAAAAGGTGCCGAGTCTGCGTTCGTGGCTTCCTTAAGCCTTCTACTTGCTGGTGGTTAGTAGGAGTGAGGGAATCCAACCCCTATGCAATCCTTGTAAGATACACATGGTCAAGGCCGTAAGGTCGGCAGCTACTGGCAAGAGAACTTGATGCTAAGGACTCCGCCAGGGGATCCGCATTGACGGCCAAGTGGTCAAGGTGCCTTGCAGTAGGCTTTCAGTCTAGATTGCTACGTGGGAGTGGCACGAGTGGTGCTGATGCACACTACACCTGATGCCTAGGCATTGCCTTCACTTTGGCGGTTCGTACCCTCTGAAACTTTACCTCTATCGTGACCCTTAGGCAATCTTGATCACGTATATTTCTTGCAGGTATGTTTTCGTCGCATGGGACCAACACTCAAGGGCGTCCTCACGTAAGCCCTTGTCTTCTGCGTGTTGGCTAGTCATGCTCTTTCCCCGCGCAGGGCCTCTGCACAGGCCGGGCGGTGAATCGCTGCCTACCTTCGTGAGGCTGATCCTCAGCGGCTAGGTACGCAGGGGGCCAATACTCCTCAATTCAGGAACATACCTTAAACTATATAGGGATGACAAGATGATTCAAGGTATATCAAAGAACACTTCCCTTTCTAGATTCTTATTCAGAGCTTTTTGATTTTTGTCCAAGGGCTCTCAAAAGTACCAACCTGCAGAACATTACAGAACATTGTGTCGCCCTGAGGGGATGCTTGGTTTAACCGGACGGAGACCTGCCGCGTTTTCAATACCCTAAACCCCAAAATATATGAAGCCTTTAAACCCAAAACCCCAAACAGGCTTTCCGTCGGGTCTGCATGATGATGCAAGCCTTGGTCTGGAACTGAGGAAGGGCATGTACTGGGGCAGTTGTGTTTCTTGGAGCCTACTATCGCTGAGGCTTAAACCCTAGACTCCACAACCAGGGTTTCGATCATGGCATTATGCTGTGAGGTTGTCATCTGCATCTGCAGCCAGAAGCAGTAGCACTTCTATTTTGGAGACTCGTCGCCCTTCTGCATGCAGGGTTGCCACATGAGGTCTTTATCCAGAGCAAGAACCCAAAGTATCTGAGTGGCGGCAGTACTGCCAACTTTGTCAGGTGACAAAGCATCACACCAAGACATGTGCAAACAACGAAGAAGCCAAGCAACAGGAACCGAGGAGCGATCACTCCCAGTAGCAGCCACAAGCACGAAAAGACGGGGCTTATCCTGGCTCGCGACGGCGAGCGCCAAGACTACGCTGATCCTGCATGGTTGGCTGCGCACCTCCAAGCGGAAAGCGTCCTGTCATAAAGGAATCACAGCACGTTAGTTCAGTCCTTACACAGAACGTAAAATGCAGGTTTTCAGGGGATTGGTGCAAGCGGGTGTAGTTGCAGCGCCGGAGATGCGGCTCCCCCAATCGCCCTGTTTTGGATCTCGAGACTGCTGTTTGCCCCCAAAAAACTCCCTGGTTTCTGAGAGGCCCGGGCCTGGGATCCGCCGCCACGTCGCCCCCTAAGAATCCCTTTGAAGACACGACGCTTTGTCGACAATTCCCTGCAACTTAGAAGCTGGAGAGGTTGGGGTCGATTTTTGGGTTCGGGGTTGGGGTCAGGGTGGAATGGGGCGGGTTATTTGCAAGCCTTGCGGGCAGTGCTGGGCGCTCGGGCATCCGAAGTGGGAGAGGTTGAGGGTGTTGAGATCCCGTGGGCATCATCAGCATTGTGGTTTTCGTTTTGGCTTGGAACGAACTGGCACAAAGCAATAATGCTACCAACGGTACTGGAGGCTTGAGTGGAACCCCAATGATGCTGAGGATGAGGGGCGGTTTGGACTAGGGGCCTGGTGGGGGCAGAAGGTGGGCAAGCTACATGCATTCAGGCACGGCTCCTCTTCTTCCTCCTGCTTTCAGTCAAGAGGATGAAGGAACAACTACAGCTAGGATGGGAGTCATGCCTCGCGCCAAGACAGACATCCTTGGCAGAGGAGTACACTACGTGATGCGCAGGCGCAGAGCTTGGAGCTGATGTGTAATTCCGCATATTCCGCCGCTGATGCGTTTTCCTGCTATGTGGCGTCCCCGAAGCAAGTATGGTAAACTACAGTATACAGCGAACCACAGTACAGTATACAAGAGGTGTATTCTTGTCTATGTAGATTGTTATGTAGATTGGAAGCTTGGAGGAAGGGTCGAAGTTGAAGGCATATGATGCAGGTTCTGGCAAATTCGGCGCCAATCACATCTCCTGCCTGACCTCTAGAAGAAACCCTGAACCTGGCTTAAAGCCAGCCTCAGGCCAGAGGCGATCTTGGGTAGTTGAACATGGCAAGGGAACGCAAAGTCTGGTCCCGTTGACTAGAATACTATACAGTATGTATGCATCGTACCGTTTTGTATTGTAGAGATGGGAAAGTACAGTACTTTCGCTGGCTACATTCAACGGAGACATGCCAGGGCAGGAACTAAAACGAGACGAATGCTACCTCGACCTCAGGTAAGATCATTGTCACAGCTCTCCAAGAGTTGTGCAGCCATTCGCTCTTTGCATCTTACGTCCTGGTTTCCTGCACTTGACAGCATGGAATACAATGGAATACGATTTCCCCGGAAAGAACTGACTGTAGATAGTACTTCCAGACAGTAAGATCTCGTGCCTGGTACCCCACTGCACCCCCGCCCTCCGACATATGACGCTGCAACCTCTATCTCCAGAGAAGGATCCGAAAGAACGCATAAAGTGCTGCTTGCACTTAAACAAACCTCTTGAGAGCCCTTTCTTCCCGCAGCTCTTTGCTCAGGCTGCCATGCACCAGTAAAGAGAGTACCAGCACCGACCTCGGCGCCTGTCTTTCAGTCCTAATTTGCCTGGTCTCCACACGGCACTCTAGTAAAGTATAGTATTCGGCCACAACATGCCATAAAATCAATCGTGCCTGCAGCTCTTTGCCAGCACAGTTCCTGATAAACAAGGTCCTGCAAAAGTAGATCGGCAGCTTTGACAACTCCCCCTACGAAGGACTTCAGGCTGATTGTATGCTAAAGTGTATTGTGCCAGTATGCGGGTTCCTCTTGTTGCTGCAATTTACAAAGCCAGCATCTGGCCTGCGTTTGCCACAGCCGTTCAGGCCTGTTCTCCGTGATGTGTCCCGGCTAACGACCGGCAGGCCTGCACGTAGCTTCTCTCGGCACATCGTGCCGAGTGTTTTCGAACTTGTAGCCAATCACAGGTAGAAATAAGTTAGCATTCGTCCCGACCTCGATTGGCTGGATTCGGAGCACTTCGGTGCTTGCTTTTGCCAGGCTCACTTGCAGTGTCAGGGAGCGGCGCTGCTCCGTGAGCCAGTGTTGGCCCAGGGCTGTCATTGTCGAAAGTGTGTATTCCGATGCAGCATAGCAGCTGAGGATGAGTGCAGTTCTCAGGTTTGAGTTGTGCTGTCATGCTGAGCTTTCAGCCGTTGGCTTAGACAGCCTCGCAGACCTCCTGACGTGTGTACTCGAGGACCGCTGGCTGAGAAGTAAAGGGGCAGTTTAGATGGCCATCTGTGTTGGGGCCAAGTAGGTAATTTCTGGACGCTCCATAAAGCATGATTGACTCATAGCACGTTCTGATGGTGTTGATGTTGCTTGTGTAATCAAAATATGTTGAGCATTCCTTATCAAGTATTTTCGATCTTTCAATGGTGATGATTATAAACTGACATATCAGGGAAACCATACCTTTGGGGCGAGTGTGTTTTTTCCAGTTTAAGCGATTAGAAGAGAGATCTTGACAAGAGCTGCTTCAAGCCGGAGTAGTTGAGGCCAATGCTTGGTGTAGATCATGATTCAAGCTGAGTGGCCCACTGCAGTCACCTTGAAGTACTTCAGATAGTTGAGAAAAAACCCAGGCACACATCAAGTGTCTCTTCCCAAGCATTGTCCAACTCAAGCACAATTTCTATGCTGGAAGGATCCACCATGGAGAGCGCTAAGAGTGCATCGATTGTCGACCTCAGCCCAGAGATCCTGATGAAGGTCCAGAGTTCAGGGGCTAGGATAGGAACCGATTTGTCTAGCTAGAAGGTTTCTACAGTTGGTTCAGGAGCGCATGCTGCCATTGCCCCAAACTGGAGTTTTGTCCTGGCTTTCCTGAAGGTCCGCGCCTACATTGGCCCTGGCGAAGAGGACTACGCGTACCTTCATGACAAGAACACGAACCTTCGAGATTCTCTCCATCCCAGGGAGATGCCGGGTGCACACCAGGCGGGTAGACAGTGTTCCTGGGATTCCTGCTTAACTCCAAGAGCACTCCGTTGTACTGAGTTTTTTTGTGCCTCTCGCAGGCGGTGAAGGCCATTGTCCCAGCACTCTTCGATCGAGCGCAGTTGCGGCGATGCTGCCGGCGCCTCTGTGAGGATGCCGGAGACCTCACAACGATCATTTACAGGTTCGGGAGCGCTTTGAACACAGGGACGCTAAGATGCCTACGATGCGAAAGCTTGTGTGGCGGACCGTGCTACACCATCATGCGCGGGAGGATTGCTTGTTTCAGAGACTGTCACAGGTGCCATATTCGCCATACGCCTGTCGTGGAGTCTTCATGGCGTATGAGGTTTCGGACCCTGGCGGACCTCAACTGCTGCCCTGTAGTCCTCTGACATCCTTTCGGACGTTCGTTGCTGGAGGATGAAGATCATTGATCCAAGCGACGGGTTCTGAGCATCTCTGAGATGTCACCGTGGCAGGGTGGACAGAAGTCCAGCACTCCGCTACTGAATTCATTTATCCAGGGCCTTGCCAACACATAGGCCCGCCGAGTGCAATTTCCACTGGTTCTGTCTCGAAAACTGGCAAAGTGGTTTAGGCTCCTTCTTCAATATATAGCTTGCTCTCCACAGCAACACACAGGTGTCCACAAGCTCTGAATCCTGGCTGTCCCACACAAGCCATTCTTCCAGCCCCCGTGGGTATGTCAGATTCAGAGACAACTAATCAACCAAGCCGGTCAACAAGTAACAATCCCTGAATCCTTGTTTGGGTCCGCAAAGTCCCTAGCCTATAGCCATGTCAAATATAGTTCTTATATTGTGCAGCGCCAGGGTCTTCTCGGTGATGCGAGCGTGGAAGTACAGTTCATGTGTAGTGTCATCATTACAGGAGAAGACTTTGCATGTTGTGTGGACATCTTTGGCGTTGATTTTGGAGCATTGGCAAGCATGATGTAAATGACAGTGGCCCCCACTACACTGCGTTACGGGGGAGAGGCCGATGCTTCGAGACAGGCCCAATTTTTGCAATTCAGGGCGGGAACCATTAAGATGCCTGACCATAGGCGCCTTCTTTATTCCCCGGATGATTCAACGTGCTTAGATGCATAAGGTTGCATGAGGATGCTTTTGAACTAGGCCTGCTACAAAAGCAGGCAATGGGTCGCGGCATTCTGAGAAGTTTGCAGACTGCTTGCCTGCCGGCAAAACGGGCATCTCGCAATATAGTGAAGGAGCAGTAGCTAGAATGTTTTGTAGTTTCCAGATCTCGATGTTTTTGGTTTGGCGTTTCTGCAGTCGGGACATCTGTGTTTCTTGGAACCGTATCTTTTGGAGTATCGCTGGCCGAGTCCTAAACCCTGAACCGGATTTTTGGTCATGGCATTGTCCTGTACTGGACTGTTGTCGAAGATCTGTCGCCCTTTTGCAAGCAGGGCTGCCACAGGGGTCCTCATCCAGAGCCAGCACCAATCTCATCCGAAGCAATTTACGATTATTGCTAGAGGCTAGCATGAGTGCCTGTCTGCGCTCGTGTTCTCGTTTTCGGCGTCCTTTGCCCTTCTGCGCGTTGTATTGTTGGTTCCAGTGTGAAGCAGATTTATAGCGTTGAGGGATTGCATCCCCCCAAGAGCTGAATCTGTCCCTGGGCTGGGCGCAGTGCGGCTAAAGCACTGCTTGCCGCAGTGGCGGCAGTACTGCCAGCTCTCCCTCTAAAGTGCTGGATTCTGTGCTTGGTCCGTTAGACGTTTGGATGCTTTATTGAAGCAAGTCAGCATCATCGCATTCTTGTGTTCGTTTTTGACAAGCGTTAGCACAAAGCAAAATGCTAAACGGTACTGGAGCCCTCAATTTGATGGCTGAGGCTTGAGTGGAACCCCCAATGATGCTGATGATGATGGGACTAGGGGCCTGGTGGCGCAGGGGTGGGGGCCGAGGGTGGGCAAGCTACATGCATCCACGGATGGTCTATGTCAGATCAGCCTTGTTCCTCTTTTTCCTCCTGGTCTTAAACAAGAGGATGAAGGAAAACAACAGCTAGGATGGGAGTCATGCCTGGCGCCAAGGCAGACATCCTTGGCAGAGGAGTACACTACGTGATGCGCAGGCGCAGAGCTTGGAGCTGATGTGTAATTCCGCATATTCCGCCGCTGATGTGTTTTTCTGCTATGTGGCGTCCACACTGGGGTGATGTGTATTTCTCACGACCTGATGTGAGATAAGCCCGAAGCAAGTATGGTAAACTACAGCGAACCACAGTACAGTATACAAGAGGTGTATTCTTGTCTATGTAGATTGTTATGTAGATTGGAAGCTTGGAGGAAGGGTCGAAGTTGAAGGCATATGATGCAGGTTCTGGGAAAGTCGGCGCCAATCACATCTCCTGCCTGACCTCTAGAAAAAGCCCTGAACCTGGCTTAAAGCCAGCCTCAGGCCAGAGGCGATCTTGGGTAGTTGAACATGGCAAGGTAACGCAAAGTCTGGTCCCGTTGACTAGAATACGATACAGTATGTATGCATCGTACCGTTTTGTATTGTAGAGATGGGAAAGTACAGTACTTTCGCTGGCTACATTCAACGGAGACATGCCAGGGCAGGAACTAAAACGAGCGGTAGCTTGCCGCTATGTATAATGATCTCGTACCTTAGTATATCGTATCGTACTCTCAAAAAGCTGTAGAGACGAATGCTACCTCGACCTCAGGTAAGATCATTGTCACAGCTCTCCAAGCGTTGTGCAGTCATTCGCTCTTTGCATCTTACTTCCTGGTTTCCTGCACTTGACAGCATGGAATACAATGAAGGGGATTTCCCCGGAAAGAACTGACTGTAGATAGTACTTCCAGACAGTAAGATCTCGTGCCTGGTACCCCACTGCACCCCCGCCCTCCGACATATGACGCTGCAACCTCTATCTCCAGAGAAGGATCCGAAAGAACGCATAAAGTGCTGCTTGCACTTAAACAAACCTCTTGAGAGCCCTTTCTTCCCGCAGCTCTTTGCTCAGGCTGCCATGCACCAGTAAAGAGAGTACCAGCACCGACCTCGGCGCCTGTCTTTCAGTCCTAATTTGCCTGGTCTCCACACGGCACTCTAGTAAAGTATAGTATTCGGCCACAACATGCCATAAAATCAATCGTGCCTGCAGCTCTTTGCCAGCACAGTTCCTGATAAACAAGGTCCTGCAAAAGTAGATCGGCAGCTTTGACAACTCCCCCTACGAAGGACTTCAGGCTGATTGTATGCTAAAGTGTATTGTGCCAGTATGCGGGTTCCTCTTGTTGCTGCAATTTACAAAGCCAGCATCTGGCCTGCGTTTGCCACAGCCGTTCAGGCCTGTTCTCCGTGATGTGTCCCGGCTAACGACCGGCAGGCCTGCACGTAGCTTCTCTCGGCACATCGTGCCGAGTGTTTTCGAACTTGTAGCCAATCACAGGTAGAAATAAGTTAGCATTCGTCCCGACCTCGATTGGCTGGATTCGGAGCACTTCGGTGCTTGCTTTTGCCAGGCTCACTTGCAGTGTCAGGGAGCGGCGCTGCTCCGTGAGCCAGTGTTGGCCCAGGGCTGTCATTGTCGAAAGTGTGTATTCCGATGCAGCATAGCAGCTGAGGATGAGTGCAGTTCTCAGGTTTGAGTTGTGCTGTCATGCGGAGCTTTCAGCCGTTGGCTTAGACAGCCTCGCAGACCTCCTGACGTGTGTACTCGAGGACCGCTGGCTGAGAAGTAAAGGGGCAGTTTAGATGGCCATCTGTGTTGGGGCCAAGTAGGTAATTTCTGGACGCTCCATAAAACATGATTGACTCATAGCACGTTCTGATGGTGTTGATGTTGCTTGTGTAATCAAAATATGTTGAGCATTCCTTATCAAGTATTTTCGATCTTTCAATGGTGATGATTATAAACTGACATATCAGGGAAACCATACCTTTGGGGCGAGTGTGTTTTTTCAAGTTTAAGCGATTAGAAGAGAGATCTTGACAAGAGCTGCTTCAAGCCGGAGTAGTTGAGGCCAATGCTTGGTGTAGATCATGATTCAAGCTGAGTGGCCCACTGCAGTCACCTTGAAGTACTTCAGATAGTTGAGAAAAAACCCAGGCACACATCAAGTGTCTCTTCCCAAGCATTGTCCAACTCAAGCACAATTTCTATGCTGGAAGGATCCACCATGGAGAGCGCTAAGAGTGCATCGATTGTCGGCCTCAGCCCATGGATCCTGATGAAGGTCCAGAGTTCAGGGGCTAGGATAGGAACCGATTTGTCTAGCTAGAAGGTTTCTACAGTTGGTTCAGGAGCGCATGCTGCCGTTGCCCCAAACTGGAGTTTTGTCCTAGCTTTCCTGAAGGTCCGCGCCTACATTGGCCCTGGCGAAGAGGACTACGCGTACCTTCATGACAAGAACACGAACCTTCGAGATTCTCTCCATCCCAGGGAGATGCCGGGTGCACACCAGGCGGGTAGACAGTGTTCCTGGGATTCCTGCTTAACTCCAAGAGCACTCCGTTGTACTGAGTTTTTTTGTGCCTCTCGCAGGCGGTGAAGGCCATTGTCCCAGCACTCTTCGATCGAGCGCAGTTGCGGCGATGCTGCCGGCGCCTCTGTGAGGATGCCGGAGACCGCACAACGATCATTTACAGGTTCGGGAGCGCTTTGAACACAGGGACGCTAAGATGCCTACGATGCGAAAGCTTGTGTGGCGGACCGTGCTACACCATCATGCGCGGGAGGATTGCTTGTTTCAGAGACTGTCACAGGTGCCATATTCGCCATACGCCTGTCGTGGAGTCTTCATGGCGTATGAGGTTTCGGACCCTGGCGGACCTCAACTGCTGCCCTGTAGTCCTCTGACATCCTTTCGGACGTTCGTTGCTGGAGGATGAAGATCATTGATCCAAGCGACGGGTTCTGAGCATCTCTGAGATGTCACCGTGGCAGGGTGGACAGAAGTCCAGCACTCCGCTACTGAATTCATTTATCCAGGGCCTTGCCAACACATAGGCCCGCCGAGTGCAATTTCCACTGGTTCTGTCTCGAAAACTGGCAAAGTGGTTTAGGCTCCTTCTTCAATACATAGCTTGCTCTCCACAGCAACACACAGGTGTCCACAAGCTCTGAATCCTGGCTGTCCCACACAAGCCATTCTTCCAGCCCCCGTGGGTATGTCAGATTCAGAGACAACTAATCAACCAAGCCGGTCAACAAGTAACAATCCCTGAATCCTTGTTTGGGTCCGCAAAGTCCCTAGCTTATAGCCATGTCAAATATAGTTCTTATATTGTGCAGCGCCAGGGTCTTCTCGGTGATGCGAGCGTGGAAGTACAGTTCATGTGTAGTGTCATCATTACAGGAGAAGACTTTGCATGTTGTGTGGACATCTTTGGCTTTGATTTTGGAGCATTGGCAAGCATGATGTAAATGACAGTGGCCCCCACTACACTGCCTTACGGGGGAGAGGCCGATGCTTCGAGACAGGCCCAATTTTTGCAATTCAGGGCGGGAACCATTAAGATGCCTGACCATAGGCGCCTTCTTTATTCCCCGGATGATTCAACGTGCTTAGATGCATAAGGTTGCATGAGAATGCTTTTGAACTAGGCCTGCTACACAAGCAGGCAATGGGTCGCGGCATTCTGAGAAGTTTGCAGACTGCTTGCCTGCCGGCAAAACGGGCATCTCGCAATATAGTGAAGGAGCTGTAGCTAGAATGTTTTGTAGTTTCCAGATCTCGATGTTTTTGGTTTGGCGTTTCTGCAGTCGGGACATCTGTGTTTCTTGGAATCTTATCTTTTGGAGTATCGCTGGCCGAGTCCTAAACCCTGAACCAGATTTTTGGTCATGGCATTGTCCTGTACTGGACTGTTGTCGAAGATCTGTCGCCCTTTTGCAAGCAGGGTTGCCACAGGGGTCCTCATCCAGAGCCAGCACCAATCTCATCCGAAGCAATTTGCGATTATTGCTAGAGGCTAGCATGAGTGCCTGTCTGCGCTCGTGTTCTCGTTTTCGGCGTCCTTTGCCTTAAGCGCGTTGTATTGTTGGTTCCAGTGTGAAGCAGATTTATAGCGTTGAGGGATTGCATCCCCCCAAGAGCTGAATCTGTCCCTGGGCTGGGCTCAGTGCGGCTAAAGCACTGCTTGCCGCGGTGGCGGCAGTACTGCCAGCTCTCCCTCTAAAGTGCTGGATTCTGTGCTTGGTCCGTTAGACGTTTGGATGCTGTATTGAAGCAAGTCAGCATCATCGCATTCTTGTGTTCGTTTTTGACAAGCGTTAGCACAAAGCAAAATGCTAACGGTACTGGAGCCCTCAATTTGATGGCTGAGGCTTGAGTGGAACCCCCAATGATGCTGATGATGATGGGACTAGGGGCCTGGTGGCGCAGGGGTGGGGGCCGAGGGTGGGCAAGCTACATGCATCCACGGATGGTCTATGTCAGATCAGCCTTGTTCCTCTTTTTCCTCCTGGTCTTAAACAAGAGGATGAAGGAAAACAACAGCTAGGATGGGAGTCATGCCTGGCGCCAAGGCAGACATCCTTGGCAGAGGAGTACACTACGTGATGCGCAGGCGCAGAGCTTGGAGCAGGCGGCGCCATGATCACATGCACGAGCTTCCTGCCCCGCAGAAGGGCTGCGAGCAGAGGGTTCTCATTATCAGTTTCCGAAGGAGCAGGGTCGCGTGGTTCATGATTAGTGGTTTGGGGTTTGGAAATCTGAAGCCGGAGTACCACCCTGAACTGCATGACGAGCACACGGACAGTGGCTTCAGTGTGGCGAACCTTTTGGAGTTGGCCTGCTTTGTTTGCTGGTCCCAAAAAGACATCCCAATCTCTGAACAGCATAGCCCCGTAGCCTGAGTGCTGCATGTTGTTCTAGTTCGGTGCGAAAGGTTATTCAATCAAGACTCCATCAGCATAGCAAAGCAACAAAGCAAGCTACGCTCGGGGCGCCTGTGCAAGCAGCCAAGCGCAAGGAATAGAGGAGCGATCACTCCTGGTAGCAAACACCATGGCGCTTATCCTGGCTCGCCACGGCGAGCGCCAAGACTACGCTGATGATGCGTGGTTGGCTGCGCACCTCCAGGCGGAAAGCGTCCTGTCATATCAGAATGTCGCAACAATACACAAGATTACATGTTCATGATTCTTACCATTGTTGTTCTAAATATTCTTGTAAAGCCTGCGATGAGCTTGCGCAGCGCTGGAGGACTTAAAATGCATGTTCGCGGGGGAGTGGTGCAAGTGGGTGTGTTGGCGGGGCCAACCGAGGGCCCTCCGTACTGGCGACGAGACCTTGTGACCTTGTGGTTGCTTGCCCCTAAGATCCTCTGGGTAACAGAGAGGCCCGGCCCTGGGATCCGCCGCTCAGCGCCGAGGGACGAGCCCAGGCAAAGCGCCTGCCTCAGGCCCGCGTGGAGTAAGGAACCTGTGTACAGGCAGCCCTAGGAATCTCGCTTAGCGACAGTTCCCTGTACCTTAAACGCTCTGGCTTCCGGTCCAGGGTTGAATGGGGCTTGCTAGTAGCACGCATTAGGGCCCCTTGGTCCTCAGTGAGGGCAGTGGCCGCGGGCGCAAGCGCACATGGGACATGGGGGAAAATGGGTCAGGGCCTTGTGATCCATGTTGGGGAGATCTTACTTCAAGGGCTTTGAGAGCTTTCGTAGGGCTGGTTGCCTCAGGGACTTCCCCAGCAATCTTTTCAGACTAAGAGTTCTCCAGAGCAGTTCAAGAGGAAATATTGTTATTCGTGCCAGTGAGGCAGTGCGATCCTTTTGCCAAGAGCTTGGCCTGGAGCTGGGAGCCATCTACTCATCGCCCATGCGCTTTCGACGCACGAGCGAAATAGGGGTGTCAGTGCTAGGGTTATGGGTTCGGGATGCACGGCGGGCGGGGGCAGGTTAGGAGTGGGAACCAGCTTGAGTCTGCAATGGGTTACAGGAGTAGGGAGCACACCGTGACTGGAATCTGGGTTCGTGTCAATGTGGACAATGGGGAAAAAGGCAACGATGCGTGGAGACCGCAACGCCGACGTCAAACTCCGAGACGCCGGGATGCAAACTCTGTTCTGAGGCATTGGCGTCTGACGATCAGTTCTGGGCAGGGAATCTGGAAGTTCCTTTTCCATCTGAGGCTGCCGGTGATTGTGGATCCCCATCTGGGGGAGTGGCTCAGTCCCTGGGCTCATTCACTCAAAGTGAGGCGGCTGATGAAAGTGTGCGGGGGTTAGGGGCAGGGAGGATGAAAGCTGCCTGAGTTATACAGATGAAGTCAATGCTACAAGGGTTTCATGGTGGTTTGGCGCCGAAGGAAAGTCGTAAGGGGTGGGGGCCTTTGCTGTACAGGCTTGTACCGCGTTTGTAGAAAGACTTCATCACCTGAGTGCTGGGACCCGTGAAGTCTAGGGTCCGGGTAACAGCGACTCCAGCAGTCCCGAAAGGACGGCCGAGACAAGTTGACACGGACGAGCTTGTACAGTTTCGGTTTGAGTTTGCTCTTGAACTTATCGTTCTTACAAAAGGGAAAGCTAGATTGAAGCTTGGGACCGATGAAGTCAACGACCATGCTTGTGATTGAACAAGATGTCATGAGTCATCAGGCCTACCTACTGCATCTTTTTCCTTCTATACTCTATGAGAGGGAGCTGCATCATGCTTCAAGTTTCAGAGAGACCTGAACCCTAATTGACCTGAGGGTCACGCTGTGTTGCTTCGCATACGCACGGAGCCGACGAAGCCCCTATCCACATCCCACGTATGCCAAGGAGCACGCGATTTAATGTTCGCCTCATCGGACACCCCTTACATCCTTCATCCTGAATCCTTGTCCTAAGCCCTTGTCCTACAGGCGACAGCTTCTACAAAAGCTGGGCATGTGCTGATTCCAATGGCCGCTGGGGCAGCGGCAGTTTGCCGGTGCGCCCCGAGTTTGCTGAGCAGGCCGGTTCGGCTTTACGCTGTTTAGGTCGGGGTCCTTTCAAGGAAGGTTTCTTGAGGGCTGGGGGGTAGGGTTCGGACCGGGTTCCCGAAATTGGGGTCCCCTTGGCCGTGTCCCTCGTAGCAGCTACCAGGGCAAAACCAGTAGCAGCAGTTAGCAGCTGTAAGAAACAGCAGGGGCGTACATACGTAATTCGAGGCTGCCCATATTCCTAAGTCTTCCTCGCGGGGTCTCGGCTTAGGGTTTAGGGTTAAGGCTCCAAGAGGCAGTTCTGAAGAACCTCCGGTTTTCACCTTTTTCCAAGCAGGTGGCTACGCCCGCCGGCGAGTGGCTTTACGGTGGCGTCGGCCGTGAAGTGTACAGGAACACGCTGGTCGCTGGGCCTGTCTGACGTACAATATATGAGACATCATTCCACTTCCATGAAAGCGACTATATAGGGGACCAGTATAGGGGTTATTGAGGGGTTACTCGGAACTTATATAGGATCGACTTTCGGCATTATGCAAGGTTTGGGCTTCAGCAGCAGGCTGCAGCTGTGCTGGGAAGCGGATGCCTCTTTAGATCTTTTTAGGAATTCACCAATATCCTGGCCCTACACCCTAAACCGTGCTTTCGCAGTTGTTAGAAGAGTCGCTCATATTCAAGGACAGGCCCGAGGAGCTGGAGGTTGCAGCTGAGAGAGTGGCCACACGACTGGAGGTGTGGGGTTGTAGAGATTCAGTAGGTGGCTGCCCAAATACACGACAGCATAATATGAAAAAAGATCTGCTTCCCTGAGTCTATGAAGCCTGGCATGGGATCCTGAATCAAAGTGGAACAGAACAAAACCATCACTGGCCCCAGACGCTCTTCGCTGCGAGCCCGGAGAAGGCCCAAAAGGGGTCCGGGCTTGACTGCAATGGGTAATTCGGGAGATCAAAATCAGTTTAAACAGGGCAAATTGCATGCATAAGGAGCCGAGTGTTCAATAAGATGCCAACATCAAGGTGGGCAGCGTGTGGTTGTTTGCGTTCTGTCATTGCAGGGGTCAAGAAGACGAAGCGCTAGGGACGGATGCCGGCTCCTCTTATGCGGCGTTTTGCATAGAGAACATAGCAACTAGCAGCAACTAGCATCTAAACGGCATCAAATAAGGGCCAGAATTTTGACAGCCCACCCTATTCTGCGGAGCGCAGCTTCTAATCTCATCGGGAGAGGGTGCGGGTTAGGGGTGCGCGCTGTCATTGCAGAGTTCAAGAGAGCAAACGCTTGAGATGGCGGTCGGTTGTCCGCTGAATGTCATGTACAAACCATCTGAGAGCGACAACTACTTCGCCCAAGACTTGAGATCTTGGTCCCCAACATAGATATCAGTCCTGTCGGGATGGCACCCAAAGGCTACAAGTGATAATGCAAAGCCCTCACCCTAGAACCCCTACTTGAACCCTAAGCCTCAACTGCGAGGCGGTCCTGGCCGTGGGTCACGCCGGCACCGTGGCCGCAGCAGCTCTGCGACTGGCCGGCCGCATGGGCGATAAGTTGGCCTTTCCAGGATTTAGGGGGTTCGGGGTATAGGGTTTAGGGTTCGGATGATGTTTCTGCTTTAAGACTGTCAAGTTACGTTCTCTTCTTTAATGCGTTCCCAGCGGTCTGCGACTGCAGCGTCATCCCCGTGCTGTCGTCCCGGAGTTCTTCGTGGCATATTATTCGGATTTGCCAAACTTCGTGGGTCCAGACCATTCCTCCGATGTGTCTCCTTGGGAATTGCACCGCTAGGCATGTCCAAACACCTCCTGGGATGTGCCGTGTTGTTGGGAGTCATGCCTCGCATCGCGCCCTTTTTTCGTGTCTTCGTGTTTGTGGGTGCGTGGTTCCGGGAGGGTTGTAGATACAGCATGCAGTTGCTTATATTTTTGAGTTCACGATGTATTCCTGTTCTGGTACCATCTTCATTGACTGGCTTTGTCAAGACCGACAGACATCGCATGACTGCGGTGTTCCTGTAAGTGGCCAAGCGTTCTTCGCCACGTCACAGCCGGAGTGTTGCTGAGGTCAGCCTGTGGTTCTGCCCGACTACTCCATACCGTTCACTGGCGTCTTCGTGCTGCGGCGCACATCTGAGGGTGGTTGGGAAAGTGTGGCCTTTGCTGACGACAGGCACCTTCGAGCCTAAGGCCAATGGCGCAGAGGGAAATGCGGGGAGCGTTACACCCCAAAGCCACAAACCTTTCTCCAGCTTTTCCCGTCCGCCAGGCCTCCCGGCAGGCTGCAGCTCCAAGCCGATGCATTAATTCATTTTTCAAGTCGGCCCTTCGAACTTTTGTGCCGGCGAGGGCTGGCTCTTATGAAGTCATGCGGACAGACAGGTGGGCTAATTCGCAGGTCTAAACCCAAAGTCATTTAAAGTCGAGTCTGTCCCCTATAGGCCAATTCTTTTTAGCTGAGATGATCCGTGTTCTTGCCTTGCCAAATCATTTCATGGCTGATCATGCTCGCAGGATCTGGCAATAGGTCCGTGGGCCACACCCGCAAGATGTGCCCATCGATGTTGGGAGGTCAGTCGTTCGATTTTGCAGGGACGGTCTTTGTGGCGGCCCCCGAGCTAGCAAGACGGTGCCGTATTCGGCATCTGTAGTGGGGACCGACTCACCACGCGAGACCAGGCTGTACAGATGCTTAACTGCCTAACCCTAGGTCCAGGCAGATCTCGCAGATCCCGTGCTGCTGTCGAAAACAGGCTAGGCTTGCTTTGCCAGGCTCCTGACCTGCTTCCTGCGCCGCAGTGCCGTCAGTATAAGTGACAGGCAAGGCTAGAGCCTGCCATGTTTGCGAAGGCAGCTGCCATTGCCGTTTGAGAGGTTTTGCCATGTGCTAAAGGCATAGGCATAGGCAACTTCCATCTCACCGACGTTTCAGAGCTTTTCCCTTTTTGCAGTCGGGTGTCGTGTCAGGTGGGCGGTCTTCAACGGCGCGACGAGCCTACTGCGGGGTCAGATCCCGAGCCAGGGGGTCAAAGTGCAATGGGTCTCTGAAGTTGCAGTGTGCTCCAAACGTGGTTCTTCCCTGTGCCAGTATCATAGCCGAAAATAGGCCAGCGGCAATGAGACTTTGGCCCGTCCAGGGTTTTCGTCCGCTGCGGCTTGAAGCTGTCCAGGCCTATTCTAGGTAGCATCCAAGTCGGGCACAAAGCCTTGCCGATGGCGAATGTGGGCGCTGGGGAAGCAAGGGACCCAAATTCAGGGCCCATACTGGGAGGCTTACATTCCCGTTTTCGGGCTACTGCCCTCAGGCTTGAAGGGTGTTATTGTGGGGTGGTGCTTCGCTGCGTGCAATTCTTCCTCAACTACGCGCAACGTGAGAGAGAACTCTGGCAACAGGTTGACGCAAGGTTTGCGGCTGCTGATCAGCAAGCTGTAAGGTGCCGAGAGCTTCTTCGTGGCAGCACTCAGTTGGCCAGGGAGAGTCACTTGGACGCGATCTTGACGGCGAAGGATACGATCGAGAGTTGCCTGTTTCAGAGCAAGGATGCAGCAGCCGTGGGATTGACTTTGGCACAGTGCCGTTCAGTTGAGAGGGCTTACAGGGCCATGTTTGAGAACTCAACCCTATTCCGTTCCTGGGAGAGCAGCGATCTTCCAGGTGCTCTTGACGTGAAGGACTTGGTGGACGGGATGTTCGCTACGGTCCACACAGCCATCGCACCAGCAGTGGGTACTGTTCCAAACCATTTGCCCGAGGCACGTCAAATCCAGGAGCTTTCCGAACTTCTGCAGGAGGTACTCGCCAGGACCTATCTGCAAGGGATCACAGAGGAGATTTGTCGTGGTTTACAGGGCGAAGCAAATCGTTTGGAAGCAGAAATTGAGAGAAGCTATCAGGAGGTGCGACGTCGTGCTCACGACACCCCCTTCAACTACATCGTGCGGGATGAGAACTGCTATGAGCGATGGGCTGCAGAATCGATGCCTCTGCACGGTTTCCGGAGTGACGCGGACGACCCGTACATGGTTGTCAAGGGCAGGTTTGTGGGAGAGCATCTGCGGCCGCAACTTCGGTTGTTTTACAGGCGCCGGGAGATCTACCGAGACCTTCGGCACCACGGACGACCAGTCTTTACTCAAGCACTGCCTGAAGTCCACTATAAGGATAGGAGCGTGCATGGTTGGCCACGAGTGCGTTCCGGAGGAGCCCTTCCAGCGAACAATAGATTGCGCTAGTCATCCACGCCACGTACCCGTGCCATCCCCGACGAATGACGAGCCTAGAGCCCTTGCAACATTCTTTGAGGGCTGCTGCTTTCTGCGCAGCTTGTCTAGACAGGTTGCTTGGGGGCTTGGGGGTCAAACCAGCTGTACGCACTTTCCTTGGGCTTGGTTGCTTTGCACGTGGCTGTAGGTGTGGCTTGCAGATCATCGCACTGCAGATGCAGACAACTCCTGTCACGACCGTGCCGTGGCTTTATGCAAGCAGTGCAGCCCGTTCAGCTTCTTTTCTGCTTGTCTGATCTATCTTGTGGCTGAGGTCATTCGAAAGACAGTTTGAAGAACGTGTGCCGATTTGTACAGGGCGGCACAGGGTCATTGTTTCTTTCCATGGCTGAGGTTCCTAAGCAATCTCGACATGCCAGTAGTAGCTGCTTCGCGCCTGAATCAATGCATCGAGTCGCACTGTGCCTGCTCCAAACGTGGTTCTTCCCTGTGCCAGTATCATAGCCATGTAATGTTGATTAGAACTCCGTTGAACTTTCTGGCATGTTTCGTCAGACTCGAAGCAGACGTGAGCCAAGCCATTGTTGGGCCTTCAGGCCTTGAGATTCCCCAAACTCCTTATGTTTCACTGTAGTGTGGCGGAACCCAGAAGGCACCGCCATATTGTACAGAGCAAGGAGGCCGCGGAAGATCCCGGAACCATGCCTCCATGCCTGAATAGGCATGAATAGGCTGTGGGTCCCAGACACCGGCTTCAGATGCCAGAGCAATCGTGCCCCCCTGCAGCGCAGCGGACGAAACGCTTTTGCTACAAGGCGTGTCAGAAGGCCGAGCCTTCTACCTATGAAAGACTGACCCAGATGCTCGCTTTTGCCAGGCTTGAGCTCATTTGCGATCCACGGCCCGCGCCCTGGAAAGCTCACTGCAGCTGGCAAGGGGCATGCAGCAGGGAAACGACTGCTTGCAACAACTCGTATTTTAGGGTTTAGGCCTCAGGGTTTCGGGTCTGGTTTCCATCTCTACTGTACCATACTGTACCTGTAACCTTTTCGTGAGCAACAATTAACGTAGTACCAATAGCAGAGGTCCATTCAAGCAAGAAAGCACCTTTTGTCGTTCGGAGCCTGTGCGGCAGAAGCGCAACACAAGGCTAACAGTTCTCCGACACATGCCGCTTCACGAAATGGCAAGTTTCGCCAAGGGCCTCCTGAAACAAACGGGCGCGCGCGGAATTGTGGAAACGGTATGAAGAAGGGGATGATTGCGGCTCTGGTACGACAGCCACCTCGACTTGGCGGCTATATTCGTGAAGTCAGCGCTCTCCCAGAGTATCAGGTATCAGGCATTCACGGCTTCGGATGCCAACGTGAAAGCGTGGGGCCCATACGGGCGACGTACCCGTGTGTTTGTACCCTGTTGTATTTGTAGCCTGTTGTGGTGCACCTTCTCATTGTCGTTGCCTCGTCATCAACCATCATCAACCTCTGTGTGCATAGGTTGTGCTTTCGAAACATGCGAGCCGTTAGCAATGTCGTTGCATGAAGCAATCGTGGAATCGTCTCCAAGAGCCCAAAGGTCTGAGACCCAGGATGCAAGCGGGCTGACAGAAACTGATCAAACAGCACGGATCTACGACTTCAGACCCGAAGCCAGACTTGAGTCCCGGGACCTCGGCTTTAGCAAGGTAGACAAGAGAATATTGGTGCAGATCAGAGGACAGTTTCGCACAGCAGCCTAGCTCAGTAGTGGAGCATCGTAGGCTCGGCTACAGTAGATCGGAGGCATCGCAGGGCGCCATAGGGTGGAGGCGGCAATGGCCGACGAACACTCGAGAGTAATGCTTTCCTTGCAGGCTTGGGGACAAGAGTTAGGGATTCGGGCTGTAGGCCCTGTTGGCTTGAGTGCGTTGCAGCACCTGCTGAAAAGGGGTTTGCTTTTTGCACCATTTCCGGCTGCCTCAGGCATGAGTCGGACGAGATGTTTCGTGCTGCTTGATTCCTCCAGCATCATAGTATAGCATATTATGCTTCACTGTAGTTTCGACGTCTAGTTGCAGTATCCTAAAGGAGATACTTTCAGTTGAGAGTGGCGGCAGTCCTGGTTTGCTTTGAGGGTCAAGGCGAAAGACTCGGAAGAGAAGCATCTTTCGAAGAAGCTCTTGATGGGCCGCCTAGACGTTCTATGGACCTGCAAAGAAAGCCGAGGCAGTCCATGCTAGAGTGGCGGGACGTGGCCGTTGTGTTGGCACACTGGCGGTACGGACAGGCGGCGCATGTGATGTTCGGGGCGCAGATTGCAGTATCGTAGAGTTTTAGGCAAATACTGCATAGTATAAAAAGCGTATGCCTTGAGTAGAGTATCTTGTGTTGTGCTTCATCATAGTAGATTCAGATAGTAATCCGCAAGAGTGCTCCGCTCTGCATGATAGCGGATGGTGTCAAGTCCTTGCCAGAAGTGAACACTGCATGCCTGGGCTACGGCTAGGCTAGATGTGGCGCAGAGTCAGGCTTGCACATGTTTTGTGGCTTCCAGATCTCGACGTCTTTGGTTTGCGTGTCTTGGAACCTTTTGGAGTGTCATTGGTTGAGCCCCGAGCCCCAAACCAGATTTAGGTCATGGCATTGTCCCATGCATCTGCATATAGTAGCAGTAGCACTTTTCTGCCAGACGATGATCTGCCACGGGTCACTGCTCAAGGTTTAGAGGATTGTTGTTGATGCGACTTGTGGCTACAACAGTCAGGGCCCCAGCTTCCGAACCTCGTGTGACTTCTCAGTCTTCTCGCGCGGGATAGGAGTGCTTTTGTATCTTTTGATCTCAAATGCTTCCCAGGATGACAAAAAGATCCTGTTCAGGCTTAAGAAGTATGTACCGCAGGTCTGCACTTCCTCGGTCCGGGACTTTGCACCATTGCTGTCCGGGATATTAGTTCACTTGGTTGCTGCCTTGTTCTGTGTTGGAGGGAGGTGCATCTTGGGGCGGAGGATGGGGGTGAATCTCGTGCACGGAGAAGGATGGGGGGCACGGCCTTGGCCATCATCAGAAGACCCAATCCAACATGCCCTTCATCAATTGGCGTGTTTTTCGGCGCCATCGGCAGGGAAAGAAGCGCATGAGTCACATAAATCCTCCCGGCAGTAGAAGTCATACTGAGTGCAGCTGAGGCGACTCGGGCTTCTGCACAAAGCGTTCTATGACACAGTGTAGCACAGGGTCCACAGGCATGACGAGAAACAGGAGTTCCAACTTCCAGCTGCCAACCGTATGCAGTAGTCTAAGCTTCTTACCCCATGATCGGAACTCAAACTGTACTTTATGAACCCCGAAATGAGCCTCCAGCACAACAAATCTTTGCTTTGCATTTTCTGTAGACATCCAACGCTTCTGGCTGCAGCTTCTGGCGAAGACTTGGAGGCAGGAAGGGGCCTTGCCTTTCATGTGTGTGTGGGCCAGTCATGACTTCTGAAAGCAGTGATCTTTGCTTGCTCGGGGCTGAGGCCCGATCCGCATCTCTTGCTTCAGTGAGGCAGATGAACCATGGCACATATGGCATGTGGCACGTAGGCATCGGCAGCAAACAAGGCAACCAGCAGCGAATGCAACTACGGTGTACATGGTGAAGTGTCTAGGCATTTCTAAGCAGTAGCGCCCGGTACTGTTTCCGACTCAGTTGTGCGATGCCTTGGCAAAGCCGAAATGCCGCACGGAGAGTATGGCTACGCTGAGTGCACCATTGATTTCCGGCTTGGTCTGGCCGGAAATGAAACTTTCCAGCTGCGTGCGAGCCAATACACTCGCGGCGCGGACTTTGCAGCACAGTTCGCAAGGCGCCCTGGTGTGTTGCAGCAGGGTGGTACCGTTGAGTGCATTCTGGAGGGTGGACGGTTGGAGCTGGGCCAGACTCTCCTCGAGCAGGGCTGCAGCGAAGGTGCATCCGCCTGGCTGGTCCGGACGCCCCTAGATGCGGTGAAGGCCTTCCAGTCTTTGAGCTCGGAGCTCCTGGTGACCCTGGGCCTGACGAAAGTCCGCTTAGGTATAGAGACCGACTTCGAGCGCTTGCCGACCACCCTAGAGGAGCTGGCATGCTATGGCCTGGGCAGGAACATGTCGCATCTTGTCAATCTGAGAATCCTGAGCCTGGATGCCAACCAGAACCTGACAGACATCATTTGGCCTCCTCACCTTGAGGAGCTGCAGTTAGGCCCCCGGTTCAAGCTGAGGCTGCAAGGGACCTCACTGCCCAGTGGCCTGAAGCGCCTGTCAATAGGCGGCGATGGATGCCACTCAGGGGATCTCGATTTTGTCGAGTACCTTTGGAGGCCGTGCCTCGTGGACCGCTTCAATAGCAGCCTGGATGAGGTGCATCTCCCCAAAGGCCTCGAGTTCTTAGGCCTTGGAAATGGCTTCAATCAGGACTTGACAAAGGCGCAGCTGCCTGGGTCTGTGAAGGTGCTGCGGCTAGGTCATCGGTTCAACCAAAGCATGGATCACGTGGACCTACCCGATCTGATCGAGCTGGCCTTCGGCCATTCCTTCGGTCACAGCCTCAAGCATGCCAAGCTGCCTGGCACGTTGCTGAAGCTGGTCCTCGGCGACGAGTACAAGGGGACTTTGGAGGAGCTCCCGCTTCAACCGGGCGTTCTCCGCACCTTGGCTTGTGGCAGAGGGCCCAGCCAGCACTTCTTGGCAGGGAAGGAGCTCCTTCCCAGCTGCACCGGCATCACCACGCTGCAGCTTTCAAACTGTGCAGATGCCAGCCTCCAAGGTGTAAAGTGGCCGCCCGGGCTCCAAAACTTGGTGTTGGAAAGTCTGTGCGATGGCGACCTACGTAGCATTGGCCTGCCCGACACCTTGGAGACCGTGATCATTCGCAAGATTGCCAATCCACCCTTGCCGCGGTTGCAATTCCCAGACTTCCTGCGCCGAATTCAACTGGGCTGCGGATTCAATGCGCCACTGCAGGGAACGCAGTGGCCACGGTTCCTGGAGATCCTTGACCTAGGCGTGGGGATCGAGCAATGATGCAGTGCATTTTCAGCAAATTAGGAGCCAAAGTAATACGCCGCCAGGTTAATGGCTGGAACCCCTACCAACTACCTGCAGGTGACTCGTTCAACCAGCCCTTGGACGACGTAGTGCTGCCTTCTGAGCTGGAAGACTTGACCTTCGGCTACCACTTCAACCAGAGCCTGCAGAATGCCACTTGGCCGCAACGGCTGAAGCGTTTGAAGTTTGGCGAGTGCTTCAACCAGAGCCTCGACGACCTGTCGCTACCTGCCTTGGAGAGCCTTAGCCTGGGTGAAAGCTTTGACCAGAGCCTGGAGAATGTCAACCTGCCAATGCTGCGCAAACTGCGCCTGGGTACCAGATTCCAGCAGCGCCTTATGCACCCCAGCATCGGGCTGCCGGGAAAACTCTGCTGCTTGGCAGCTGGTGATCGTGAACTTGCGTGGCGAGCGGGGGAGAGCCGTTAATTAAACGAAAGATGCGGAACTGAATTCCATTGCACGCAGCATAGTTGCCGGCCTGATAGGCTTGGCGACTCTACCCTTTGATCAGCCTCCTCTCTTAGTACATGCTGAAGGGAGCGCGGTCAACAAGCTCAATTTTGTCACCTGCAGACTTCAATAGGCTGCCTGGTGAAGCGTTTTCAGCTGCATAGATGCTTGGCGCGCGCATGCAGCAATGTGCGCCATGTGCGCACCGTGTACAGACTCTAGAATACTAGAAATCGGACATCCGACATCGGCTTCGTGGACGGATGAGAAGTTCTGCGTGACAGAGATGTTGGGTGATGAATTGCAGTTCTTGGTGAGCCGATCATGGATCTTGCACTGGTTGAAATGCGGTGTGAGGCTGAGAAGTGTCACTGGACCATGACCAGCACATGCATGCTTTTGGGGTGCCTTGCCCACAGTCTAGAATCTGGCTAGGTCCAGGGGGAGGGCAGCCGTCACATTGACTAATGACCAGGGTAGCCAGGAGCCACAAGGTTGGATTCTTACTGTAGATTACGAGTCGTACTGACTCGTACTCCCCGCAGCTTCTTCACGTCAGGGCGATAAGAGGCACCGCAAAACAAAGGCAGGAAACTTTTGAAGCGTTGCACAGTCCCTTTGCAGAGAGTCTCACAACCTGCAGGCCGTGGTGCTGCAGCTTGGTGATGGCGAGGGGCGACCAGGTCACGTGGCCATGTCACGTGCTGGTATTCGAGCTGACGGGTCGCAGCAGGTTGTTTGCATTGGTGCACTTAGTTCGTCTGAGAGCTGTGCTTAGCCTGGGCTTGGCCAAGCTTGGCTCGAGGCGCCGGCCGCCATGTGGGAGCGGTGCACAAGTTGTCATGCATCTATATATGTACCTGCACTCGCCGATTGCAGAAAGTCGCAACATGATCAGCCAAAAGCTGTCGAGGTCGCAGGCACACAGCACCAGCCGGTGTTGCGTCATGATCGCCAGGCACAGTGCACTTTGGACGTGTAAGCCTGGCTGGAGAGAATCAGACCCAGCTGAGGCGGCCCCGGCAGCTGCTCGGCGCAGAGCTTGCCCTGGAAGTGGCGACGTGGCTTGATATGGTGCGGCCGGGCCAGACCTTGTCCCTTTTCCTCAGGACCGGTTCCGAGTCGTTCGGGTCAGAACTGCTTGGTTAGCGTCGGAGAAATCAGAGGACAGCTTCGCACAGCAGAGTAGAGTATCGCAGAGCACCATAATTAGGGGTAGAGTAGGCATAGAATGGTAGACGAACTGAGCCTCAAGACTGGTTTGCTTTGAGGGTCAAGACGAAAACTCAGTAGCGAGAGACGCTCCTCCGAAGAAGCGTCCTTCGACTACTTCTCAGTTCTAGATGGGTTAGTGCCTGAACGTTCTATGGACCTTCAAAAAGCGCTGCGCATTTTCGGGAACCTCGGTCCTAAATAGGAACCCAGAGTTGCAGAAGACCCCAAGACAAAGCCGAGGCAGTCCATGCTGGAGTGGCGGGTAATGGCCGTATGGCGGAGCAGTGGCCGTCCCGCAGCGCCTTCCACAGACAGGCGGGGCATGTGACGTTCGTGGCGTAGATTGCAGCTTCGTACAGTATATGGCATATGGTCTATAGTTTAGTCTATAGTTTACGAGAATATGCCTTGACTAGGAGTATCTAGAGAATTACTGTGCTTCATCATACTGTTGTAATGCACCATAGTACATGTGACAGTGCGGGGCAATATCCAAGTAGATAGTAGTCCGCAAGAGTGCTCCACTCTGCATGATGGCCGATGATGTCAAACCCTTGCCAGAAGGGAAGACTGCATGTCTTGGCCGCACTTGCATGCCACTTATGGGCTGCCTCTCGCCGTGGAAGTATGAAGCTTGCCCGCTCTGCCGATGCCCCCCCTTCTAATGGATTGGCACTTTGGAAGGACTTAGAGCCTGCTTGTAAGGTAAGGCAGCCCCATCTGGACTGCACACTGGCACAGGTTTCTGGGACTGAGCCATGTTGGTCACCGGTTGGGGTCTGTTAGGCTCTTTCCGAGTCATGCTTCTGGCTTCAATGTGTGTGGCCTGTATGGCGTGAATCGAGGATGAAACAGTTCAGAAGTTGTGAAACATGAGCCCGTGAGTAACAATGCAAAGGTAACATGCCAGAGTTTTTTTTTCATGGGCAGCTTTCGGTTACCTGTAGGCTTTTGGCAAAACGCGAAGATCCAGTCAAGTCACAGCCTGACTGGTTGTCATTGATAGTTTCCGCCGCTGAGAATCGCAAGCATGATTGGCATGTTGTGCCATTCCCCTTCATTTCTGGGTGCTGCTTTCTGACGAACATCTTGAACTTTCAGAAATATTTTCCAATCGCAGACCCAGGGCTTCAGCAAACGCGCTTCCACAGTTGGGTGGAAGGTAGGTCAGGTAGAGTGCGTGTGTTGTGTGTTGGGTTGTCCTGTACAGCGCATGGGATGCGCAGCTGCAGGCCGGTTCAGAAATATCGGCAGCAATCTACGTGAAAGGAGCTGCCGGGTTCTGAGCCACAAGGGTGGTAGCAGAATCATCAGAAGAGACTATGGGAAGTCTGAGCGTCCGCAGATGCCAAGCAAAGCTATAGGCCGTCATGGTGGGTTGGGATGACATTGTCTATTGAGCAGCTGTTGCAGAGCTTTGAGCTATGCTTGGCCGTTTTTGATCCAGAAGCTAGGGAGCATGCTCGCATGAACATGCCTGAACAGAAGAGCGGAGCAACGATCAGAGAGCAGATGGTTTTCCAGTTGCCCAGAACCAAACTTGCTAGCAGGGTCCGACTAGGGGGTACCGTGCTGGGATTCCGCCTGCAGCTGGATAGCTGTGCCATGGGCCTGTGGTGGTCTGCTCTCTTTGGACCTGAGCGAAAGCAAAAGGTCCTTCAGATCCAGTTGGCAGATGGCAAGGAAAAAGCTTCAGATCCAGTTGGCAGATGGCAAGGAAAAAAGACAGTACACGGTTGACGACCCCAGCGATCGGGCAGGGACTCGTACAAAAATCGATGAATTTGTACAGAATTACCAGAAGGAGCATAAGCGCATTTTTGGCCGTTCCAACTTGGCGCCCAAGTTCATGTGTCCTCACAGCGGCGACTTGATCCATTGGGACTCAAAATTCAGCCCTCTCGACTTCCTACAGCAGGAAGGGCCTGTTGTCATTCTTACCATGGTGGCCCAGGACATCGATCCGAGTGCAGGAGAGGCCACGCGCAGGACATCAGGCGCCGAGCTGGCTGGACAGCCTACGGATAGCAACTCTGCGCCAGACATCAGCACGACGGAGACGTCAGTTGAGGAGGCACCAGTCCGCAGCACGAAGGACGAGCCGCCTGCCCCCGGCCAGGAAAGTCTGGTTGCTCGCCGGCAGTCGCAAGACCCCAACGCTGAGATGTTGGCTTCAGAGAACCCGAACCCTAAAAACGAGATGTTGGATTTGAACAAGTCTCACCTGAAGCCTCAGCCCTAAAGGGAGATGTCGGTTGCCAAGCCCTAAACCCTAAACCTAAACGGAGATGTTGTATTCGGAGAACAAAGACGCAGATAACCCATTTAGCTGAAATTGCTGAAAACATCGCGGCAGTTCCCACAAAATCGGGAAACAAGAAGCAGATAACCCAAAAAAGCCGCAGACAACCAACAAAAATCGCAGATCACCCAAACAAAAAGGCGCAGATTACCTTTTCTCCCAGCAAAAGGAAGTGGAGGTTTGATTTCGAAATTGCAGCCACCCAGACTGACGTGTGCTCTTTACATTCTCTTTACTACATGCAAACAGCGGTCGCGGGCAAGCGTCATCGACTGCTTGGCTTGCCGCTGGCTTCGAAGCCGGCAGGTAAGCCCAAGCTCGCGCGCGCCGCCTCGGCAGCCGAGGAAACTCCACCAGGGGGTACGGCCTTTCAGGGCGCCCAGCTTCCCTCTTGATTTGCGGTGGATCCCAGTTGGGGTTAAGGTTTAGGTGAGAGAAGATTTGAGGGTTTAGGGCTTAGGAAAAGTGCGGAAACATAAGTTGCATGCCTAGCTGCGGTTTCCTCCGACTCGACGTTGTGCGCAATGCATTGGACATAACGAAAAGGGTTCCCTGGAGGCTGCTGACACAAGGCAGCCCGGCTTCACTGGCACTGGCGAGGAGTTGCGGTCCCAAAGCCCGCAGGGCCTTAAGCTGGATAGAATCAGTGTTGGCTTTGACGATAGGTGCTTGGACAGCGAGAGCGAGGACAACAGCACCTCGCTATCCAATGCAGCTACTTTGGCTTCGCACTTGCTGGAGGACCGCGCCCTCTGCATCACTCCGGGAGACGTGCACAGCCGTCTTGTGCTGTCAACATGTGCTTCCGACGAAGCTAAAGAGCTTGATGCAGATGCAGATGGTCAGTGCGATCTACCTGCCGACCTCCGTCCGGTGGTGGCGAGTGCAGGAGGGGCCACGGGCAGGACAGCCGGCGCTGAGCTGGCTGAGCCGTCTACGGATGGTGACTTTGCGCCAGACATCAATTCGAAGGAGAAGTCAAGGGAGCAGGCGATTCTGGGAGTTTGAGGTAGAGTACAGTCGAAAAGTAGTACAGTAGTAAAACAGTAGTAGTAGTAGTAGTAGTAGTAGTAGTAGTAGTAGTAGTAGTAGTAGTAGTAGTAGTAGTAGTAGTAGTAGTAGGTAGTGGTAGTAGTGTAGTGGTAGTAGTAGTAGTAGTAGTAGTAGTAGTAGTAGTAGTAGTAGTAGTAGTAGTAGTAGTAGTAGTAGTAGTAGTAGTAGTAGTAGTAGTAGTAGTAGTAGTAGTAGTAGTAGTAGTAGTAGTAGTAGCCATGCGCGCTTCCTGGCGCCTGGTCTTTTCCTGCCGCGGGGGGGGAAGGGGGGGGGGGGGGGGAGGGGGAGGGGGGGGGGGTTGGGTACGTCCGGGCCCGTGAATTTCCCTGACTGAGCCATGATGTCTCTCGTGCCGCTGCAAATGAAACAGTCCATCCTTGTAGGTGGCAATACTCTTGCGAGTGTTTCAGACAAGACTGCGTGAGGAAAAACTCTCAAGTGCAAGCCCATAAGTCCTTTGACCTTACACCCTAAACCCCAAACCCCATGGAAAAAACCCAAAAGTCCTTTCACCTTACACCCCAAACCCCATAGAAAAAGCCCAAAAGTCCTTTGACCTTACACCCTAAACCCCAAACCCCATAGAAAAAGCCCAAAAGTCCTTTGACCTTACAGCCCCAACCCCAAACCCTCAAGTGCAAGCCCAAAAGTCCTTTGACCTTACACCCTAAGCCCCAAACCCCATAGAAAAAGCCCAAAAGTACAGCCTCAACCCCAAACCCTCAAGTGCAAGCCCAAAAGTCCTTTGACCTTACACCCTAAACCCCAAACCCCATAGAAAAAGCCCAAAAGTCCTTTGACCTTACAGCCCCAACCCCAAACCCTCAAGTGCAAGCCCAAAAGTCCTTTGACCTTACACCCTAAACCCCAAACCCCATAGAAAAAGCCCAAAAGTACAGCCTCAACCCCAAACCCTCAAGTGCAAGCCCAAAAGTCCTTTGACCTTACACCCTAAACCCCAAACCCCATAGAACAAGCCCAAAAGTACAGCCTCAACCCCAAACCCTCAAGTGCAAGCCCAAAAGTCCTTTGACCTAGGTTTTACGGTTTAGGGTTTAGGGTTGAGGGTTTTTTGTCGGGTTTCGCGTTTCAGGCTTCGATTTCGGGCTTAAAATTAGTTAGCGCGATCTTCGCGTTTTGAGACATTTTACACACATGTCCAAATACATCGCAAAAACCATGCTTTCTAGCACCTCACACACCCCAAAGCACCAGGCGCCCTGAGGCGCGCAACCCTAGTACTAGTAGTAGTAGTAGTAGTAGTAGTAGTAGTAGTAGTAGTAGTAGTAGTAGTAGTAGTAGTAGTAGTAGTAGTAGTAGTAGTAGTAGTAGTAGTAGTAGTAGTGTAGTAGTAGTAGTAGTAGTAGTAGTAGTAGTAGTAGTAGTAGTAGTAGTAGTAGTAGTAGTAGTAGTAGTAGTAGTAGTAGTAGTAGTAGTAGTAGTAGTAGTAGTGGTAGTGGTAGTGGTAGTGGTAGTGGTAGTGGTAGTGGTAGTGGTAGTGGTATTGGTAGTGGTAGCCGCACGGTTCACAGCAGTTGGGAAGTCAACCAGCCTCCAGGCCGAACGCTCCAGTCACGTACTGCTATGGATACTGTTGAAAGGGCTTGCAGCGCAACTGACGTACTGCTTGCCCCGAGGAAAACGTCAAGCATTGATGAGGATGAGAAGCCTCCGACATGGTTGGACGGACTTGCAACACTGCTGCCAAACACAAAGCTATCCAACGGCCTTCAGCACGACGTAATCCTCCACATGCTGGCCCCACCGAGCACCCTGATGTCTTTCAATGAACATGGGGTGCCCTTGTGGCCCCAGACGGGGCGCCGGGCCGGTCTTGTCTACAGGACAAGGTGCAGGCTGGGACACTGCAACCGCAGTTCTGAAGTGCGACCAGCTCCTTGTGCAGGGCTGCTTGAGGGTGATGCTGGCCCCAACATGTCACCAACGCCTCGTCTTGCAACGGGGTGCGAGAGCCGGGACTCGCTCTTGAAGCTAGAAACAGGTTCGCCCTCTAGCAGCTTCTGCACTATGGTACGGCTCCACGACACAGCTGGGTACAGTCTTTATGCGGACACGCTTGCTGTGCTAAGGGTGACGGGCTCCGGCCACGGTCCTCCCAGCTGTGTGCGTTACTGTCCTGCTACCGACAGGGTCAGGCAGTGCAACTAGCGACGGCCACTTTGCTCACAAGACCGCTACAATGACTTCTGAGGCTTTGTGAGCAGTGACAGGGGATATGCCGCTGCCGCAACACAGTTGCGGTGTAGTATCTCCGCGGACACTGTCCATCACGGTCTACTGATCGTCTTACGGCCCTCCGCTGGTTGTCGGGAGTTACCTAGTGTGGGACGCCGCTAGACGGGAACTCAGGGTGTCGGCTCATCCGGCTACGGCCCACCGGCACCAGTGTGAGTATCGGACGCGATGATTCACATTTAGGGTGACGGAGGCAGTCAAAAGCGAGTGAGTCTGAGCTGAACCTTAGACGGTTTCAGTTATCATTGAAGCCGATATGCGAGCCTAATGTTTCTACAGCTTTGTACAGCCAGCTCAAGCAGGCCTCATTTTTAACTCTATTCCTTGTAGGCATTTCCTTCTCCTTCTCTGAGGCATCGGCAAGTCTGATTCCAAGGATGCGCTTGCCCTGTGTTCTTTTCTTGTTTTCGCACGTTCGTGGCAGAGGTAGCAGCCTGGGCCTAGGAGCTTTAGGTTCGTCCATTGCTCTTCAAAGGGAGGTAGGTAGGCAGCTGCGATGATCGCAGTGCAGTCCCCCCGCGCCCGCTCCACTGCCTTAGAACGTGTTGGGTCTTGTTGCTTGTGTGTTGGTTGTTTTCGGTTTGGTCTTGTTTGGCTTGTTAGTCCTTGGCTAGGCGGGTCCAAAGGACGGAGCTGGCAACGGCACGTTTCAATGGGCTTTTAGCTAATGGTCAAGGACGGAGCTGGCCATGGCACGGCACGTCTCACGGGCGGGGCAAGCCAAGGGCATAGCGTTTTCCGAAGTGTCAGAATCGCCCGCTATGAGCAGAGCCCGCTCGCTCAGCGTTCAATAAAATAATAGTGGTAGTGGTAGTGGTAGTGGTAGTGGTAGTGGTAGTGGTAGTGGTGCTGCTGGTGGTGGTGGTGGTGGTAGTGGCCGTAAAAGGAGATGTTGTATTCGGAGAACCTGAACCCTGAAGCAGGCCGAAACATGAAAAAAACGCAGATAACCCATGTAGCTGAAATGGCTGAAACATCGCGGCAGTTCCCACAAAAGCGAGAAACAATACGCAGGTAACCCATAGAACCGCAGATAACCAACAAAAAACGCAGATCACCCAAACAAAAAGACGCAGATTGCCTCTTCTCCCAGCAAAGGGAAGTGGAGGTTTGATTTCGAACTTGCAGCCACCCAGACTGACCTGTGCTCTTTACATTCTCTTTACTACATGCAAGCAACGGTCGCGGGCAAGCATCATGGCAGGTGAAGTTGTGGTGCCGTACTGCGTCGTGCCAGAGTGAAGCCCAAGCCCAGATGCCCTACATAATTGTAAACGCTTGCGCGCCTCAGCAGCCGAGGAAGCTCCACCAAAGGGTATTAGGGGTTCGAGGCAGAGATAGGGCTTACGAGCAGAAAATTCCCAGGAAGGTTTTAGGGGGGTTGGGGGTCAGGGGTCCCGGGAAATCTCAGGGTGCCAGCGCGTCCCAGGGCAGGGCCAAACAGGCGCGATTTTCGGCGCCCTCTTCTGTAGGAGCCGCCGGGAAGTCTCAAACCAAAAGGGGGGGGGGTGGAAAAGGAAAACGTTGGTTCTGAGGCTCGCCCCCCGCGGGCGGGGCGAGAAGGAGGCAGGTGAGAGCGGTGGATGCGGTGAGAGCGGGGGGTTTCGGCCCTTGAAACACTTCCAAGGGAAGAGCAGCAGGAGCCCAGGGCCAAAGGGCAGCGTAGGCGGCAGGTGAGGGCGCTGGGAAGAGCTACGGGGTTAGTGTAGGATGCAGATGGGGACCGTGAGGGCAAGGAGAGCGGCGCGGTGACAGCCCCTCCAGCCCCTCCAGCCCCCGTGCAGGGTGGGGTGTGCGGGGTCCAGGGGCCAGAGGGCAGTGTAGAAGGCAGGTGAGGGTGGTGGGAAGATGGGGACGCAAGTGAGAGCGGTGAGGGCGGTGGGCGCAGTGTGAGCGGCAGGGGTCTGGAGCCCTTTTTTTAAACATGCTTCCCAAGGAAAGAGCAGGGAGGGCCTGGGGGCTAGGGGGTCAGTGCGGGACGCGGTAAGGGCAATGAGAGCGGGGGGGGTTTGGCCAATCGTCCGTCGCAAGACCACCCCAACGCTGTAGCTTCGCAAGCCCCGAATAGCACCATGCCGGACTGTTCAGAGATACATGATGAGGAGTTGACGTCTGCTGGCACCGTCAGGGGTGCCCGGCAGCCTCCACGGAAACCAAACGGCCCAAGCAAGAAGAGGCGGAACCAAAGCTATCAGCAGCTGGTCAAGTCTGAACGCGGTCCGACGACGGAGGAGCTGCGAGAGCCCGATCACAGGGACGAGCTGATTCGCGATTCAGATTTTTACAAGCATCTCCTGGACACCCCTGGGCAGCAAGTTGCCCTGACTGGCGAAAGGAGCATCGAGAGCTGTCTGCGGCTCCGGCAAAGCTGCTGGTCCTTTGATCAGGTGAAGGACGTGGAGGTGGGGGACGTAGGTCAGATTAGTGATAAATCTTAGCGCACAGCGGGCAGCAGATATCATTTTCACTCCCGGCCAGTGCAAGCGTCAGCTTAGAACTCGCCTGCCTTCAGGTCAACGTCGACTGGTTCATGACAAGCGAGCACAAAGCAGTGGCAGCAAAGCTGGACGAAGCCTGTGGCACGAAGAGCACTGACGATGATGTTGTCTTCCTGGGCCGTGTGCAGTTTGTGGCCCGCTGTGCTTCGTGCAAAGAGCTCTTCCTCGAGAAAGCTGCGGCCCTCCTTTTGAATCGCAAGCAGCCAGAAGAATACTGGGACCTGTTCCGCAAGACCTGTGCCATGCGGGACTCTCCGAGCTCGGCCACGGAGGCGCCAATGAGGTCGTTGACACCTGAGGCTGGGCACAGTATGCTTCTTGCATGAGTTCCGGCCCTTCTAACCGATTCTGACCATGTCCCCCAGCTTCCCTGTTTATTTGCGGCGCAGGGCCTTGGGCTGGATGCATTCAAGCTCTTCAACGATGTCTCTGACGATAGTTGCTGCTGCACGGTCAGTAAGCTACAAACACCGCTACCTCCCGACTTGGGTCCGGTGAAGGCCGTGGCTGCCGGAGACCGTCACGCCTGTGCCATGACGAAGCGTGGCAAGCTGGTTTGCTTCGGAAACGACGACTTTGGTCAGTGCAAGGTACCTGTCAACCTCGGTCCGGTGAAGGCCGTGGCTGCCGGAGACAATCACACCTGTGCCGTGACGAAGCGTGGCAAGCTGGTTTGCTTCGGAGACAATGACTGTGGTCAGTGCGAGGTACCTGTCAACCTCGGTCCGGTGAAGGCCGTGGCTGCCGGAGAAAATCACACCTGTGTCGTGACGAAGCGTGGCAAGCTGGTTTGCTTCGGAAACAACGACTTTGGTCAGTGCAAGGTACCTGTCAACCTCGGTCCGGTGAAGGCCGTGGCTGCCGGAGACAATCACACCTGTGCCGTGACGAAGCGTGGCAAGCTGGTTTGCTTCGGAAACAATGACTGTGGTCAGTGCGAGGTACCTGTCAACCTCGGTCCGGTGAAGGCCGTGGCTGCCGGAGAAAATCACACCTGTGCCGTGACGAAGCGTGGCAAGCTGGTTTGCTTCGGAAACAACGACTTTGGTCAGTGCAAGGTACCTGTCAACCTCGGTCCGGTGAAGGCCGTGGCTGCCGGAGATGCGCGCACCTGTGCCGTGACGAAGGGTGGCGAGCTGGTTTGCTTCGGATTCAATGTTTATTGTGAGTGCGATGTACCTCCCGACCTCGGTCAGGTGATGGCCGTGGCTGCCAGAGCTGCGCACACCTGTGCCGTGAGGAAGAGTGGCGAGCTGGTTTGCTTCGGATTCAATGCTTTTGGTCAGTGCAATGTATGCGAGAATGTTTGCTTCAGACCCATTGCTTTTGGTCAGCGCCACGTACCTCCCGACCTCGGCTTTGGCGAGCTGGTTCCCTTCAGACATGGTCCTCTTGAGTTCCATCTACCTCGTGCCTTCGGTGAGCACGTGATGCAGTTGCTCTCTGAGTCTGAACGTCTCGGGATTTTTGCAGAACAGCAAATATGAATGAACTTTGCATTTTTGCTCTCCTCATAGGGCCTTTTGGACAGCCTTGTCTGAGAGCCCTTCCTCATTTCAGCAGAGCTGCCTTCGGAATCACGGAGGTCTTCGCACGTTAATCTTCCGTGTTCTTGTATAGGCGGCCGATGTTGGCGTCCAGTCTTGGAGAGGAAAGACTGCAGTTTCGCACAGGTGCTCCGAAACTGTTACAAACAGCACCAGTCGACGAGGTCACAGAGCCTGACAGGTATGTCAGGTTGCGCGGCTTCAGGCTTTGGTCCGTCAAGCTTCGACTCGCGCATGCTTGTGGCCTCCGCTGCGAGGTGAACATGTACACCTTGACCTCAGACGTCGCCAGGCAGTGTCGACGGGCCGTGGGGGTTCAGTGAACTCAATCAGGATGCAGGATGGCGTGCTAGTTAGGTGACGATCTCAGAAATTCACCCGGCTAGCCGTGCCAGAGCTTAATAGGGCTTTCCAACCTCAGCCCCTGTAAACAAGTTGCTATCTTCCATCTTCCAATCACGTTTGTCAGCAACGTTGCAGCGTTCCTCAAAGGGTCGACGCCGAGCAGCCACCGTGACAAATGTCAAGGGTCTGAGGCTGGCGTACACGGTTGAAGACCGTATATAAGCGGCTATCAATTGTGGCAAGGGCACCCAGGTGGCCTCGCAGCCCACGGTACTAAACATACACGATCATACACGTCAGCACAGGTGGTCCTGGAGCGTGCTGGCAGAGCCGATCAGACTGTCCCAGTCTGCAGCATGTCAAAAGAACGAGTTGGGTTGAAAAACTACATTCTGGAGAAGTTAGGCAGGCGTCACAGAGGTTGAGCCCGAGCGCAACGAACTGACGCCAAAAGTTGAAACTAGAAACTGCCAGAAGTATCCGAAGTGTCAGCATTGAGGAGGCACATGTTGGCTCGATGTCTGCGAAATCAGCCCAGCATGAAACACTGCCAGCAAGAAACCTGCCAGTGTGTGGCTACAAGGAACAGCTGTATTGGTTATTCGTATCCACCGCAACACAATTTCAGCCAGCAACCTTCCTGCAATGGGTGCTGATGTAGTACAGTAGGCTACAGATACTATAGGCTACCATAGTGTTTGCTCCCGTCGCAGTCGTGCGAGGGTTCGCCATCCTAGAAATGGAGCATGGAGAAGTAGTAGTTCAAGTAGGGAGCAAGTATTCTACCAGGGCAGTACAAGCAGCACCAGTTGCAGACGGAATGCATATTGTAGTTTTGTGATGTTTGAGATTTTTCCTGTCGCCCAAAACGACAAGTAAAAGTAGTAGTGCTACTTACAAGTATGTGTTGCGGTACAGTTCTCGAAAAGAGTCACACTCAGCATGTAATACTACATCTATCACGTATCCTACCCAGGATGCAGTCCAGAATCCTCAGCCTCTAGGGCGATGCTTTCAAAGGCCTTGAAACGAGTTGGGTGTGGCTTGCGAGCCGGGGTGTTCCAGCCTCGGTTGAGGTGTGTTCCGAGGTCAGAGTCCGAGTCCGAAAGCCAACGCCTCGTTCTGGATGTTCAAACACGCCATGTGATCCTTTCTGAGTTTTGGAGGAACCTAGCTCCCAAAATGAGACTGAGATGTCATTGAAGCGTCCACTTGGAAGGAGATGGCACATGACGGCTCTCACTTGGACGGAGTCTCTCTTTCATGCTTGAGCGACTGCTCACTCTCGGCTCGACATGCTTTCCCACGACAGATTGACAAGGGCTTGGCACATTCCAGATCCCACACATCCCTGCAGTCATTCTCCGCCCGACGTCGTAGGCAAAGCCCGAAGAGAGTTCAGCAACATGTGGCGACATGGGGATCATTGAGCTTGATGCACCTCTGTGAGCTACAATCCAATTAGAGCCAGCACGCCCCCTGCAAGAGATGTCTCTGCTGAGATGTTTGGGATTCAGCTGGCCGAAGCGTGTGCAACCTGTCCGGGCCTTAGGGCTTGAGGTTGCTTCGAAAAGGATCCTAAACAATGTCCATTGAATCGGGATTCATAATCAATAACTAGATAAACAAAGCAAGACAGAGAAATATCAAACAATCAAACAAATGAATAAATAAATCGAAATGAATACATATATACACAGATGTGGTAACCCCCCCAAGAAGCAACCTACCTTGATTGTTTTTGGGCAGGGTTGCATGTACACATACTGTACACAAGCATGGGATTTGCTGGTTCATGCGCTGCTTGGTGTGCTGGGTTGCCGGACGTGCATGGGCCCAACAAGACGACGAGAGGGTTCGGGTGCCCTACCACGAAGTGGTCGAATGCAGACTAGAAAGGTTCGAGGATATGGGGAGTTCTCGTCGGCTTGCCACCAAGCAATCTCGAAACATCTTCAGAGCTTCTGCCTGACGGCTGCGCCCTAAGCCCTAAACCCTGAACCATGAGTAAGGTGCCGGTTCATACACATGCGCTGGCCCTAGGTTGCCCTACGACCTACTTTGTCCACTCCAGAATCACTGGCCGGGTGGTTTTTAAGTGGTCCATATCAACATAGCGTAGCAGTAGTAGCGTTCAGGTAGTATGGGTAGTATGGGTAGTATGGTAGTGATATATCAGAGTAGTCATCTTCCGTTGTATGTTCATGATTCTTGCTCGGGGCCTCTAGGAGGCTGATGCGGAGCCAGCCGCCGAGGCCCTTTGTTTCGTTTTGCTGTGGTTGCCCCATGCCAGAAGTGTCGTCATTGCAGTGCCCATGTCGCGTGCCAAACTGTTGCATGTGTACGGCGTGTGATCGGAAGTGTCCTCGTCCTCACAACGTGAGGACCCGCGGCCCACAGATGATGCGCACGCAAGCAAGGCTGGGTTGTGCCTTCAGTCTTCGGCAGTGTTTGGAAACCCTGCAGGCGAAAGAAATTCTAGTCTTCATGAGAATGTCTGCGAGCTTGGTGTTCCTGCAAGAACTCCTTCGCAACATACAATGCAGTCGTCGTATAGTATGAGTACCGCAATTCCATTCTAGCATGGGACTTTGATGATTCTTGCTTGGGGCCGCCGAGGCTGTTTCTTTTTTGTTTTATTGGAGGCTTCGGCCCACTGGTCAATGCCCGGAATGGGGTGAGCAGTGTCGTCACCGAAGTGCCTGTGTGAGGACCAGCGGCCCACACATGGCGCCCGGAAGAAGGCCGGGGTCTCTTGGAAGCCTTTGTGCCACATCACAAGCCCACGGCACGAAAGTGCCGCGCAATGAAGCGAACCGTCATCTTCGCTCAAGGGGTCCTCTCCCTCAGGGTGCGGGGTTGTCGCCGGGTCTCCTGCGTTCCTCTCAGTCTTCCTTTGCTGGGTTATGGCCACAGAGAATCCCGCAGAGACACCTCAAAGAATCCCGGCTCTCACACGTTGCACACATGTGATGGGCCATGGCGCGCACATGTCAAACGGGGGGGGGGGGGGGGAATCTATTGTTTTGATTGGATTGGGCACAAGCACCCACAAAGCCTCACAAAGCACACGTACAGCCAACCGGACCGGGGTAAAGCTTTTTTGGGCGGAAGCTGCAGTTTCGGCACAAACACGGACAGTGCAGAGAGCATGCATGTCAAACAGGATTGGGGCAAGTATCTATTCCGGGATGCCTTCAAGCTCCATTCTTCCAATAAGGTTCATCGAAAAGGGGAAGACTACCTTAGACGCGTTTTCAAAATTCAGGCGAAAGAGAAGATGACCTTGGATTAATTTCAGCTGCCGTGTTTTTGCGAAACGAGAGGATGACTTTAGATGTCTTCAGAACCCGCAGATTGGGGCGGGATTGTGGGGGGAACTGGCGCGGTGGTGGAGAGGTCCTCCGGTTTTGGGGTGGAAAAGGGGGTGGGGTGGCCAGGTTTGGGCGGGGGTGGGTGGGGGTGGGGTGGTGTGGGGTGGGTCGTGCCATATACCCAAAACGGGAATGCCGTACCCTAACTCTTTCTCGACAAAGCAGCGGCAAGAAAAGTACAGTCTTTGCACAGAATTACATGACGTTAGTTCATGTTCTCTCTTATCCGTTTTTGCATGCTGCTGCATGTCCATGCTCTCATGGTCTTGACGGAAGCTCTGCACATCTCTTTGCGCTAGAACGTTAGTTCCAATCGCAGTTTTGCTAGGCTTAGCCCCTTGTTTCGAGTGCCCTCCCTGGCAATCTGACCGTGCAGGTGACGCGCTTGAAAAGGACCCGGGACGTCATTTCAGCTTGGCGCATTCCTCTGTGTAGCACGTCAGCTTCGCGCCCTTGCAAGTCACTATTCTAAACCCAACAACCCTGCACAGGATCTGCCAGCTCTTGGCAGCCTTGGCTGCGTTTATCGTCTTCTTGCTGCTGGTTGCTACCATGGGCCTCGGATTCTTAATCTTATTCTGCATCATGGCTGTGCCCCTCATACTCTCCGTGCGGAGGGGCGCGGATAGAAGAACAAGGCTCCTGATCCTTGCCAGCACACTGGGCATGCTCCTGCTTCTTGTGGGCCTGTCGATCTTGTCCGCAGTATATCTGATCCTTGGGCCCATCTTCTTGGCTGCCATCATGGTTTGGGACTTCCACACATTGCAAGTGAAGCAGCCCATGAAGGCAACGTGCCTCGTGTTGTGCATCTGTGTGTGGTGCTGTTGCACCCTGTCCTTCCCTTGGATCATGACTTGGATTCGCGACCTCCTCGGTTTGCCAGTGCGTGGGGTTCTCTTCGCCTTCTTTCTGTCGCAGCTACTCCTCACGGCAGTTCTGCTTCTGCTGGCATACATGAGCCCTTCGGCCAGCTTCTTTGCAACTCCGAGGATTGAGGACTTGCGCTGGAGAGTCTTCTCCAGGTTCTCTCTTCGACTTGCGGGGCTTGCGATTGACTGGCATGCTTACTCGAGTCTGGTGTTGAAGTTGCCTGGCGTGCGCTTTGTTCCGTCCTCCATGCAGGATAACTTCAACAGATTCCTCTTGACACCGTGGCAGATGTTCCAGGAGTTGCGCGAGAGCCAAGAAACGAATTTGGTGGGGTTGCTGGTGATCATTGCAATTCTGTTGCTCGGAGTGCCTGCTCTCTTGATGATGTCAACGTTCAGTCGCGGCGTCTTCCAGGGTGCACACAAGATGTATGGTGCATATTTCCTGGTTCCTCTTGTCGACAGTCTACCCTTGCCTGGCGATGCTGTTGATGTGATGGAAGATCTGTGCGGAATGCTGTTCCTGCCCTGCCTAACTTGCTTCCTGAACATCATCGTCTGCACTGACACAGCTGACACAGTGTGTGGCGTCGGCTTGTCCCGCGAGCTCAGCATGTACCTGGCCAGTGCCCTGCTTGCCTCCTATCTGCCCTTCGTCTACGCCGGGGGCGTGTGGATCCGGTTAACAGGCCGACTGCAAGGCATTAGCACTGGAACCGGCTCCAGGTTGATGAAGGCCGCGGGGCATTTGATTCTCGAGAGGCCCCTGAAGGTCATCGCCGTCGGGATCATGATCGTCTGGCCTCAGGATTTCGGGATGCCGGAGGTCAGGCTTGGCATTGTACTCGTCGCCACCATCGGCTTGGCTTTGATCAGCCGGTACATCGGCGCCAGCAACCATCAGGGTTTCAACCACATGCATGAGTATGTCTGCTGGTCCATGTGCCTGAACACTGCCACTGGCTTCGTCGTCACATGCTTGATGAGCACGGGCCTTGTGAACGAGTCTTGGTGGCCGGGTGTGGTTTGGCTCATCCTACAGGTTCTTCTTTGGCAGTGCTTCTTTGGTGCCTTTGCGGACCAGGGAGCGACGGCCGGTGTCTTTGTCCACAAGAAGAATCAAGTTCGCATCCGGCGATGTGTCCGCTCCTGTGTCTTCGTCGTCTTCCTTCAGCTCCTGTTGCTGGCCACATTTACGCGCATTCTGGCCTTCAACCTCGGGGTCTACCACGATGAGACCTTCAGTTTCACGTCGAGCCTCAGCATATACATGGAAGACTGCTCGCTCATTGCCGTGCCTTGCGAGAAGGCGCGTGTGGAAGCCCCCAGCCTGGGTGGAGAGTGCAATGCGTCACAGTCGGGAGGGATCGTCCGGTTGTGGACCGGCTTGCAGCAGCCTTTCCCATCAAAGCTCGCGAACTTCTCTGATGCTTATCCGTTGACGACTTCGCTGGGCAACTACACCCATCCAGTGCAGTCCCTGACAAGTCCCTCGTACAGAGCGTGCGAGATCCTTGTGTGGGTTCAGCCGCAGGACACCCTCGCGGTGCAAAGCCAAGGTGCCGGCATGATCGAAGTCAGCGCCTCCCTTGCCGCCCTCAAAATCTCTCACTTCAGCTCTACCCCATTCCGTGAGGCGAATCGTTCTGCGTGCCCTGGCTTGCATGCCGCTGTCACGTTGAACGGAACCCAGAAATTGGAAGTCTCATCAGAGTGCCCCAGCAACCTCTGGGCAGTGCTCAACCAAGACACCAGCCCGCTCGACGTGAGGATCGACATGACCCACGCCGAGCGCAGCAATGTAGACCTCAGGTTTGCGGGTGCAAAGTCTGAAGACATTCTGAGTTGCATGGGGAACTCCACTTGTGTTGACACAGGCCTAGACCCAAGACCCGTGAACATCACGTGCAGCGAGAGCAGCGAGATCCACGAGAACCTCGACTTTGTCCTGGAAGCAACGCTGAAGAATGCGCACTTCATTGTCAGGGAGGCTCTGACCGAGGCTGAGCTGATGGTCCCTGGTGTACTGCAGAACAGCACACTCCAGCAAGTGCGGAGGAAAGTCAACAATACCTTCACAGTCTTCAAGCGTGGGCCGCAAGAGCAAACAGCATTTCTGCAACCAAGCGCCTCCCCATCTTTCGTGCACCTGCCTTGGCCTACCCTCAAAGGACTCAAGCCCTGGTGGATTGTGGCCATGTCGGGTGGGCTCTTTCCCAGTCGGCCCGATTTCGTTGAGTTGCAGTATGAGGGCTGTGCCGAGCCACAGAGACCAGTGGATCTTCTGGCAAGCTTGCTTCCAAACGTGGCATTGATCCCATCTGTGGGCAACAACGACTCGTACGACACGACGTGGGAATTCCTCACAGAATCTGGAGATTACCAGCCGACTCCGTTAAGCGACAATGTCTGGGCAATTCTCGCCGTCACTTTGTGCTGCCTGGTCGCTTTTTTTGTGGGTGCTGCCGGTGCCTTCGGCGCACTCGTTGGCTTGCAGTACTTGGGCAAGAGTATGGCGCCAAGTGCACCTCACCAGCGCATACGGTCGGTGCGCCAGGCCCTGTCCTTGCTCCAAGACCTTCCATGCTTCTGGAGCTGCCTCACGTCAACTGCGGCCCTGGGCGTGGCGGGCGCGGACAGCGTCCTGACCGAGCTGCTCTCCATGCCACAGGTTCTCCTGCGATCGAGGCAAGAAGCAGAGGACCTGGTCTTCATACTGAGCATCGGGGACCTGTCGGATGCGGCGAGCAGGCGGAATCTCCCGACAAGCTCCGTGCATGACAGCTTGTGGTTCGAGTTTCGTGAGCTGATGGGTCGCCAGCCCGGACCTCAGCCTGGTCAGCCAAGTCTCTCGAAATCAATTAAGTCAATGAGCATCGTACCTAGCAAAAGCGTGGCTCAGATATCGTCTCAGCATGTGGCAGTCACGAAAGCCGTTGGCAGACTCAAACGACGTGCTTCTGGAGGGCTGAATTTTCTTAGCAAAGCGCGAGACAGTCTTCGGGTGTCCGAGCATGTGGAAGCACTCGCTCCGAATGAAAGACGGTCGTCAAGTGTGTCAGAGACCCAAGAGACCCAAGAGACCGAAGAGACAGAAGAGACCTGCATCACCATTGGCTCGGAAGAAGATGTCGTTGTGAAGGCATTGAAGCAGGAGCCGCATGACCTATCAGTGCAACAGGCCGTGGTTGACGTAGCGGCGTCTCTCAAGGATGTTTCAGGTAAAACTCGCTGCACTGCTGCGAGAAGGCTGGAGGGCCTTGTCCAGTATGCGCATGACGACGACTCGAGCCTGTCTCCCGAGCAGAAGGGCGAGGTGGTCAAGCTCCTGGCGGGTACTGACCAAAGCATGCCGTGCCATCTTGAAGCCAGCGAGGTGGAGATTCAGCCCCGTTGGCTGAGGACTGCTTTGTTGGATGTTCAGCCTGAGCTGTTCATCGCTGTCAGCGACCATAAAGTAGACGTTGCAGCGGCTGCTGCCCTCGCCCTGCACGCCGGGCACATGGCGAATCTCGGTTTTGACCCGCTGAAAGTTGCCGCTGCCCTGTCGCGGGCCGCCGTGCGTGAAGTGACTCGAATGAGTCGTGCTGGTGGTGAGAGCAGTGAGCACAATGAGCACAATGAGCACAATGAGCACAATGAGATGAGTCGCCTCATCACTGCTATGGCCATTATGGGTGACCTGCAGGGTTGCAAGAACAGCTTTGCCCACACAATTCCCGCCTTGGTGCGGGTGGCCATTCTTGCCGCCAGAAGGGGCCGAAAAGCCTATTGGGAGCTTGCTGTCAGCACCTTGATGAACTTCTGTCAGTCGGACTCCAACAACGAAGTCGACAAGCAAAACATGGCCAGGGCCAGGCATGCATTCGGCCACGCTGCATCCCTTAGCATCGCCGCCAAGCAGCTGCCTGGCTTGTCTGGCACGTCGGAAGGAGCCTGGAGATGTGCATTTTGGAAGCAAAAGAAGGTCTACCGGCAAGAGCTGACCCACAGTGAGGCGAGCCGCCTGATGGAAGCGATCTCCCGCTACCAGCAAGGCACCCGACCGCAGGAGACCGAGTTGTTCGACATGACTGGCCAGGAGTCCAAGGACGCGTTCCGCGCCTTTGGTATCAAAGTCGTGGACCCAAGCGACGTCTCTCAAGAGAGCCAGGTTCTCAAGAGGGAGGGTGTGGCACTGGTCTTGGAGTCGCCTTCCCACAAGCCGCGGCACCTCAACCTCTTCGCCATTGAAGTGCTTGCGCAAAGAGCTGCAACCCTGCAGCAACTTGCATCAAAAGGCTTGAACAAGAAGGGGAGCCTTAGCATCCCGCATGTGATCCCAGTATTGCGGCCAGGGTGGCTCACGGTTGACGTCGTGGCACCCATAGTCCATGCCTTCATTTGCCTGATCTTCTCCTTTTGGCCTGGTTTCATCTGTCTTGGAACGGCCCTGGCAGCAGAGCCGTACGGGCATTGGGCACCGCGGGAGAGGCTCTCAAGCATCTATGTCTCTGAGAGGCTGAACGACTTGCCATGGCAGCTTCTGATCATGGAGCCACCCTTCCAGTACCTCACTCCGGCCTGCGTGGTGGTCTTTGTAATGCTTTGCTTTAGCAGCCTGAGGGCCTATTGGACCGCCTCCATTCCAAGCACATTCATGCACCTTGCAGCCGACACGGTCACTCGCAAGGCCCTTCGCAAGTTCGGGCACAAACATCTCCGAGACAGAGATGTCGATAGGGAGCCTGGTAGGCCTGAAAGGAGTGAAATCACCTCGCGCCAAGATGCGGAGAGCCCCAGCAAAGCTGAGGCAAGTCGTGAGCTCCAGCTCTCGAAGTCCCAAAAGTCCCAAGGCTGCTGGGCAGTCACCCTGTCCTGCCTCTACCAGTTGGGCTCCCGCGTGGATGATGCTGCTCACGAAGTCTGCCACGTCTTCCCGTGGTTGTACTGCTCTGTTCTGGCTGCCTGCGCAGCTGCCTATGCATCCTTGGTCCTCATTTGGCTTGCAGTGGCCTTGTTGGTTGACAGCGCCCGCATCGTGCCCTTGGTCACGTCTCTCGTGAGCTTTGCGGCCCTAGTGGTGCGGCGAGGAGCCGCCTGGTTCGGCTTTCAGCAGAAGGTGCGAGCTCAGCTGGAAGACGCTGGGATGGTACTAAGGAACTCCTGTTACATGTGTTTGCTTTCCATCTTCCGGAAATCGTAATGTTTTACCGGTTGCCCGCTCGGCGGTAACTTATTTTGAATTCCTCAAAATGCTACCCAGGACCTGGCCGACAAGATCTTGTTGCGCCTCGTGGGTGCGGGGGTGGCATCGCTAACGTTGCCCCCTGAGGCATCGATGGCGAGCTTCGATCGGCTGAAATCCGGCAGTGGCAGCGACACCGACTTGTTCCATGTCCTTGCCCGGCAGCAAACGGAGAGTCAGAAGGTCGTCAGTGTTCTGCGTGCTCGTCTGATCTACAGGCTCATGCTGTCGAAAACACGCGTTGATGCGGTGTTGGAGAAACTTGGCGTGGAATCCTCGCTGACTCTCGCAGATTTCTTAAAGTTTCAGAAGGCAATCCGAGCAGACGTCATCCGGTGCATGCTGAAATACCTGGGCTTGGACACTGCCTCCGGTTGGCGATTCTTGCGGCGAGTCTCTGTCTTGGCATTCCTGCTTTTTGCCACCCTCTTGGTGGTGCTCTGGGCCTTCCCTCTGTCTTCAGAAAATGATGCTGGGTGGCAATTTGGTATGGCATTTCGTTTTCCCTTAAGGTATGCATAGGGCCATATGCAAGCATACATAGAAACATGTGAACTTGTATGCTCATTCAATCAACCGACCAGCTAATCAGTCAGTCAATAAATCAATCAGCGTATACATGCACACGAAAACAAACGAATGTAAGGAAGTGAGTATGTAAACGTCCATATCAACTATAGATATGAATCTGAATACACACGGCGCGCGCACACACACACACACAGAGTTTCGAAAGAAACCCTAAACCTTAAACCCTAAACCCCAAACCCTAAACCTTCAACCCTAAACCCTACACCCTAAACCCTACACCCTAAACCCTAGACCCTAAACCCTAAACCCGAAACCCTAAACGACTCAGGACACCTTTGGGTTGATCTTCTCTGGCCTGATGCCCGCAGCCCTGGGATTCATTCTGAGTGGCACGCTGCCTTCCGCCACACCACAGAACCAGGCCTGGGGGGTGGATGTTCGGACCTACATGAAGGGTAGGGTTTAGGCTTTTAGAGTGAAGGGTATAGGGGCAGGGGTGGATGTTCAGGGACCTACGGACCTACACGAAGGGTAGGGGTTGAGGGCTTAGATTTTGTTTTAGGGGTAAGGGCTTGGCTTCTGGGACTTCCATCATGGTACCATCATATGGTTATTCAGTGAATAACATGGCTCCCTCATGACGGCAACCTCGCTTAACTTCCTTAACGCCAACCTATACCCCTAAGCCTTAAGCCCTAAGCCCTAAGCCCTAAGCCCTAAGCGCTAAACCCTAAACCCTAAACCCTAAACCCTAAACCCTAAACCCTAAACCCTAAACTCTAAACAGGACCTTGTGGAGCGCTTAGAGGAGTGGCTCACCGAGTGGCAGATCCAGGCGGTAGATTTCGTGAGCCATTCGCAGATGACGGTCAAGAATGCAGTCATCGCTGTCATGGACCATTGCCCTGACCACTGCTTCTTCCACAAAGTGAAAGCCTGGCTTCAGCAGCTGGACCTCTTCACGATTGGGTGCATGCTGGACGAGCTCGGGGACGAAAAGGCCTGGAGGATAAGGTTTCGGAAGTTCAGGGGTCTATAGGGTTCAGGGTTTAGTTGGGTCAAACGAGCGGAGAGTGCACGCAACTAGGAAAAAACCGCGCGTTTTCCTGCGCATGTGGAGCTATATGCCGGTCCCTGAACAGGCCTTCGTCGAGCTTACTCAGCACCCAGCTCTGCTCCTCTCGAAGGTCTCTAAATGGGAAGCGCAGGACAAGGTCTATCAACGAGCTAACCAACATTCACCAATTTTTAGTACGCAGACAGGAAAGAAATTTAGATACAGCTGCAAATGCCGAATAAGAACCGCCGACACTATACATATACGTATCACAGAGCACATTATAGATGTATATATATATATATATATATATACATATTTATGAAACAAAATACATACATAAATACATAAATACATATATACATAAATACATAAATACATAAATACATAAATACATAAACACATAAATACATAAATACATAAACACATAAACACATAAATACATAAATACATACATACATACATACATAAATACATAAATATACATAAATAATTGTAAACGCTTGCGCGCGCCGCCTCGGCAGCCGGGCCGGCCCCAGAACAGGAAAGGAGGAAAGGGGTTTCACAAAAAAAGGGAGGAGGGCGGGTGAGGGGGGGTGGGGGGGGTGGGGGGGGTGGGGGGGGGGGGGGTGGGGGGGGGGGGGGGTGGGGGTGGAGGGATTGGGGGGGGTCCACAGGGCGGGGGGGGGGGGGGGGGGAAGGGTTGGGTCAGGGGGAAGGAGGCCCGATCCGGGTCTGCTTGTTCCAGACGCTTCTCGGCAGGAAGCCGAGGCGAAATAAATCTGACGTTGTCTGTATATGTATAGATATGTCTCTCTCTCTCTCTCTCTCTCTCTCTCTCTCTCTCTCTGAAACAAACAAACAAACATACATATATACTTGGCTCATACACAGACCAGGACCTGGTCCCGGCTTCCGTCTTGGACAACTTGTGGTGTGCCCTGGTGGACCAGGGCCTGGAGCTCCTGAACGTTGCGCTCAGGGCACCGTTGCCTCGCCGCTCGGCGCCGCTTTTGTTCTTTTTGTTGCGTTTTTTCTTTCTGGAGGGTTTAGGGTTTAGGGTTTAGGGTTTAGGGTTTAGGGTTTAGGGTTTAGGGTTTCAGGTTTAGGGTTTAGGGTTTAGGGTTAAGGTCAGGGCTTTTGGGGGGCTGTTTAGTGGGTTTTGGTTTATAGTTTTGTTGTTCTAAGGGTTTCGGTGATTTAGTTTTTTTTTTGATGTCTTTGGGTTTTGGCTTTATAGGACCTTTAGAATTTTGTTGTTGCTGTTGGACTTACTATTGTTATTTTGGTTTTAGGGCTCGGTTCTGTTTTTGGCTTTCAGAGGTTTTCGGGCTGAGGGGTTTTAGGGTTTTAGCTGTTTAGGGTTGAAAGGCTTTAAGGCTTTAAGGCTTTGTAGGATTTCTAGGGTTCAAAAACTCTACAGGGCTTTCAGGGTTTAGGTTTTCTTAGGGTCGGGCATCTTTTTCACGTACAGCAGATGTGAAGCGCCAACTAAACCCTGAACAAAAAACCCCGAAACCCGAAACCCGAAACCCTAAAACCCTAAAACCCTAAGCCCTAAATCCACAACCCTAAGCCCTAAACCCTAAGCCCTGCGCATTCCGAGACCTGTTGAGGCCAGGTGGAGGAGGAGTTGAGGAAGTTCCGCCACTCAGAGCACCTGGTCGTCGTCCTCAAAGATGCAGCCAAGGCTAGCGGCACCTTCACCATTTCAAACATCCACCTCCAGCTGATGCAGCTGATCTGCCGGTTGCTCCAGGGCCTGATTGACAGCCGCCTAGCAAGGAACATGAGGGGTTTCAAGGGGTTTTTGGACTGTTTTTAGGGTGTAATTGCAGAGAAGCGCGTGTGGCCGAGTGCTGTGTGAGGCCTGGCGAAGGAGGTGTTGCAAGACCTCTGGGAACGATTGCTGGTTTCGGTCAGCTTCGTTGGCTCCAACTTTGGTGCGTCGCCAGAGCTGCTCGCCAGGAACACTAGTAAGGCCTCAGCTCCGTGGAACCTCGAGCCCCAAAACTACCCCAAAGAATAGGAAGTTTAGGGTACGGGGCCATTACCCCCTCAACCCGAATCCCTAACCTCAACCCTGTTCCCTAAACCTAAACCCTAAACCCTAAACCCTAAACCCTAAACCCTAAACCCCAAACCCTAAACCCCAAACCCTAAACCCTAAACCCTAAACCTGAACCCTCCCTAGATCCGAGGCTGCTCTCCAGATGCCGGAACCTCGACATGAACTCTGCGAAGAAGTGCCTGATGCAGGGCCTGGCACGCGTGGATGAGGCTCCCAAGCCTGGTGTGGGGTTTAGGGTTTAGGGTTTAGGGTTTAGGGTTTAGGGTTAGGGTTTAGGGTTTAGGGTTTAGGGTTTAGGGTTTAGGGTTTAGGGTTTCGGGTTTCGGGTTTCGGGTTTAGGGTTTAGGGCAACTCCGACACTCCCAGGCTCCTGTACTCCCCAAACTCCTGAACTCCGAAACTCCCAAACTTCGAAGCTCCTTGACTCCGAAACTCCCAAACTCCTAAGCCCCTAAACTCCGAAATTCCTAAACCCTGAGCTCCTACACTCCAAAACTCCGAAGCACCCTAAACCCTAAACCCTAAACCCTAAACCCTAAACCCTAAACCCTAAACCCTAAACCCTAAACCTTAAACATCCAAGCCTTGGATCAGGACCTGGCCCTCTCAGACGTATCGGAAGCAGGCGGCAGTTTTAGCAAAACACGGGACCCCGAATTTTGACTCCCAAATAATAGGATCCCCTTAACATACAAGCCCTAAACCAAAACCCAAAACCCAAAACCCTAAATCCTAAACGACCTTAAGCCTAAACCCTAAACTCTAAACGACCTTAAACCCTCAACCCTCAACCCTAGACCCTCAACCCTAGACCCGAAACCATAAAATTTCGGAAACCCACAGGTTGGAAGTCCTCCTTGGCAACGTGCTTCAACCTCTTGGCTCTGCAGGTCTTCAAGTGGACCTTAAGATCCATGGTCCAGGAGCTGGGGTTTAGGGTTTAGGGTTTGGGGGGGGTTTCGGGTTTGGGGTTAGGGTTTAGGATCCAGGGGCTTGGGTTTAGGGCGCATGGCTTGAGGGGTGTAGGGGTTTAGGATTTGGGGTTTAGGGCTGTAGGTTTTAGGGTTTCGGGAACTTAAGTTGAGTCTCCAGCATCATATGGAAGGATGGTACTTCATTCTGAGACCCCAAACCCTTAAATCTAAATCTTACAACCCTACACCCTACACCCTGAACTCTGAAACCCTACACCCTAAACCCCAAACCCTCAACCCCAAACCCTAAACCCCAAACTCTGAACCCTAAACCCCAAACCCTACCGAACATTCACGTTCCTTCTGCGCGGCCCAGAGGAGATGGACGTCCACCCACAAGCTTCCGCAGCTCTGGACAACCTTCTTGACGTTCTGGATCAGGTGGCTAGCACCCTAAGGGCTTTAAGGTTTTGGGTTTTGGGGTTTGGGGTTTTCCCGTCGAGGGAGGGAGAGAGGGAGAGAGGGAGGGAAGGGAGGCAAGGGAGGGATCTTGGTGTTGGGAAACGCTCCCCAAACCCTGCCAGGTGGACAGCTTCTCGGAGCTTCTGGACATCCTCCAGGATCCCAAGAAGTGGCTACGCCTGGCGGCGGAGAGTGGGGAGATGGGCATCCGCCTGGTCATCGTGGGCCAGAAGCAGACTTTGGAGCAGCTCATCGGCAAAAGCCTCAATGAAGAGCAGGTCACGCTACTCTGCCACAGCTGCGGGACCTTCTTCATGCAGGGCATCGCCACAGGTGGGCTGACCTGGTTGAAGCAGACGCTGACCAATCCAGTTCCTTTAGCCCTCCACTTGCTGGACTTAGACTTGAACCAGCTCATGGTCCTCGAGCCTGTCTGGGATTATGCCCAGAGACAGTGCCTCAATGGCCTCAGTAGCTTGCCTTGGGACCTACCGGCGCAGCACCTGAATGAGATCAGGGATGCCCTGGAAGATCTCGGGTTCCGGGAGTTGCTGACGCGCGTGAAGGAAGTCCGGGACCTCCACCCGCCTCTGAAGAAGGCGCTCGAAGAGGAGCTGCCCATCAAGGCTGCCTGGAGAGCTCTTGAAACTCTCAGCCTGCTCTTGGTGAAGGATTCCCGGAGAATTTCAGCCTGACGGAATTCAATCCCTCGCGTTGCTTACCTAAAGCGTCCCTAAGCCTATTTGCGATGCTTTGCTAAGGGCGTCTTGCTTGAAGCCTGTCCGAAGCTGAAGCCACTGGTGCAGCGCGTGACGCCAGCGAACATCAAGAGGCTGTTCACAGATGTGAGAAGCGGGAGCCTGAAGATTGAGGACGCCCTAAACCCTAAACCCTAAACCCTAAACCCTAAACCCTAAACCCTAAGCGCTAAACCCTAAACCCTAAACCCTAAACCCTAACCCCTAAACCCTAAACCAGATGTGAGAAGCGGGACCCTTGAGATTCAGGACATGGCCCAAGACTTCATGGGGGTACTCGTCAGTGACTTCGGCGAAGAGATTGTGAAGAGCCTCCCGGTCCTTGCCTGAGTTGCTTCCCTAAACCCAAAACCCTAAACCCTAAGCCCTAAACTCTAAACCCTAAACCCGAAACCCTAAACCCTAAACCCTGCTTCTACACCCTGTTGCCGTCCTCCAGACCCTTGCTCAGGACCTCAAGATCGGCAACGTACAGTTTAAGCGCGAGCAAGTGCAGTCCTTGGCAAAGGTCTTCCTCTCCCATGGCATCAAGGCTAGGAAAGCTTGCATGGGCTGTTTTTGTAAGGCGCCTTATCACAGAATACAGGCCACGTACATGTGCCTATCCCCCTCACCCCCCCAAGGGTCTTTAGAAAGTGCTCCGTCCAGGCTTGCGGCTCTCCGTCTGCGCCCGCCGAGGCCTTCATGAAGGCCTTGCGGCAACCGCGGCAATTCGTGGACATGGCCCTCCGCCAGCTGGAGCTCCTGGAGGCGGAGATCCCGAAAGCCGAGCTGATGCCGGGGGCCTCAGTCGACGCCCAAACGGTTTAGGGTTTAGGGTTTAGGGTTTCGGGTTTAGGGCCAGGATGGCATGGTCGGTTTCTGGGGTTCGGGCTCTCCTTCCCCGGCTCTGTTACGTCGGCCAAGGACTTTGCTTCAGACTCTCTGGGATGTCGCCGTCTCAAGCATCCTACCTGACGAAGGGAGTCCCTTCGTCGAGAAGTTGAAAGCCGTTCGAATGGAGGAGTTTGAGAAGGTCGTTCACACTGTCCGGGATTTAGACCCTAAGATGGCTGGCAGCATGGAGGAGTTGCTGTTCCAAATCTTGAAGAGCGGCCTCGTCCAATTCTGCGCTGAGGAACTTGAGGAGATCTTAGGCGAAGCATTCAAGAGTTTCCCCGAGATGGCCTATTTCCGGGACACCATGGAAAGTACGAAGCCCATCGTCATGAGCCTAACGCTCTCTGAGCTGAAGCAGCTACTCACTCAGCCAACAGACACGCTCGGTGAGATAATGCAGCAGTTCGTCGATTCAAACATGGAGCTGTTCCTCATCAAGGCTGTTTCAGAGAAGCTGAACGACGCCATCCCGAAAGAAGTCCAGGACCTCTTTGCGCCTCAGAAGCTGAAGATGAAGCACATCCTTGCAATTGCGAGGATGCTGCGGTCACAGAAGATACTTGAGTGGACAGGCACGTCGGAGATACTGACGAGCGTTACCGAGCTGATGGACCTTCTAAGGGAGCCCTGGTCCTTGCTGCTCAGGCTGCTCAAATGTTCCTCGGCACCTGGGGTTTTAGGGTTTAGGGTTTAGGGTTTAGGGTTTAGGGGACGCCACTCTCGGAAGCGCGGGAGGGTTAGGCGTATCCCAAAAACGAGCCGCCTCCGCCAAGAAAGCGCCTACTGAGGCTCCATCCCCAAGGAGCTGCTGCCGCCTAAGTTGCTTGGGGAGGGGCTGGAAGATCGATACAGGCTCGCATGAAAGTTTCGTCAGTGCAAGCGACTTCTGCGCCCAAAAGCACCAATTCAGAGCCTTCAAAAATTCTTAGAATACAAATGAAGGCTATCAATCGAAATGCGAGGCAATCAGGTCGTCAAGTATCACTGCAAACATCACGCGACTCCAAGCCCCCAGGCAATGCATTAAAGGCCCGCCGCCACCCCCAATTAAACCCAAGGGCACAGAATCGCGTCAGAAAACAGAGAAAAAAGACGACCCAAGTGAGATCCAGAAATTCAATCAACGAAAAGAAGAACACGACAAAACACCCTCAAATCAGACGTTCTTTGACGTCAAAAAGACTACGCTCATCTCAATACCTGCGCGAGGGGCCTGCAAGCACAAGCAAAACATTTCCTGCAGAGAAAAAGATATTGCCGCCAATCATCCATCAAAGTGATATTGCACAAAGCGAGAAGAAGAATGATGTCGCTCCACTTTTTCTCGATTATCGTCTCCATCCCGGACCCGCCGCAAACAAACGTGGGCATGTCTCTGGAGCACGAACGAAAGACGTTCCTTCAAGATTTGGCACGTCATGCCATGCGGCTTCTGACGATGATCATCCACTGCTCGACACAAAGATGATAAGATACGATCTCCCTCCGGATCAAGACCACCAGCAGTCTCAAACACAAGAGGCTCAAATCCCAATCCTTGTTCCTGGCATCTCATGGCCGTCTGACGATCCCTTCGTTTTCTTTCAGCCTGCATTTTGGCCATCGCCAATGTTTCGGTCCCACTGGCTTGTTGTTTGAAAGAGGAAACAACAGAGATATCCAAGGCCAAGCGCGGCAGTAGTCCCCACGTCGATTGTCTACACAAAGCAGTAGGAAGAGTCAACACATCTGCGGGCCGTTGCCCTGGCAAATCTGGTAAAAGACCTACAGGTTCCAATTTACACCGGAGGCCACCAGCATGGAGAGTACGATAGATCTCATCTCGAATCATATTGTGGAGTTGAGTTTTGCCCCCTACCATATGACACGTCAAAGTGTGATGTCCAAATACATCCTGACTCTGTGGGCAACGTGGACAATCCATCTCAACCTGAAAAACCGCTTTCCCAAGCCGCATGGAAACAATATCGATGAATGCAGCATTAGACAAGCAAGTATCAAAGGCGTGATTAGGACTAACTCGAACCCACCCCTCGGCCCAAGGTGCCGAGAATGCAAGCAAAACCCTACGTTGAGCATCAGAAAGGGCGCCCTCCAACATCGCTCGAGATGATTCAATAGCAACGGCAAACATTTCCTTCTGTTTGAGCCTAGAATCGGGGTCGCGCATATCATCTCTCCATTGGGGAAAAAGAGTCTCCAAGCGCTGGACTGCCGGCGACCACCCAATCTTTGAATGCTCCGGAACAGGTGGGACCAATTCATCAACAATTCTGCGGGATGCTTTACACGCAACAACAAAAGCAATATCAGCTCTTCCAAGGACTTGATCCTTCAAAGAAATGCCCTCAGTGGAGAGACCAAGCCCCCCAGCTTTCACAGGAAGAGAAGCCTGCCACCACATAACATCCGAAAGCCTTTCTCCAAGAAGGTCCTCGAAAGTTTCGCGGTACCGTCGATCGTACCATTCCAGAAGGCTAGTCAAGAAGTGTCGTGGAGCGGTCCTTCCTAGATAATTCAATTGTGGCCACCCCATACAAGTTTGCAGCAGATGGAAAGCCACATGCTTGTTCTCCAAAGTTGGGAGCTCCCGAAAGAAACGCTCGAAATCTCGTTGTTTATCAAGACACCAATTTTTCAGGAACTCAGGACTCCCAGAAACCGGGGTCTTCAACATCTGGATATCACAAGTAGCATCAACGTGGACTCCAAGACCCTGGAAAGGACTGACATCCCCACGGAAACCACCCCCAGCCAAGAGATAAAGACGACATTGCCCAAGATCATATCTCAGACCATATTTGTCCGCGAGCCGGAGTTCTTCCTGAAACAATTTCCAAACATCCTCGACACGCCCCCCCGAGAACCCATCATCCGCATACTCCGGAGCAAAGGGCAAGTGGATTCCTGTGTTCTGTTGAGCCTCCTCAGCAAGGCGTCTCCTTGCCAAACAGAAGAGAGACATCATCATAGGGCAACCCTGTTGACCTCTACAACTGAAAGCTATACAATCGTCATAAATCAAATGACTAGGAGACCCATAGCACCAATCAGCAAATCGCGAAGATGAGGGAGCATGCTTGCGACATTCCTCGAGAAAGATATCAGGGAGGACTTCATTGAACGCGTTCTTAATATCCTTCTGTAAAAGGACCATTCCAGGATTGGTCCTATTATGTCCTATCCATTCCCGAGCCGAATGCACCAGAATCTCGGCCCCACCCGAAATGCCAACAGCAAGTTGATGGGGAAGCAACCTGGCACGAATCTGGGATGAATCCATACGAAAGGTACACTTGAAGACCAATTTACGGAAGACTTGTCCCATCACAATAGGTCTAGCATCTTGGGCCAAATCAATAGGAGTTCCATCCTTTCCGATCTTACCAACGCCTATGAGAGTTCCCCCCGCCAACCAGGGCTGCAAAGCAAGCGGCACATTAGCGTCAGCCATCTCCTGAATAAAGGCCTGGAGAAGAGGAAGCAAAGGAGACTCCAGAGAATGGCCGACAAGTCCCTTCAAGAAATCCGCGCGCAAACCATCAGGTCCCGGCCCTGCCCCCACAGGAAATGAATGCAGAGCTTTCAAGAGAACGGAAAGTTCAATCTCCTGGGTCGGCGGGAGCGCGGAGCGCACCAAAGTTCCCGAAGGATTAGTGGGAAATTTACTCATCAACTTCGATTTCACCTGGGCAGTGGCAGCCGCCAATCCAGGAGAGACAAGCCGTTGAAGAGCACGTCCCGCCCGTCCCAACGATACGAAGCGGCGAACATCCGCATGCACTGCTTCTTTAGAGATTGTTCCCCCCCTTTGCTCCCGCCGTGAGCGCGCGGTGGCCATCATTGCTTCATCCCAAAGACCTTGTCTTTCCCCAAGTTTCCATCTGATCAGTAAGGATTTCGTGAATATCAAAGCCTGCCCTCTACGTTTACCCCTTCTATTTTGGCGTAACACCGCTTTCGGAAACATGAGGAGTTCAAGCCACGCCTGCCTAGCCCTCTGCTTCTCAAGACAATCACTACCACTAGCCAACCCCCCCTCGGCCAATGGTAACGGATCCCAAGCGTCGGGCCTAGAACAACAATTCACTGCAGCAAGGAGTTTGCCATATTCCTCCCGAAGGGTTGGCCAAAGTTCTGCGGAAACCTGGTCTTTCGTGAATATAGGGGCGGTGAAGATGTCTTGAAGTGAAGGAAGGACTTGCTGTTTCAATGGGAACGAAACTCCAAAATCTCCACGATCACGAATCTTCGGCCAACAAGACGGATGCACCCCCGAAATATGCCGAGCACTGATAGTTCGTCCGCAAACGTGGCAACAACGCAGCCCCATCTCGTCCAAGAAACGATCCTCCGGTCGTCCCTGGAGTTCTCCCTGAAGATGAAGATCCAAGTGAGCCCGCAGGGCCTCTTTAGATCCCCATGCTGGGCCACGATTACGACTGCGCGAGCATCCCACAACCGGACAAAAGAACTCATGCCCAGTATCTTGCGTACCGAGATTCAGCCCATGACCCTCAACCTCGCTAACCTCCACCCCAAACAAGTCAGCAAGCATCACGTCTGCCACCGATGCCGGCTGGGTAGCTGCGAGATCATCTATCTCCATCGGGGCCGGAAGGGGATTGAGAGATTGAAATCGAAGATCAGTAGGGAAAGCTGGGCACTCATAAATCGCATACAAGACGCAGACTCTCGGAAGAAAGGCCATACCAATCGTCATCCAGTATCCCATACCAACTGAGAAACATCTACAAAAACGTCGAGGCAAATGAATATCAGCCATCCAACTTGTAACCCCGATACAAAACAGAACCATTCGAATCCAATTTCCTCGAAATCCAACCCAGAGACCCAAAACCCCAAAATAGACCAGTTGTACCAGCATCCCGGCGGGAAGGAGTTTCTCCAAGAGCAACCCGAAGAAACATGTCTCTACGACACGTGTGGCAAAGGCTGACGAAGCCCGGGCCCCTCGCCACGCGGTGGCCGCGCACGACCGAAGATGATGAAGGTAGAAGAGATGACATGGTTGAACCCACGTACGAAATTGACATCCGCAAATGAGATGTTCTGGCACAACATCTTGTTGAAAGCCTGGAAGATTCCCCCCATTCCGCCAACACCACGGATCTGCCAACCCTCCCAACCCTCGAGCCATAACCCCCAAACCTAACACCAACAGGATAGTCAAACACAAGCAACGTTTACTGGAAACCAAACGTCTAGCCTGTTCACTTCTCTGACGCACCCGTCGCCCATCCTGACTATCCTCCTGAAGCTGACCAATAACAAAAACCAACCCACAGAACACCAACCAAACCCAATTCCAAAGAAACCACGCCAACTCCCAACCCTGAGCGTGGGGGGAGGAAACGCACCCGTCATCCATCGGCGCACCCAAGTGTCACGAATATATGCTAGAGATTCAGCATAAGTTGAATCAGGGAGCAAGTGCACCCTAAAACCCTACAGTAAACCCTGAACCCTGAACCCTGAACCCTGAACCCTGAACCCTAAACCCGAACCCTAAACCCTAAACCCTAAACCCTAAACCCTAAACCCTAAACCCTAAACCCTAAACCCTAAATCCTAAACCCTAAACCGTGGTCTGGGACACTCTGAGGTCGGAGCTGTTCAAGCCGCTTGTGAAGCATGGGCTCAAGAAGTTGCTGGATTTGCTGAAAGATCTCGAAAGTGCTGGGCCCGAGGTTCTGAAGGGCGTGCTTGCTACGTTTCTACAAGAAGTGCTGGTGCTCGAGCCGGTTGGCGACAAGGGCAAGAACAAGGACAGCTTGGACAAAGACCTCATGGAGGAGTTGCAGGAGCAAGCCGTTGCCAAGGCTCAGGCGAAGTTGGAGGCGGTCACCATCGAGCAGCTGCAGCAGATCTTTCAGAAGACCCTCCGGCCAGTCAAGAAGATGGAGGACCTCTTCGTGGTGATCTTGAAGACGGTCCTCCTGCACATGGAGGAGGAGCTGCGTGAGAGGATGAAGCTGAAGGAAAGGTTCCCGAACTTGGACCTTGAGTCCATCATCATGCCTCTCACCAGCAGCGAAATCATGAAGCTCTTCTACCAGCCAGACTGGGACACGGTGGTCGAGAGCCTCAAGGGTCTCATGAGCAAGAACACGGAGCTGGTCCTCACAGTGGCCGTCACGAAGGCTATGGAAGAGTCCAGTTTGGTCCTCCCCAAGGAGGTCCGCCCCTATCTAGATGCGAAGTGCATCATCGCCAGTGCCAGGGTGCTGAGGTCTCAGCAGTCCTTCACCCCGGAGGCCTTGATGGAGAAGCTAACGGAGCTGGTTCAAGATCCTTGGGCCATGGTGCTGCAGCTTCTCATCAACCTCACTGAGGAACAGGCCTCCTTGCTGGAGCCCGTGTGGATGGCCACAGTGAAGTGGCTGACTTCGATCCTGGATGGCCAGATGGGCATCGTGGAAGCCTTGCAGAAGCTTGCTGAGAAGAACTTCTTCTGCCGCGTGCCCGCTCTCCTTAAAGAGCTCAAGCTGGCCGTGGTCACGGATGCTGCGCCCCTTCTTGAGTCATGGGAGGAGCTGGTGCTGCTGATGCTGAAAGCCGCGCTCCTGAGCCTGGAGGACGTCTTCGAGGAGCGCCTCGGGCGCAAGGGCCGCGTCTGCGTCCACTGCATGCTGCAGCAGGCCACCGCCGCCGACCTCCGGAAAGTCTGCGCCGACTTCTACCAAGAGCCTGAGGCGACCCTGGAGCTCTTCAAGAGCCATCTTGACATCGATGCGGCCATCATGCTTGCAACTGCAACCTGGCCAGAGTTGGGGAAACTGGAGAATGAGGGCTACGACGTGCCGGGCATTGCGACACTTGGCCTTTTGCATTTGGGGATTCTTTCCCATTGCGTTTGTTGAAGAGGATCTTCCGTAGGAGTAGTTGTTTTTCACAGGGTCAGTCCTCAATCGCCCTCAACACCCTTACCGCCCCAACCCTAAATCCCAAAGCCCTTGGAAGCCTCAAGAGCCCTGCAACCCCAAGCCCTTACAACCCTAAACCCCAAACCCCGAACCCTGAGACCCTGAAACCCTAAACTCTAAACCCTAAACCTCTAAACCCCTAAACCCTGAAACCCTGAAACCCTCAACCCTCAAACCCCAATCCCCGAACCCCTGAAACCCTGAAGCCCTAAACCCTCAAACCCTAATTCCCGAACCCCTGAAACCCTAAACCCTAAACCCTAAACCCTAGACCCTAAACCCTAAACCCTAAACCCTAAACCCTAAACCCTAAACCCTAAACCCTAAACCCCCAAAAAAGACCCTAAATGGGCAGCCTAGGAAGCTGGTCGTCTCCTGCTCCCGCTCGTTCGACCTCTCAGCCTTGCCCGGACTGCTCTCCGGCCTGCTTGAAGGACTCCGAGGTCGGTTTGGGGTTTAGGGTTTAGGGTTTAGGGTTTAGGGTTTAGGGTTTAGGGTTTAGGGTTTAGGGTTTAGGGTTTAGGGTTTAGGGTTGAGGGTTTCAGGGTTTCAGGGTTTAGGGTTCAGGGTTTAAGGTTTTAGGGTTTTAGGGTTCCGGGGTGTAAGGGTTTAGGGTTTCAGGGTTTTAGGGTTTAGGGTTTAAGGTTTTAGGGTTTTAGGGTTCAGGGGTGTAAGGGTTTAGGGTTTCAGGGTTTTAGGGTTTCAGGTGTTTCGGCAACAGGAGGATCCTGTTGTAGGGTTGAAGCTATCTAGGCTTCTGCGGCTAAAGAATTTTTTTTTGGCTTCTAGACTTTTCGGGTTGCTCGAGTTTCTAGGGTTTCCAGGCTTTGGGTTGTTCTGGGTCCCCCAACTCCTCGAGTCTGGGAGTTTAGAGCCCGGTGCCTTCCCCGCGTCACTCCTCGAACAAGGTTCAGCTCTAAACCCGAAACTCTAGACCCTAAACCCTAAACCCTAAACCCCAAACCCTAAACCCTAAACCCTAAACCCTAAATCCTAAACCCTAAGCCTTTTTGTTTCTCTGCCCGCCCTGGGAAGGTGATCTAGAAGGCCTCTCGGCACTGCTATTGAGGCTGCTCAGGAAGGTGGAGGGTAGGGACCTGCCACTTGCCTTCACAAGCTTCGGCTTCTTTGCGGTTTAGGGTTTAGGGTTTAGGGTTTAGGGTTTAGGGTTTAGGGTTAAGGGTTTAGGGTTTAGGGTTTCATTTTTTTTTGTTCTGCCGAAGCCTTCATCCATCTTTGTCCCGAGGTCGCCGCTGGAAACTCTTTGGGCCAAAGCGCGTGACCAGCTGATCGGATGCTTCAAGGATGCGAGCCCCTTCGAGACACAGGTCATCCAGGTGCTCAAGGAGAACACGCTGAGAGATACCTAGTAGTAGAGTAGATAACCTTTAAACCTTTTTGGGGTAGTAGAATCCCCCTTATACTCCCAGAAAGGTTCACCTTGAGTTCCCCCAGGTTACTGGACAACTAAGGACATGCAGCTGCAGCTGAAGGAGGCCTCCAAGGAGTTTCAGAGCTTCGAGGCCGTGCTCCGGAAGGCCGTCCTCGGGAGCTTGCGCTCCGGCGTGAAGCCGAAGCTGCGGAGGATCCTCACCGACCAGCCGGAGCTTGAGAAGTTCCCTGCTTTAATTCCGTTCAGGAAGTCCTTCTCTTTCGTCCTCTTTCCTGGTGAGCAAGATGGCTGTCGTCGTCCTTCTGAGAAGCTAGTGTTCCTGAACCCTGAAACCCTAAACCCGAAACCCTAAACCCTAAACCCTAAACCCCAAAAGACCCAGGTTCCTTGAGGACAAGCTCGAGACCCTGGCGAAGACCGAGATCACGGACCTCTACAAGACCATCCAAACAATCCAGAGCTTGGATTTCACGACTCCGGGTTGCAAGAGCATTTTCAGGGTTTAGGGTTTAGGGTTTCGGGTTTAGGGTTTAGGCTTTAGGGTTTCGGGTTTAGGGTTCAGGGTTCAGGGTTTAGGGTTTAGTGGTGTTTTCCTTGCCCGCAAGAGACGCGTTCTGATCCTATCAGCAGAATACACCCTATCAGGTCGAGAGTCTAGACCGTAAACCCCTCGACCAACCCTACCCTTCTGCTGTAAACCCCATCTGAACCCTACAATCCTGTAAACCCTGCCATAACCCTCCTATAAACCCGAAAACCCTACAAACTGTACAAGCCCCATGAGCCCTATTAAACGCCCCATAAGCCCGGTAAGCCCGAAAAGGGTCCGATTGTACCCTCTACAACTCCTAAACCTGCTAAGCCCACTGAGCCCCAATCCCTAAGCCCTAACCCGAAACCCTAAGTGTCTTGAACAGGCGAATCGACGACTTCCTGAAAAGCCCCTCAGAGTGGCTGCCGAGGCTTCTGAACCTTTGACTGCCCGAGGGGGCCCGGAAGTTTCCAGCCTTTTGAGTCGAGGGTTTATAGGGTTTAGGGTTTAGGGTTTAGGGTTTATAGGGGTTTTGGGGTTTAGGGTTTAGGGTTTATGGTTGGTTGAGGGGTTTGAGGGGTTTGAGGGTTTGAGGGGTCCAGGGTTTGTGGGGTTGAGGGTTTGTGGGGTTCAGATTTGAGGATTGAGGTTTGAGGGTCTAGGGTGTTGATGTTTAGGTTTAGGGTTTAGGGTTGGTTTAGGGGTTTAGGGTTGAGGGTTGTTGGGTGCAGGAACACAGGCTTCCAGGGCGGGTCATGGTTGGGGCCGGGGCAGCCGCTTAACCCGAAATCCGAAACGACCCTACACCCCTAAACCCCTAACCGGAGACCCCTAAACCCCTAAACGCCTAAACCCTAAACCCCTAAACCCCGAAAACCCCTGAACCCCTAAACCCCTAAATCCCTACATTCCAAAACCCCTAAAACCCTAAACCCTTAAACCCTTAAAACCCTAAACCCCTAAACCCCTAAACCCTTAAACCTCCAAACCCCTAAGGCCCCAACCCCAAATTCCCCAACCTAAACCCCAAGCCCCAAACCCCTAAACCCTACTCGCTACACCCTAAACCAAGGAACAATCTGGCCATCGAGCAACTTAAGAGCTTTGTTGGAGACTCTTGGGCTGCAATTGCTGTGTTTTAGGATTCAGGGTCCAGGGTTGAGGGGGTTTAGGGGGTTGAGGGGGTCAGGGGGGGGGGGGTTTAGGGGGTTTCGGGGGTTTGGCGGTTTAGGGGGCTGTAGGGGTTTAGGCGGTTTAGGGGGTTTAGGGGGTTTAGGGGGTATAGGGGGTATAGGGGGTTTAGGGGGTTTAGGGGGTTGAGGGGGTTGAGGGTTTTGGAGATTTAGGGGTTCAGGGTTTGGGGGGTATGTGGGCTTTTTAGGGTTCAGGGGTATTTAGGGTTTTCGGATTTAGGAGCTCTGACAAGTGCTGTGGGGTCTTCAGTGTCTCAAGGATTGCTTCGCCTTGGGTGGTTTGGCAGCTGTGTCCGAAATTCGAGACACACCTTGATGCATATGCCAGCCCGGAGAACCTAACAATGGACCCATATGGTGGTCCAAGTTTGAGCACATAAAGCAATCCTCCTACTTTGGGCGCACCCCTCCGATCCCCAACCTCCCCTAAGCTACCCTAAACAACCCTAAACCCTAAACCCCAAACCCTAAACCCGAAACTCCAAACCCTAAAAGCTTTAGGAGGCCTCAGCCCAGTGCAAGCTGGACCGAGCCCAGGGTCTTGCTGGTAAGACAGGAGCTGATGAGCATACTCTCAAACCCCAAACCCCAAACCCCAAACCCTAAACCCTAAAACCTAAACCCTAAACCCTAAACCCTAAACCCTAAACCCTAAACCCTAACCCCACAGCACTAAGGACCTAAGAGCAGAAATCGAGAGATTTGACTTTACGAGTCTGAGCGGCCCCTTGGAGATGCTCTTGGCCAAGACTTGGCCAAAGATGCTACGGAGGCGTCCGTAGGAAAAGGGTAACCAGGTTAGGGTTTGGGGTTTGGGGTTTAGGGTTTAGGGTTTAGTTAGGTTTAGGGGGTTTAGGGTTTGGGGGGTGATGGTCGCAGGGCTTGAGGATTAGGGTTTTTGCTTACTCTGTTATGGGTGTAAGTTGTTGCTGGGAGCTCGGGAGGGGATTGTAATCAAGCGCAGGCGCCCGGAAGAGCTGTCCAAGCGGTTCATGGAGTCCTTGCAGCAGAAGCTGCAAGGAAACCCCTCCATCGAAGACATCAGCAAGCTCCAAGCTGCCGACTTGGCGGAAGCCCTGCAGAAAGCCCTGCAGAAAGCCGGGGAGTTGGATGTTCTGGACGAGAATCCTGCGAGCTGGTTGCCAAGGTACTTTTGGAAGTCGCTGGTCACCCAGCTTGTCCAGGATATCCGGAGCCTGGGTGAAGGATTCCTCCATTCCCAACTCCAGGAAGTGGGTGACGTCATCCTCGGATCTGCACCGCTGAACACGCTGAACACGCTCGTGACTGCCTGCATGGATTTGGAGGCGTCAATCCCGCCGGTGGAAATGCTGGAAGCGCCCGCAAAGTGGCTGACAGGCCTCGAAGACTTGGCGACCCAGCTGCTTCGGAGGGTCGCCACCAGGCTGTTGCAGGACAAGGTGAAGATCGTGAGCGACGCCGCTGGGTTGCTGTTTTCAGTCCTGTACGGGTTGGTAGCTAAGATTAGGGTTTAGGGTTTAGGGTTTAGGGTCTAGGGCTTAGGGTTTAGGGTGCAGGGTTTGGGGTTTAGGGTTTGGGGGTTAGGGTTTAGGCGTTTTTTCCCCTACCCTGACTGCAAGTCCAAGGCTCTGGAGCTCGACAAGTTGGAACTCTTCACCAGCCGGTTGCCCGAGCCTGGGTCGGTCATGGCTTCTCGGCCCATGTTGTGGATCCTTCAAGTTTTCTGTATCCCCTTCAGGAATTGTTGTTGTTTTTTTTGATGTGTACAAAACCCAAGGGAATAGTAAAACAAAATGTTGCACTAAGGCTGAATATATTTTATGTTTACAAACCCCAAGGTGGTATGAAAATTGACATTTTCATTCAGGTTCGAAGGGGAGTGTAGTTTTGTTGTTTGGGGATGCGACATTGGTTCCGTACCAAAGATGCTAAAGAGGATCCTTTTCAGCACCTTGTCAAAACCTTGGTCAAGGCTAACAAAGGCCTCAAATCTTCTGGTAGCAGGCCCCAAACCGCAAACCCCAAGCCCCAAACCCCAAACCCTAAACCCAAGCCCTAAACCCCCGAACCCTCAACCCCAAACCCTAAACCCCAAACCCGAAACCCTAACCCCTAAACCCTAAACCCTAAACCCCTAAACCCCAAGCCTTAGGCCCCCAGCCGCTCTAAGGAGTCCTTGGCTCGGATCCTCGGGGACCTCACAGGGCAGGACGGGGACCCCTGGCCCATGAAACCAGCGCTTGGAAAATGGTTTTAGTTTTTTTTCTTTCAGGTTTAGGGTTTATGATTTAGGGTTTCGGGTTTAGGGTTCAATGTTTTTTTGGGTTTAGGTTTTTGCAAACCAGTGGCCCTGCCTGCTAATTATTTGTGGGGATGCGGCCCGTAGTTCGAGGGACACTAGACAAGCAAAGCATTGAGTCATATAACCCTAAACCCTAAACCCTAAACCCTAAACCCCTAAGCCCAACCTTGAACTGGTGAGATGAGTTGACCTGTACTTGATTCAGTTCACGTCGGCTTCGTGAAAACAGTTCTCAGGTAGGATACTATGGGTCAACCGCAAATTGGAAACCCTACGCCCCAACACCAAGCCCAAATTCGCCTAGATTCAGGGACTAGCGCCTTTACAGTTCACGGTGCAACTTTTGGCAGCCTGGCTTGTGCAGTGCGATCTCATCAGCGTAAAAACCTCAACCCTAAACCCCTAAACCCTAAACCCCTAAACCCTAAACCCTAAACCCCAAACCCTAAACTTCAAACCCTCAACCCTCAACCCCGAACCCAGCCAAGGAAGGCTTGGGCCACTCGGCACAGTGGCTATCCAGAGTTCTCGACCAGATGATTACGAGCGGGAGGACGTCGGCAGCGTTCAGGTCTTTACAGCCTTTGTGGAAAGGCGTGCTCCGGCAAGTGATTACGGCTCTGAAAGTTTCTGGAGATTCAGCAATCCAAGACATGGTGAAGTTCATGGAGAAGTATTTAGAGCAATGCTCACTGGAAAGCATCTTGCCTAGAACAAGCGTCTGTTTGTCATAGTGTTATTGGCTTGTGAGGGGATGATAAATTGTGGAGGATGAGGTGCATCCACTCCAATCCCCCCAGCTCCAGAGACACGAGAGAATCAAGAGGGCTTTCCGTCAAAGTAAAGTCTAAGCGTAGACGTCCAGTCCGGATGGAACCTGCTGCGTGAGGTTTCCTGCCGATCTTCCAGCACATGTATTCGCTGTATTCCACAGGCAAACTAGACGAAGACTCAAGCCCTACCATAAGCTTGCCGCAGCTGCTCCTCATGTGCACCCTCTTGTGCCTGGACAAGGAGCCTTGAAAGGAGGTTGGGGAGTCAGGATGAGCATTTTCTGGGTTGCTGTGGAGGAACTGAACCATGAACATACATGTATGTGATATGAAACATATGTGTACTTCATATTGGATATATATATATATGTATATAAATATATCTATGTCCATACACACGCACACCCACTATGTGTATATGAGTATAGACACATATAGAAAATATGTATGTATACACACACTTTGCATATTTTCATATTTATGTACACACATCTGTCATTAGTTAGCATTAGTTAGCTGTTTAGGTTCTCTACCATGGCAGAAAACAGAACACATCTCGCGGTTTCAGGAAGGAATTCTGGATGCAGTCCCCGGGATGCACTGCCTCGGCATCCGCCTGTCGCTCCAGCCGCTGCTGAACCGGATCGTGACCCATGCAAAGGTGCTGGCGAACCAGACGGATACCCAGCAAAACATGCTGGGCTCCTTGCTGCGGGGCCTGGAGCAACCTGGTGGCTTCGCCAGCACGCTGCGCGAGATGCGGAAGATGGTCCGGGAGTCGGCGAAGCAGCAGCTGGGGTCCCTCAGCAGACTCGAAGGTGACTACCTCGATGTCCTTCTGAACACCGTCGACTTGAAGGAGCTCCTGGATGATGGAGGCAAGCTAGCAAAGCGCATCCTTGCTGCAAGATGTGTCAGCACCCTAGACCTGTCACGTTCTGCTCAAGCTCCCAGCCTTGAACCCTAGAAGCCCTCAACCCCAGACACCTTGAGCCTCAAAACCTCAACTTGCTTTTAGCCCCATCACCCCTAAAACCCCATAAACAACCCATCTCGGAGATCCATGGCCCCCCGCAGATGCGTCGGCCTTTCAAAGCGTTAGCCAGGAATTGGACTGAAAACGTTTGTCCAGATGCTGGTGCGGCTTCCTGCTCACCTGCAGGTTCCGCCGGTTTAGGGCTTAGGGCTTAGGGCTTAGGGCTTAGGGCTTAGGGCTTAGGGCTTAGGGCTTAGGGCTTAGGGCTTAGGGTACGCGTAGCTTCGAACCTGGGGCGCAGCTTGGGGCAGGTTTGGGTGCATCAGGCTTTCAGGCTCTAGGAATTCCATCCCCCGGGTGCGTCGCCGGAACCTACCACGACTAGACTGCAGGGTCTGGTCTTCTAGTCAACCCCTGAACCGCACCTCAAAGCAAGTCACATGTATATGCATGTATACGCGAACAAGAAAGACTTGCTAAATTCAAGCCGTAAACCCTAAAGCAGATCAGAAATACAAATATACACATACTGCAAATATAAGAATATGGTTAAGTACGTAAATATACGCACATGTGTATATATATATATATAGTACACATATATATATATATATAGAGTACACATATAGATAGATAGATAGATAGATAGATAGACAGGTAGATAGACAGATATGTGTGTATGCAGAACACTAGGTGCCAGCTCTTAGCCATGCCAGGGCCTGGAGCCACTCTGGGCCGCCGCTCAGAACGCCCTGCACAACCAGGACAGGGCCGAAAGCCCACGAGGGTTTTAGGGCTTTGGGGGGGCTTTAGGGGTTGCGAGGGGTTTTAGGGCGTTTAGGAGCTTTTGGGTTTTTAGGGTTTCGGGGCGTCTTTAGGGGTTCTAGGGGGTTTTGGGGGTTTTGGGTTTTAGGGTTTTTCGGTTTTTTAGGGCTTGAGGGGCTTTAGGGGCTTTCAGGCTTTAGGGCTTTAGTGGCTTTCGGGCTTTAAGGGGTTTTAGGGTTTAGCGGTTTAGGGGTTTAGGGCTTTCGGGCTGTGTAATCATGAGTTCGACTGGCATCGTTGGCCCGGGTGGCTTCTTGCGATCCGCACAGAGCTGTCAGACGTTTCAGGAGGCGTCCGAGCACATGGCCAGCATCTACTGGACATCGCTTCGGCAACTGCAGCTGAGCGAAGTCGGCCCACTTCTTCAGTCAATCATCCATGCACACACTTCACCGGAGCTGCTGACTCGTCATGACAATGGCTTCCCGCTGCTTTGTGGCAGCATGCTGGTGATGTGCGGTGAGCAGATCCAGCGTGCGGCGCGCAAGCAGGGCTTCCTCTTCGAGGCCAAGATCCTCGAGGCGCTCATGACCTCTTCCAACTTGCAACAGATTCAGACCTTCATGAAGATTGAGCCCAAGTGGCTCTTCCAGAAGCTCAGGGAAGTCGTGTCTACAAGCGTGGAGCAGCAGAGCACAAACTTCGCCAACTTCCGGGAAGCCGCCACAGGCGCAGCGAAAAGCGTGGAGCAAAAAAGGGTCAATCTCGAGGAGCAGCTCAAGAATCTCCACCTGGCCCAGGGGGATCTTCTCGCCTTGCTGTTGCTGCAGGGCGGGCAGGATATCCTAAATCGGCTCTTGGACCTCTTTCGGGCAGAGACCGTCGAGGAAGAGGATCTCCAGCAAGTCGCGAAGGATCTTCAGAAGGTTGCGGAGGACATCCAGGAGCAGAAGACGAAGCTGGAGGAGCGCAAGAAGCAGCTGCGGGAGCTGCGGGAAGACTTGCAGCTGAAGGTGGAGGAGTGGCTGCTCAAGCCCGAGGCGAGGTTTGCGGTTGGCGGACCTTTGAATGTTTGAACAGGTTCGGGGAACGTAAAGACAGGCTGATCCCTGGTTCGACCAGTTTTTCCAAGGGGCTGCCAACCTCAAAGTCCGAAGCATGCAGGAGAGGTCGGCGAAAGGCACTGACAATAAGTCCTTGTCCCGAGCCGGTCGCCAAGCATAATATAGGGGCTAAGAACTACTAGTATTCCCTTGCGGCTCCTTTAGAATTATACTATGAGAACCCCGCAAAAACTTTATTCTAATCATCAAGGCCCCCATATTTGACCTCCCTGGCCACATGACAGGCGAAGGTGACACTCTTGCTGTCGATGCGCAAGAAGATGTCTGCTTGGAATGTTGCTTGGGAGGACAGCTGGTTTGCAAAGAGAGGTCTGTCTCTTCTTTTTGTCCATGCTGTCAGACCCTAAAGCCTCAACCCTAAACCCTAAACCCTAAACCCTAAACCCTAAACCCTAAACCCTAAACCCTAAACCCTAAACCCTAAACCCCAAACCCTGAACCCTAGACCCTAAACCCTGAACCCTAAACCCTGAACCCTGAACCCTAAACCCTAACCCCTAAGCCCTAAACCGCAGGACATGCAGGCGGTCATCCAGGGCCTTGACGCGCTGGACGAAAAGGTGGAGGAGATGGTGGCAACGGCTGACGACTCCTGGGTGAAGCTTCTGACCTACGAGCAGGAGAGGGTTTTAAACACCACTCGAAACAGAGAGTTTGTAAGAACCACTAGCAGAAGAGGGTACATTTAGTCACCCTAAACCCTGAACCCCAAACCCTAGACCCCAAACCAACCCGAAACCCCAAACCCCAAACCCCAACCCAAACCCCAACCCCCCGAACCCCAAACCCGAAACCCGAAACCCGAAACCCTAAACCCTAAACCCTAAACCCAACACGCTAAACCCTAAACCTTAAGTTTCTGATCTACAAGCCAGGGGGGTGCCGCCTCCCGAAGCTCCAAGTTGTTGGCCTTAGCGAAACGCCGCGCGGAGCTCAAGGAGGGGGTTGCTACAAGAATCAAAGCCCTAAACCCTAAACAAAACCCTATGAGCCCTAAAGCCCGCAGCCCTGACTGAAACCCTAGGCCTAAGAACCCTACAACCCTAAGCCCTAAAGCCACCTCGCAGCCACACCACAGGGGCTGGGGGGGGGGGGGGGGAGTATATACATATATGTAAAATATATATGTATGTATACATATATATGTATACATATATATATATATATATATATATAAATCCATCTTTCTTCGCATTATTCGTTGTTTCAATTTCTTTGGGTGGGGGGGGGGTTCTAGAATACAGATTAAGGTATGTTGGGTTCTAACTTCAGCGGTTCCTCTTTCTTCCTATGAGACCCTTAAAGAGGACGCCTTGGAACTCATGGAGCCCGGCCTCAACTGGGCTCGCTTCCGGGATCGCCTGTCGCAGTCCGCGCTTTCACCTGCCGCCCTCCGCAAAGCGGATGCCGCGAAGCTGCTTCAGCACTTTCGCCAGGTGCGCCGGGCTGACACTAAACTTATGCTCTCCTAAGCCCGAAACCCTAAGCCCCAAACCAGTCCCTATAAATGTTGGACCCGAAGAACCCCTCAAACCTAAGTCTCATCAGGTCCAGGCGCTTTGACCCTTCTTGGCCGCAGACCACTGAAGCTGAGCAGATGTAGAAGGATTCCGTTCGATGCATCCCGCCATGTCCTGTGTCCTGCCATCACAGTATGAAAAGAGCATGCAATACTTGCTGCAATTCATCTAGTATCATCTCGTACATGGGGTCATGGTCAATGAGTTAAGGCTGTTAGAGCCTGAGCGGCGGGGCGGCGACCCAGCCACACGTTGAATGCTGAGGCTTGTCGACCGCATCTTGGGCCTCAGGTCACTGTTGCGTGCCAGCGCGGCACCTGTTCGACTTAGAGTGGCCCTGTAGGTGACCACAGAGGTGGCGAGAGGCGCCACTACTTGTCAGAAAGGAGAGGCTGAGGCTGCGCGCCAGCTCAAAGTCAGGTGTATGCTACATACATTCACAGCTTTGCAAAACCTTTGTGAAACTACCTGGGGCTTCTTCTTTTCAGTGTGTTGTTTACTGTAGTGCCGGAAGCCTCGTGTGGACATCAGGTTGGTCCTCCTGGTCGTCCATGCTGTATTTCGTCCCATCAGCATGTGAATTCAAGGCCCCCCGCGGCCCTTTAGGGGCGTTTTTGCGGTGGAGCGCTCGGAATTCAGAGCTTGGCGGGTGGGCCTCTTGCGCTGCAGTGCCCGGGCAGGCCAGTAGACTTCGTTGCCCTGGAACCGCTTCAGGGTGGTTAGAGTTAGGTACCCGAGGCACGTGAGAGAGTTCGGAAGCCGGCTGCGGGCTTCATGCCTCAGCTTACTGGGATTGCGGGTTGCCTTCACAATATCAGGTTTCCACACAGAAATTTACTGCGGTGTATGGCAGACTTGGTCCGTGATGTAGGGCGAAGCTGATGAAGCTATTCCTGCACGTTGCCAGAGCCAAAGTCCACGGAGGCCACCCAATGCCTCGCTGAAACAAAGCACCATGGGTAGGGGAATGTCCAAGTCCTATGCGCCTGGTGAGCTTGCTTAGCTCTTACACTCAGCTACCCTTCACATGGTGCCTTGTGAGTTTTCAACGCCAGCTTGGCGCGGCTAAGAAAGCTGTGCACCGTTACAAGCGACCCTGGCCAGATACCATTCAAGTGGGTCGAAAAAGTCATGGTTTGGGAAGTTCCCCCCTTATTCTAACAGTCCTGAATAGGGATTCTAGTACCCCCGATTATACTCCCTACTAAGGACTGTTCGTATAAGGGGGGAACATCCCAAGTCATGCCTTCCAAGCCTCATGGCCCTTAAGGGGCTGGGAGTTGCGGCGAGCACTCGGCGGCTGATGACCTGCACGCCCCCGCACATATGGAGGTTTAGGGTTTAGGGTTTAGGGTTTAGGGTTTAGGGTTTAGGGTTTAGGGTGTTATCTGAGTGGCATCCTAGTGGAACTACTCGCATGCAAAGATTCCTATAACGTCAGAATTTGGGTCTAGCATTGCCGATTGTAGTAGTGTCGTCCACTCGTCCGATATGAATGCGATTGGCCTTTAGACTCCACATTCAGAGATCAGAGAGTTGCAGCTGGCACTTACTCGATGCGGGAGGCGCAATGAGCTATCCTGGCTGCTCAGAGTTCCCATGTTTCAGAATTCGCTACGAATGCGCCGAGCGCGGCATGATGAAAGTTTCGCAGAATCGGTGGAAGCCCACAGAACACTAGTTCCCGATGGACTCAGCCCTCACCCACAACTTCTGTGTTCTGACTCCGTGCAAAAACAATACCATTGCAAGGGTGGTCAGTGACAACCCTAAACCCTAAACCCTAAACCCTACACCCTAAACCCTAAACCCTAAGCCTAAACCCTAGACCGGGAAGTGGTCCGGGTACTGACTAGCCGTGCTTTGTCATGGGCTCATGTGGGGCGGATGGCGGCATCCTGGACATGCCGCCTTCGCACAGAGAATATATTGTTTGTTTCATATATTCATCCATTAGTAGTTGCATATTGGTATATACATACACATAGTATATATGACTATATCAGTGTACAAATAGAGATACATGAATATATGAATATACGATGAGATGATTCTATTATTAGAATACAAATACAAGTTGACGTATTATCCTCTTGGATTCGTATATTCGTATATTGCTATCGTGATCTTGCTCACATAGCCGTTGTTGCATGCCCTTCACATGGCATCACTAAAAAGGCGTTTTGAGCAGAGCTTTGCATGGCGAAAAACTCATCGCCAGCAAAGCATCTTCCACCGCAGTTTGACCATCTCCTGACATGCAGAAGAGCTTCAGCTCGCTGTAGCGCATCTTCATAGCTGCTCTTTTGCGCAAAGGTGGCAGCGATTGACCCGAGAGCGCGCGCACGCGCACAGAAAAAGGCGACTGCCACGCTTGAGAGGAGAAGAGGGCGAATGAGCTGGTGCGGAGAGGAAGGTGCAAGAGGGTTTTGGACCCTTTCTGCTCGCTGCTTTCCCTGAACCCTAAACCCTCATCGCAACGTGTTGGCCACGCTGCCTTGGTCGCAATGTGTTGGCTCGTAGACGCGTGTGTGTTTCACCCAACTCTCAGAGTTCGCCTTCGCCTTGGAACTCGGGCTACAAACTCGTGTAATCCTACAGACATGTAACATCCGATCAGCATATACTGCTCCAATACTCCACTAGCCGTAGTACCGCCTCATAGCTCCTACGTCCCCAAGGGAGGCGTCTTGCAGAGTACTGTCGGTCGCCGTCTCACCTCGTGTGCGGAGAGGGTGGAGTGGTGCCACGGAGGCGGCAAAGCCGCTGCTCGGTGGCCCAGAGTGCGACCCTAAACCCTAAACCCAAAACTTTAAACCCTAAACCCCAACCCGATTCCTTAAACTCTAAAACCTTAAACCCTGAACTTTTGACCCGAGACTTTCGAGCCCAAAACCCTAGACCTTAAACTCTAAACCTTAAACCCTGAACTTTAGACCTGAACTTTCCCAAAACCCTAAACCAACTTTCCTCTCGCCACCCTTCCACCGAGCTGATCCGCCGGCCTCGACAAGATGTCTGACCCGGAGGCGCCAGAAGCCAATGCAGGGTCTGTGGCTTTTAGGGTTCAGGGTTGTAGGGTTTAGGGTTTAGGGTTTTGGGTTCAGGGCAGACATTCAGAGTGTAGGGTTTAGGGTTCAGGGGTCCAGGACACTCGAGGTTTTGTTGGATATGGTTGCAGCATGGCCCAGACACGTGACATGAACACGCTTGGCGAAGGGCAGCCCTCTGCCCACTTCTAAGCCCTAGGCCCTGTAATACTGAGCCTTAAACCCCAAACCCTAAACCTAAACCCTAAACCCTGAACCCAAACCCAAAAACCCCAAACCCTAAATCCTAAACCCTAAACCCTAAACCCTAAACCCTAAACCCTAAACCCTAAACCCTAAACCCTAAACCCTAAACCCTAAACCCTAGACCCTAGACCCTAGACCGGACGGGAGTCCAGGAAGAGGAGTACGAGGACGACTTCCAGGATGCGGACTACGAGGACGACTTCGACTCTGACGATGCTGAGGTCCAGGAGGAGGAGGAGGACGGGGGGGGGGGAGTCCAGCCCCACAGAGTTTAGGGTTTAGGGTTTAGGGTTTGGGGTTGAGGGTTTAGGGTTTAGGGTTTGGGGGTTTGGGGTTCGGGGTTTAGGGTTTGGGGTTTAGGGCTTAGGGTGAATCCCCGAACTCCTGAACGCAAAACCCTAAACTCTACACCCTAACCTAAATCTAAGCCCAAAATCCTAATCCCTTATCTCTGAATCCTAAACTCGAAGTGCTAAACGATAAGCCCGAACCCCCAACAAGTTTGATAAACTTTAAACCCTACAGGCGCAAGGGCAAGAAATCATAGATATGTGAATGAAGAAACAAATACTGAACTACTTTTCTCTCTCTCTCTCTATATATATATATAGATTTTGTGTATACAGAAAGGCAACCCAAACCCCCAACCCTCCTGCCCCAGCAGACAGAAACCCAACATGAGAGGGTTTTTGGCATTGGCTCTGGTGAGTGTGTATAGGTCTCCTTACAAAGAAGACTTAAACCGCAGCCTACCTATGTGTGTAGTCCTGTATACTGGAAGGTTCTAGGGCTTCTGTATTTATAGTGTTTCTAAGTTTTACAGGGTTTGGATAGGCGGCTGCAGGGGGGGGGGTTTGTGAAACAAGTTGGAAGAGCTTATTGCAGTATTATAGGGTTTGAAGGGTAAGCGGGTTGAGGGTTCAGGGTTCAGGTCCCCCAAACCCGATCGACCCCATAAACCCTTAACCCGAAGCCGTGCAAGCCCTTCAAATCCTTGGGTCAAGGAGGCCACTTCCGCGGCCGACTCTTCACCCGGCACGCCGATGCCAGAAAGCGATGCGGGAAGCTTCGAGGAGCGTGGAACTTTGCGTGTTTGGGTTGTAAGGCTGATAATTCATGGTTTGTGGGTGTAGAGTCAGGGGTGTTGGGAGTGCGAGGGGGTGGGCTAAAGTAGTAAGTGAAAGTGCAAGTGCAAGTGCAAGCGAAAAGTGAAGTGAAAGTGAAAAGTGAGATTTGAAACAGTGAAGATGCGTTCACTCGCGGCTGGCTGTTCTTTCCTTGACCCGGTTGTGCTCGCTTTGCCTCACGTCGTGTTCCCGCATTGCCTGCATATACCAGCTGTCGAATGTCGTCCGCACGTTTACTCACCTGGCTGGCTCTTAGTAGGGAATGAGGGAATGAGGTACCCTATAGAATCCCTTTAAGGGTAGATATCGGGCCCTCATTCCCTCATTCGTTACGAAGAACCAGGGGTCACACGGTGTCCGAGGTCATGCAGCCGCAGTCACCCCTGAGAAAAGTTCTTCGCATGCCTGGTCCGCCGTACGCTCTGAAGCCCTGAGATGGTCATAGGGTTTGGGTTTAGGGTTTCGGGTCCATAGTCTCGAAGCCCCAAGCCCTGCAAACCCCTCTAACCCTGAGCCGCCCCTCACATGACGAGGCAGCCGACCCCTCGGCGGCCCAAGAGCCTTCCGCGCTCGCCGCCAGCCCAGAAAGCGATGCGGGAAGCCCGGAGGAGGACCCTTTTATAGTCCCTATGTACCTAAGTAGCCCCTAAATACCCCCCAAAAAATGACCCCTAAGGTCCCTTATAAGGGTCCCTCCTTTAGTCCCTTGACTTGAGATTCGGGTTGAGTGATTCAGGAGAGTCTAGACTGCCCGGTCGTGGAGTTGAAAAACGGCTGAAAGCTTGGGTGGTTTTTTGGCAGCAGCTAGCAAGCTCAGGCCACCCCCCCCCCCCCCCCCCAATAAAAAAAAACCTGATAGGATCCACGAACCCGAATGCAGAAAGCAGTCACCTATAACGTAAATAGAACGCAATATAAACGAAACGTCGGTGGCGGGCGGACGGACCACCACCACGCACCACCACCACGGACCACCGCCACTGGACCACCGCCACGGGACCACCACCACGGGACCACCACGCTACGGGACCACCGCCACGGACCACCACCGCGGGACCACGGGACAAACACCACGGGACAAACACCACGGGACAAACACCACGGGACCACCAACGGGACCACCACCACGGACCACCACCACGGACCACCATCTGGACCACCGCCACGGACCACCGCCACGGACCACCACCAGACCACCACCACGGACCACCACCACGGACCACCACCACGGACCACCACCGCGGGCACCACAGGACCACCACCACCGCCGCCACAGGACCACCACTACGGGACCACCGCCACGGACCACCACCACGAAACCACCATTCCGGGACGGGACCACCACCACGGACCACCACCACGGGACCACCGCCACGGGCCACGGGACCACCGCCACGGGCCACGGGACCACAACTTCGGGACCACCCACCACGGACCACCGCCACAACACCACCACCACGGACGGGACCACACCACGAAAACAACGGCACCACCAGGACCACCACCACAGGACCGCCGCCACGGACCATGCACCACTACGGGACCACCAGCACGGAGCACCACCACGGGACCACCACTACGGGACCACCCGTAGAGGACGATCATGGACCACCACCACGGGACCACCACCATGGGACTATCACTGGGACCACCACCACGGCCCACCGCCACGGACCACCACCACGGACCACCACCACGGGACCACCACCACGGGCCCACCACCATGGACGACCACCACGGACCACCACTGCGGGACCACCACGGACCACCGCCACGAGACCACCACCACGCTACCATGGACCACCACGGGACCACCGCCACGGAACCACCACCACGGGACCACCACCACCAGGGGACGCGCGCCCTGTGGAGTTCCCCCTTAGCTTGACGGATTCGGAACGGCACGGAACGCCACGTCGGCGCGCGACCTGTGGAGTTCCCCCTTAGCTTGACGGATTCAGAACGCTACGGAACGGCACGTCCTGTGGAGTTCCCCCTTAGCTTGACGGATTCGGAACGCCACGGAACGCGCGTCCTGTGATGTCCCCCCTTACGTTACGCCACTCGCGAACGCTTGCGGACGCTTTGCGGACGCTTTGCGGACGCCTTGCGGACGCTTTGCGGACGCTTTGCGGACACAACGCAACGACGTTTGGTAACCGCCCAACCCAACTTTTAAAACGGGAACCCTTCTGCGGAGCATTCGGGAAAACGGGAACCCTTCTGCGGAGCATTCGGGAAAACGGGAACCCTTCTGCGGAGCATTCGGGAAGGAACGCCACGTCGGAACGCCATGTCGGCGCGCGTCCTGTGGCGTTCCCCCTTAGCTTGACGGATTCGGAACGCCACGGAACGCCACGCCTGCGCGCGTCCTGTGGAGTTCCCCCTTAGCTTGACGGATTCGGCGCGCTACGGAACGCCACGTCCTGTGGAGTTCCCCCTTAGCTTGACGGATTCGGAACGCTGCGGAACGCCGCGTCGGCACGCCGCGTCGGCGCACATCCTGTGGATTTCCCCCTTGAGCTTGACGGAACGCGACGGAACGCCGCGTCGGCGCGCATCCTGTGGATTTCCCCCTTAGCTTGACGGATTCGGAACATTTCGGAATGCTACAGAACGCCGCGACGGCGCGCGCCCTGTGGATTTCCCCCTTATAGCTTGACGGATTAGGAACGCGACGGAGCGCCGCGTCGGCGCGCGTCCTATGGAGTTCCCCCTTAGCTTGCGTCGGCGCGCGTCCTGTGGAATTCCCCCTTAGCTTGACGGATTCGGAACACCACGGAACGCCGCGTCGGCGCGGTGGACTTCCCCCTTAACAGCACGCGTTACGCCACTCGCGGACGCTTGCGAACGCTTTGCGGACGCTTGCGGACGCTTGCGAACGCTTTGCGGACGCTTTGCGGACGCTTTGCGGACACAACGCAACGACGTTGGGTAACCTCCCAGACCAACTTTAGAAGAAACCTTCTGCGGAGCATTCGGGAAAACGGGAACCCTTCTGCGGAGCATTCTACGGAACGCCGCGTCGGCGCGCGTGCTGTGGAATTCCCCCTTAGCTTGACGGAACGCCGCGGAACGCCGCGTCGGCGCGCGTCCTGTGGACTTCCCCCTTAACAGCACGCGTTACGCCGCTCGCGGACGTTTGCGAACGCTTTGCGTACGCTTGCGAACGCTTTGCGGACGCTTGCGAACGCTTTGCGGACGCTTGCGAACGCTTTGCGGACGCTTTGCGGACGCTTTGCGGACGCTGTGCGGACGCTTTGCGGACGCTTTGCGGACACAACGCAACGACGTTGGCTAACCTCCCAGACCAACTTTAAAACGGGAACCCTTCTGCGGAGCATTCGGGAAAAACAAAAAACAAGAAAGTCCCAAGTCCTGTGCTGGCGATGACCTTTCTCAATATTCGTCATGCAGCCCTCAAGGAACTTAAAGAAAATGTTTGCTTCTGCCAGGACTTGGCATGCGCAGTGCGGACGATACGCTCAGGCTTTGATCACTCGGGGCTTCTTAACACTTGGTACGGGGGGTGTGTGCTCGCCGTTCTTTGTGCGACCTGCAGCGCTAGCAGGGAAGGCCCCTCAGCATTCGGTCCTGCATCGCGTAGACGGCTTGGACTTTGACTTGCTTCTTGTTGGATGTTTAGGTCCTTAGTTGCTTGTGCTTCAAGGTGTTTGCCGGCTGAGCCTGATGTTAGGGCTTTTCCTGCACCCCCAACTCTCAGCCCTCAACCCGCCCCCGGCTGAGCCCTCAGCCCTAAACCTTCAAGCTGTGTCACATGCCTGCTTGTCCAGCCACGCAAACTTTATTGTGAGTCTGTGGCAGCGTTCTTTCGCCCCACCCACGAGTTGCAAGCTCGCGCACCGTTGGCCGGGTGCGGGGCGCGCTGCAGGGGGTTGAGTGCCGACTGAGACAGCCAGGTGACAATGTCTGCGAGAGAGGGTACCTCTGCGTACTCTGGCACGAGGGACATTGGATGGGTTCGTTGGTTCTCGTACATTCACATAGTAGACACAGGTTTAGGACTCGTAGTGCATCTGGAGTCTCCCGCCTCCCCCGAGATCCCTTGAGGCCAACATGCCACTGTGCCTGACACTGAGGCATATGACAGTGGGGCGATGGGCTAACGCGCTCACTGGGGGATTCTTTCGCACTTGGTCCGGGGGGTGTGTCCTCGCCGTTCTTTGTGCGACCTGCAGCGCTAGCAGGGAAGGCCCCTCAGCATTCGGTCCTGCATCGCGTAGACGGCTTGGACTTTGACCTGCTTCTTGTTGGATGTTTAGGTCCTTAGTTGCTTGTGCTTCAAGGTGTTTGCCGGCTGAGCCTGATGTTAGGGCTTTTCCTGCACCCCCAACTCTCAACCCTCAACCCGCCCCCGGCTGAGCCCTCAGCCCTAAACCTTCAAGCTGTGTCACATGCCTGCTTGTCCAGCCACGCAAACTTTATTGTGAGTCTGTGGCAGCGTTCTTTCGCCCCACCCACGAGTTGCAAGCTCGCGCACCGTTGGCCGGGTGCGGGGCGCGCTGCAGTGGGTTGAGTGCCGACTGAGACAGCCAGGTGACAATGTCTGCGAGCAGAGAGGGTACCTCTGCGTACTCTGGCACGAGGGACATTGGATGGGTTTGTTGGTTCTCGTACATTCACATAGTAGACACAGGTTTAGGACTCGTAGTGCATCTGGAGTCTCCTGCCTCCCCCGAGATCCCTTGAGGCCAACATGCCACTGTGCCTGACACTGAGGCATATGACAGTGGGGCGATGGGCTAACGCGCTCACTGGGGGATTCTTTCGCACTTGGTCCGGGGGGTGTGTCCTCGCCGTTCTTTGTGCGACCTGCAGCGCTAGCAGGGAAGGCCCCTCAGCATTCGGTCCTGCATCGCGTAGACGGCTTGGACTTTGACCTGCTTCTTGTTGGATGTTTAGGTCCTTAGTTGCTTGTGCTTCAAGGTGTTTGCCGGCTGAGCCTGATGTTAGGGTTTTTCCTGCACCCCCAACTCTCAACCCTCAACCCGCCCCCGGCTGAGCCCTCAGCCCTAAACCTTCAAGCTGTGTCACATGCCTGCTTGTCCAGCCACGCAAACTTTATTGTGAGTCTGTGGCAGCGTTCTTTCGCCCCACCCACGAGTTGCAAGCTCGCGCACCGTTGGCCGGGTGCGGGGCGCGCTGCAGGGGGTTGAGTGCCGACTGAGACAGCCAGGTGACAATGTCTGCGAGAGAGGGTACCTCTGCGTACTCTGGCACGAGGGACATTGGATGGGTTCGTTGGTTCTCGTACATTCACATAGTAGACACAGGTTTAGGACTCGTAGTGCATCTGGAGTCTCCCGCCTCCCCCGAGATCCCTTGAGGCCAACATGCCACTGTGCCTGACACTGAGGCATATGACAGTGGGGCGATGGGCTAACGCGCTCACTGGGGGATTCTTTCGCACTTGGTCCGGGGGGTGTGTCCTCGCCGTTCTTTGTGCGACCTGCAGCGCTAGCAGGGAAGGCCCCTCAGCATTCGGTCCTGCATCGCGTAGACGGCTTGGACTTTGACCTGCTTCTTGTTGGATGTTTAGGTCCTTAGTTGCTTGTGCTTCAAGGTGTTTGCCGGCTGAGCCTGATGTTAGGGTTTTTCCTGCACCCCCAACTCTCAACCCTCAACCCGCCCCCGGCTGAGCCCTCAGCCCTAAACCTTCAAGCTGTGTCACATGCCTGCTTGTCCAGCCACGCAAACTTTATTGTGAGTCTGTGGCAGCGTTCTTTCGCCCCACCCACGAGTTGCAAGCTCGCGCACCGTTGGCCGTTTGCGGGTGCGGGGCGCGCTGCAGGGGGTTGAGTGCCGACTGAGACAGCCAGGTGACAATGTCTGCGAGCAGAGAGGGTACCTCTGCGTACTCTGGCACGAGGGACATTGGATAGGTTTGTTGGTTCTCGTACGTTCTCCTATCCTGCATCCCGTAGACAGCTCGGACCTTGACTGGTCCTTCTTGTCGGACGTGCAAGGGTTGCACACTTGCGCCGTGTGACAAAGGAATCTGAAGATTCCCTCCGACTGGGTCAGGTAACTAAGAACCTAATTGCGTGCCCTCTTCGGTGTTATGGTTATGTCTGCGAATTAGCGGATCTGCCTGGTTCTGATGGTGGCTTTCACACGCAACGCCGGCAGGTTCTTCGAGTGATGTCGTCCCCGCTGCCCAGGAATCGGCAAACAAGGACGAGGAGGAGGCCCATAGAGCGAGCATTTTGCCCGGTTTTGGGGTTTGGGGGTTACAGTTTGTTGGGTTGCCCACGAAATTGGAAGCCCTTCATCCTCGCTCGGAACCAGGCAGCCGATGCCGCGGCAGCCGCTGCGGCTGCTGCACCCTCCGCGCCAACTGCCAGCTCTGAAAGGGATGCGGGAAGCCCCGAGGAGGACCGGAGGACCTTTGACACTTTCTGATTCCGGTTGGTTCAGGTTGGGGATTGAAGCTGGGAGGGCCGTGTAGCTGAAAACATAGGTGAAGTCGTAGTTCTGGCAGCAACAGCAAAGTCCCCGAACCCTAAACCCTACAAGCCCTTCACCTCGCGACAAGGCGGCCACTCCCCCAACCGCCACTGTGCCCGGCACGCTTACCGTCTGCCTAGAAAGCTATGTTGGAAGGCAGGATGACGAGGAGCTTGATTCAGCATGGTGCTTGATCCGATATTGCAAGAGATCACTGGGATTTCAAGTTTAGGGGCTTACGAGATGTGTGTCAAGGTTTAGGGTGGCATAGGGGGTTTGGGCTGACTAGGCTGGACGGGCCCTTATGAACTCAAGGCAAAACCCCCCCCCCTCCTCTGCCCCCTCCCCCACCCCTCCCCCCCTCCCTCCCCTTCCCCCCCCTCCCCGCCCCCTCACCCCCCAACCCCATGTTGGTTGCCTCCCACAGCATGGCCTGTGGTACCGTAGGGACAGTACTGGCTTTAATAAAGTAGTTGCCCTACAGGCCCAGGGCTCCCCGTCTCGCCCGAGAGGTTGGGGAGCCCTTTCGAAAGTGGTTTTGCGCCATTGAACGGCATGTGGTGGGCAAAAATTAGATGGCCCATAGCTGCTCTTCGCCCTTGACAACGCCTTCGAGGCTATTCTGGAACTCAACATTCACAGCTTCTGCAGCAAACCCTAAACCCTACGTTGGGGGTGGAATTCAGGCTGACAGTTTGGTGGGTTCCGGGTCGGGCCTAGCCCTAAAATGGACATTGCGGTTCAGGGTCAGCTTAGTGCTGTTAGGCTTTATAGGGCTAGTAGGAGCACCCATCCAATTCACCAGGAATGGGCCCGGTCGACGCCAGCTTCAATACGCAATGAGCACACGAGTCAGTAGTTGTCTGCGCTTGATTGATGGAAGCATCTTCGATGAGCATGGGATATCAACTCAAGGTGGGCGCTTGTCACCCTGGACCCTTGAGAAAAGGACTACAGCCGCCCAAAACCCTGTAAGCCTTTCCTATAAGCACTACAAGTGCATGGACCTGAGAAAACCCAATAAGCCTTGTCTCACTTTCAACCCTTTCAAACCCCCAAGCCCCTAAACCCTTAATGACACCTTCAACCCAAAACCGTAACTCCCAAACCCCACGCTTACCTCGTAGGAGTTGGCGTCCGCCAGAGTGGAGATCGACCGCATGCGGGCTGCGACCCCTCGAGGGTGGGCGAGAGAAGACCCGCAGGTCAGCCTTTAGCTTTTTGGAGAGTGTTTGTGGCGTCCTTTACAGTACAAGTAGATAGGAACTGCAGGGCATCTAGGGGGCATTTTGTGTGGAGGGTTTAGGTTCGTGTATATGTATATGTATATGTATATGTATATGTATATGTATATGTATATGTATATGTATATGTATATGTATATGTATATGTATATGTATATGTATATGTGTATGTATGTTTATAAGAATATCGCAAGTTCTGCTATAGTATATGTTCATAGTATATTCTGTGTCAGTGCAATACGTACGAATTGATTCAGGAAGCCGCTGGTCCCCAAACCCAGCCCAAGACCCGTCGATCGCCCATTGAGAAGGCGGCTGCCCTCCCCATGGCCACTGCACCAGCGCCCCCCGCGCCAACTGCCGGCCAAGAAAGCGATGCGGAAAGCCCCGAGGAGGACTGTGACCCTCTCCGGATGAGGAGTTAGGGTGTCTGTGTGTGTGGGGCTTGGGTTCAGGTTCAGGCTAGCACCACGGAGTTGTAGGTATTTTACATTGCCCCATGCCGCTTCACCTGTGACAAGGCGGCCGCTCCCCCTAGTGCCACTGTGGCCAGCACGCCGATCGCTCGCCCCGAAAGCGATGCGGGAAGCCATGAGGAGCGTGACGCTCACGCATGCATATTCGGCTAAGGGGTTATTAAGGGGCACGCTTTGGGTTTGGGGTTTGGGTTAAGGCTCGTTTGTGACAAGGCAGCCGACGCCGCTGTGGCCACTGCACCCATGCCCTCCGCAGAAAGCGATGCAGAAAGTCCCGAGGAGCATGAGGGTGGTTGTTTCTTGGGCAAGGGTTGTGAGCGGGGTCGAGAGCGAAAACTTCAGACGTAGCTGCATCTGGCAAGAATTTTTGAATCGTATTTCAACAGCATTTGTTTTTCAAGAAGTGCCACCCGCAGCCTAAGCCTAAGCCTTAATGTATACAAGCCACAGCCAACCTAGCCCCAACTCATCACTTGTGACAAGGCGTCTGCTCCCCCTACCGCCACGGTGGCCAGCACGCCAACCGCTGGCCATGTGGGAAGCCCTGAGGAGGGGCTTGATGCCAGCAGAATATGGCGGTTGGTTGTTTTGTCTTTCACGCGCAGCCGGACCTTCTGCGGAAAGTGCAAAGTCTTTTGCGGTTACCATCGCGCGCGAAATTTCGCGGGGGCTATGTTCCTCTTGTGTCAACGTGTAACATGCGCCGTATGCTTTGCATTCGAATCACTGGCAAGGCCGCCTGTTTCTTACCGCGGTTCAGGGCAATCCGCCAACCACAGGTCCAATACTGCCTCACTCACAAGACGAAAAGGGCCGGGGCCTTCAAGAGCTACCTGCACTTTCGCGGATTCTTTATCCATACTTTTGCAGGACTTTCGCAAAGACTTCATGGAACAAAAGGCCAACGAAAACCCTGAGTCCTCTTCTGGATCCTACCTGCTCCATGGAGGTGTAGCGCGTCATGGAGGGACTTGAGCAAGGAATGCGCAGCTTGAGCAACCCTAGAGCTGCTGTCACAACAGGGAAACAAGAGATAACAAGAGCAACCACAGAGCATAACGTCAGAACGTGAAAAGTGGCAGGCTTTCGCCGCTTTCGCGATGTCTTTCGCGGAACACTATGAACGGCTATGAATGTCTGGTTTATAAGATCGAAAGGAAGGAGCGCTGGGTCTGGGGTTTGGGGTTTTGGCTAAGGAGGGCTGGCCTACATAGCTCAAAGTTCTAAAGCCCAAAGGACTAAGTACACAAGTCCCAAGCGCTCGCCTGTGACAAGGCAGCCGACGTCGCTGCGGCGAGTGCGCCAAGCGCGCCAACCGCCAGCCCAGAAAGCGATGCGGAAAGCCCCGACAAGGACCTTCACACTTTCAGATTCCGGCTTGGAATCACATCAGAAGACTCGGGTGATAACCTGCAAGCACCCCCAGTCCAAGGTTTCTGGACCCTGAGCCCGGCCCTACAAAGCCCCAAACGTGCCAAGTCCTCGCCCATTATGAAGGCGGCTGCACCCCCTGTGGCCACTGCGCCCGTAGCCGCAGACAGCGATGCAGAAAGCCCCGAGGAGCCTGACTCCAGTTTTTCAAGGAGTTAGGGTGTGAGGTTTGGGGTTAAGGCCTTTAAGGGTTGGGAGTCTAGGCTGACCAGGGTTCGAGAGTGAAAGCGTCAGATGTAGCCGCATCTGGCATTCAACAACATTGTTTTTCAAGAAGTGGCACCTTCAGCCTGAGCCGAAGCTCTAATCCCTCTACACGAGACACAGCCAACCTGGCCCCGACTCATTCCTTGTGACAAGGCGCCCGCTCCCCCCACCGCGACCCTGGCCAGCGCGCCAACCGCTCGTCCAGAAAGCGATGTGGGAAGCCATGAGGAGGTGCTTGCTGATTGTAAAGACTCTTTGGCAGTCGGGGCCGGCGGTGAACATATGGTGATCCAACTCTACGAGTCCCAAGCGGTCGCCTGTGACAAGGCCGCCGATGCCGCTGCGCCCGCTGCACCCTTCGCGCCAACTGCCAGCCCCGAAGACGATGCGGGAAGCCCCGAGGAGTGACACTTTCTGAATGCCCGTTGCTACGGCCAAATCATAACCCGAAGATTGCCCCCTCCCCCGCCCCGCCCCTCCCGTGAAAGTACCCCGAGTAATTCCTAATAAGAACCCTAAGAAAGCCCTAATGTAATCCCAAGAATCGCCCCAATGATAATCCTAATAATGGGTGGGAGTTTGGGTTGAGAGGGCTCGACACGATATTCGGAAGGGGATCAAGAGCCAGTCCTACGGAGAGCCAGTCGTAGAGCTCAGGCGTTTTAGCAGTTCTGATTGCGAGGGTTTAGGGTTTAGGGTTTAGAGTTTAGGGTCAGGGTTTAGGGTTTAGGGGGACTTGCAGTGCACCTGCGACAAGGCGGAAGCTCCCCCCATCGACACCGTGCCCAACACGCCAACCGCCGGCCCAGAAAGCCATGTGGCAAGCCCGGAGGAGGAGGAGCTTAAAAGCTGAATCCGGTTTTACGGCTAGGGTTTGTGCAGGGTTGAGAGGTCTGGGCGAATTGATCTTCGGTCACTTCGTGCCCTCCAAATACTCATCCTACTCATATACCCCGAACCCTAAACCCTAAACCCTAAACCCTAGACCCTAAACCCTAAACCCTAAACCCAAAACCCAAAACCCTAAACCCTAAACCCTAAACCCTAAACCCTAAACCCTAAACCCTAAACCCTAAACCCTAATTGAAGAGATCCCGGTGTTTGCTTCCGCGAGGGCTTGGAATGCACGGTGCAGACGATACGCTCCGCCGGCCCTGAGTCCAGCTCCTTGGATCCGGAAAAAGCCACGCTTCGCAACAAGGTGCTAGGGTTTAGGGTTCCCAGGGTTTAGGGTTTAGGGTTTAGGGTTTAGGGGGCAGCAAGCAACAGCGCTCGACCTGTAAGGAAGGCCTGGTGAGAAACCATGCGAGCATTGCATGCCTCGGGCAATGGTTGTCGGTGTTGGGCAGTCAACAACAACCTCACATCCTCTCGTCTTGTAGGGTTTAGGGTTTAGGGTTTAGGTTTAGGGTTTAGGGTTTAGGGTTCAGGGTTCAGGGTTCAGGTTTAGGGTTTAGGGTTTAGGGGTAGAAGGCCACACTGATTTCGTACTCGCAGCCCAGCAGGTTCTTCGAGTGCTGCTGCCGTGCCGGCAGAGGATCCGCCAGAGGACAAGGAGCAGCAATCCGGCGGGCACGTGCATCCAGAGAGGCCCGATACCATTAAGGAACTCGCCTCAAATCGCATTAGGATCCCTATTCTAACTTTGGCTCAGACCGATTGACCCTAAACCCTACTGTATGTGGTAGATTTTACTTCAAAATCCTTGGCAAAGGGGGTGAAATGTGGGCTCGGGGCATCAGGAGCACCAGGACGATCCCGGCAAGGCAGGCCGCGTCCCCAGTAAGGGCAGGGGACATGCATGGGCCACATTTTGGCAAGAGCCTGCATGCGTCTCAAGGGGTTTAGGGGTTTAGGGTTTAGGGTGGGTTTAGGGTCTTAGGGTTTAGGGTTTAGGGTTTAAGGGGTTTAGGTCTTAGGGGATAGGCTTCATGAGCTTCATGGGCTTCATAGTTCTGCTGGAACTCTAGGGTTCAGGGTGTGGAGTTTAGGGCTTGGGGCTCTGACAAGGAGTCGCAACAAAGGATACTTCTTGCTGAATCCAGAACTATAGCTAAGGCAACCCCCACTGCGCAGGGCCAGAGCAAAGTCAAAGGAAAGAAACGCGAGAACGAGCAACAGGAGCACGCAAGGACTTAAACATCGGCTGTGTGTTCAGTTGTGAAAGCTTGTGCTTGTTCCGAGTATATGACCAGAGGAAATTTTGGAGCCATGAAATGCCGGGCATTTCGGGTGCAGCCTTTCTACTGCAGTGACGCTTGAAATTCGATGTTTTTCGGGCTACCTTGGCGTATCTGGGCATCATATAGACCAGTCCTTCATGTGCTTTAGGTCAACTTCCTCGTCCCACAGATGGCTCACCCATGGAAGCCCCTCCACTTTATCAAGGCCCGGGAATCTTCGCGAGAACGCATCGAGGGGGTTGAAATTCAGCGTTTGGTTTCATGCTGGGGTTAGAGTTGAAGGTTTCGGGTTTCGGGTTTAGGGTTTAGACCTATCGATGCCAAGCTGGCGGCTGACGTTGGGCTTCGGAAAGCGCGATGCCTTCGTGGGTTTCGGAAGAGCCCAGAACTGAAATTCTACATGGGGGTTTCCGAAAATAGGGGTAATCTTTTGGGGTTCCCAAAAATAAGGATTATACTATTTTGGGGTATATTATGGGTGCCCCCTATTTTTGGAAATGCCCACATTGCAAGCCGCACACAGCATCTTGTGGACCATGAGCGTCCAACCACTTCATTACCCGTCTGCACTGAATCCTAAACCCTAAAACCCTATACCCCTTAAGCCTAAACCCTAACCCTAGACCCCAAACCCTAGACCCGAAACCCTAAACCCTAAACCCTTCACCCCTACAGCCTCTAAACCCTATATTCCCTAAACCCTAAACCCTAAACCCGAAACCCTAAACCCTAAACCCTAAACCTTAAACCCTAAACCCTAAACCCTAAACCCTATACCCTATACTCCCTAAACCCTAAACCCATAGAGTCGCTGCCAGGTGCTGCTGTGCTTCTCCGGGATCTGCTGCTGGAGTCGAGTCTTGGCCCGGCACCCCAAGCACGCGAAGCAGCGGTCGGTTTAGGGTTTAGGGTTGGGGTTAACGGTTTTGGGGTTAGGGTTTAGGGTTCAGGGTTCAGGGTTCAGGGTGCAGGGTTCAGGGTTTAGGTGAGGGTGTCGGGTTTAGGGTTTCAGGTTTAGGGTTTAGGGCTTAGGGCTTAGGGCTTTGGGCTTTGGGCTTAGGGTTTCGTACTTTCAGGGTTCAGAGTTTAGGGTTGATAGGGGTTTATATGTTGTTTCGAACATGGGTTTGCGGTTGAAACAGGGAAAAAATCTACTGGGTTGTGGCACATGTGCGGTGGTTCTACAGGGTTCTGGAGCCCTACACACCCGAAACCCTAAACCTCGCTCTTTGTGAGGCAGCCGTCATTGGTCACAGCTTCCAGATGGTCACGTGGCCGTGGCCCGGGCGCCCAGAAACTACAGCAAAGGCTCCGTCAAGGTTTTGGCTCCTCCTTAAGAGCCTGAAGGTGTCATGTTAATTTAGAAGCAGCCCAAGAGGTCTGTTGCAGAGGGTTAATAACATAACAAGAGCCCGCAACATAGGCTTGCATCATGTCGAAGAGGTTGCTAAAGTTGTACCGATACATAGCAAGAACCTACAGGGAAGTAGGCTTGTTGAGGTTCTTAAGTTCGTCAGAGTCGGGTGCCAGGGCACCGCGCCCAAGCCGGGCACGGCGCCGGAGCGGCCGCGTCGGCCCAAGCGCCACAAAGTGGACCCGGGCGCCTCGCGGCCGCGGGTGGCGCGGGTGACTTCCCACGTTGCCCTGCAGCCCTTCGAGCAGCGCGGCGCCTCCTGGCAAGTGCAGGCAAGGGTGCCGAAACGAGTTCAACAGATTCCTTGTGGGAGCACAATGAATCCTGAGATTGGAGTATTTGTATACCCTATGCGATTATGATTATTACATGCTTTCATGTAGTCCCCCAAGGCTGGGCAGGGTGTTGCACTCACGCATCCAGCTTCGCAGGAGCTGCCGCGACCAAACCCCAACAGGACGCGGTCTCTCGCTCTGCCTCTCTCTCTCTCTGTCTCCCTCCCTCCCTGACTCCCTGTCTCTCCCTCTCAAGCTCTCACTCTGTCATATTCTTTGTGTCTTCCTCTCTCTCTCTCTTTTGTTTTTTTCTGTCTCTCTCTCTCTCTCTCGGGCCCAGGACAAAGCAGGCCTACTGCGGCAGCCGGAAGCTCAAGCAATGCAGACATGCACCGAGTCAAGCTTGGGAAAGAACACCCAGCTCTTTCAATAACAGTCCTCTTTGGGGGTACCCCAAATATCAAGCTGGAAATAACCGCACAAAGAAGCCAACCCCCCACAAGGAACCATCATGTAGGGAACCGCCCAGCGAGCTTCATCTCCAGGCCCCGTGGCGCTTCCGGCACTCCCTGCTGTGCTGAAGATGAAATCGCGGCCGCAGGCCTCAACTGCCCTCGGCTCTTTTCCCCTCTCGTCCTTTCAAGCTCCCGGTCCTCTCTCTTTTTGCTTGGGCTTAGGGAATCGGGGTGGAAGGCTTAAAGATTCGGGGTTTTGGGGTCTAAAGCTTCGGCTTTAGGGTTTAATGCCTAAACCCTAAACCCTAAACCCTAAACCCTAAACCCTAAACCCTAAGCCCTAAGCCCTAAGCCCTAAGCCCTAGAGTCTATGGTATCTAAGGTTTAGGGTTTGAGGCGACTCGCAAGTCGTCAGGCCGAGTTGCCTGCGGAGTTCGCGGCGCCAAGCCCTCCCAGGCGTCTCAGGCGCGGCCCTATCTTGCTTATCTCTCCTAGAGGCTCTCAACATGTCCCGAAAAAGGAAAAATTAGGGTTTAGGGTTTTGAATTTAGGATTTAGGGTGATGGTGACCATAAACATGAATCCTGAAGAACGGGATTGTGGAGTCTCTGGGTTTGCAATCAAGCCCTAGCAGTGGAAGCCCTAAAATTGTGTCCTGCAAACTCTTACAGGCACTGTATTCCCCATAGAAGCTCCCTTTTTGCCCACTGAAAGCCCTGGATAAGCCTCAACCCAAACCCAAACCCCAAACCCCAAACCCCAAACCCCAAACCCCAAACCCCAAACCCCAAACCCCAGACCCCAGACCCCAGACCCCAAACCCCCAACCCCCCAAACCCCAAACCCCAAACCCCTCGCCCGAACCTGCCCTCCAGCGCTGGAAGGCGATCCCCAGCATCCGAGGGCCGATTCGACCCACACAGGCCTGGAGCACCCAGGGTCTGCTTAATGACCGGTTTAGGGTTTAGGGTGGGGTTAGGGTTTAGGGTTTAGGGTTTAGGTAGGGTTTAGGGTTTAGGGTATACGGTTTCTTATAGGGAGTTTACAGGACGCAAGGCACCAGGATGTGGGGTTTCGGGGTTTTGGGCTTTTTCGGGGTTCAGAGGGTTTGTGGGGTTTATAGGGTCTACAGGGTTTTCAAGGTTTGCAGATTGTTGTGGTTTTTGTCGGATTCTCGGGTTTGGGATTCTATTCTTGGAAACCATAAACCCGAATCCCTCAACCCTTGTAAGGCTTATGACACGGCTTATCAGGGCCATACGGCCTTGCCGGGTGCTTGCGGTGGTTTATGGGTGCACAGAGGGATTCCTCACAGAGCGTGGAAGTTTATTGGGACAAATAGGGTTCAGGGTTTAGGGTTGAGGGTTTCCTCTAGGAAGTTTCTGGGGTTTAGAGCTTCTGATACTGTAGGAAGTTTATAGGGTTTGTTGACGTGTATAGGGTTTAGGGTTTCTTATAGAAAGCTTTTGGGGTTCACAGGGTTTAGACCCCCCGGGGCTGCGCAGCCGCTGCCCTGCTCCATAAGGCTCCACGCCTTCCTGAACGCGCAGCGGGCCTACGTGCTAGATCATGGTCCCTTTTTGTTGGGGTTCCCCCTTATACCACTAACAGTCCGTACTAGGGATTATAGTAGGGGGTACTATAATCCCGATTAAGGACTGCTAGAGTAAGGGGGAACATCCAAGTTCCTACTCTAGCTCGGAGCCTATGCAATAGTGCACTATAGAGTTATAGAGTATGCCGAAAAGGGACCGCACGTTTGGGGAGCTGCCTGTGAACAGAGGGCTGCTTGGTTCAAGCCCCGCAAGCCTTGTGATGGGTGCTCCTCCCTCTCAGGACTGCCTCCCAGGTTTGGAGGCACTACCACGGCTCAGAGGCGCGTGTGGTCCCATTGCGGTAGAGGGGGATCTCTGGGGTCCGAAGGCACTTTTAGAAGGAGGGTTTAGGGTTTAGAGCGACAGTTTGTTTAGGATATGGGGACCCCCTAGACTAGACCCTAAACCCTAAACCCTACACCCCAAACCCCACACCCTAAACCTAAACCCTGCATTTTCTTGGCCAGGAGGAGCGACCGCAGGCTGCTGCGGCAGCGCCACAGGCATGGCTTTGATTCCTTGTGCCGCCCAAACCCTATAACCCTCAATCCTGCCGGAAACCCTAAACCCTAAACCCTAAACCCTAAACCCTTAACCCGAAACCCTAAACCCTAAACCCTAAACCCCAAACCCTAAACCCTAAACCCTAAACCCTAAATCCCATCCCCTAAGCCCCAAACCCTAAACCCTAAACCCCAGCTTCACCGGCGCATCGCCCGCCAGGATGAACCACCGAGTCGATGAAGCCGCCCAGAAGCACTGGCAAGAAGGCTATAGTATTAGGGGTACCCTTAACAGACACCCTGTTGGGGTTTAGGGTTTAGGGTTTAGGGTTTGGGGTTTAGGGTTTAGGGTTTGGGGTTTAGGGTTTAGGGTTTAGGGTTTAGGCAACACAACCTAACCACATAGACTAGCCCTGTAACCCTCCAGCCCCACTGCGCCCTTCTTCTCGCAGCGACCTGACTTGAGGTCGACGACATGCGCAGCTGCAACCAAAGTGACAAAAAGTCTGCGACAGTGCAGAAATCGTGTCACGTGTTGGGAGAGTGCAGCAGGCGAAGCCTCCGAGAGACAACGCTTTCCACCTGATCCAAGATATCTCGGCAGTCGATTGCACGTAGTGACGTGATGAGTTTGTCATCTTTGTGTTGTACTGTTCAACGCATTGCAGCTCTTGAGTGCACAAAGCTGAAACAGAGGCAGGGGCGCACACGCACACATACATAGAAGTATATACGTACATCTCAAATATGAATGCATACAAGCATTTGCAAATACAGACGCGCCATGGCCAAATTTCAAAAGCACGCGGCGCTGGCTCGATCATCCACTGCACCTACTGGACTGAGCTCCTTCCTCAGCGATGACAGCGACGAGGAGAAGGAGAAGTTTTTGAAGCTAAAGGCCCACGTCATCGATGAAATGTTTGACAAGAAAACGGTGCGTGGAGTTGAACGGAATATCTTATTCCTGAGCAACGCGCAGGCGGGTGTATGCACACAGTCGCCTGACCACATGCAGAAGCTGCTGGAGAAGTTTCCCATGCATCGAAAGCCCAAAATGGTCATCAACCTTTGTGTGTCCAAGGGCTTCTCGGAGCACGTGAACTCCTGTGCATGGTTCACTCAAGCTTTGTATCCTGGACTGGTTGCAAACAACCCGCCTTTCACCGAAGAGGACAGGGAGTCAGAGGCGTTGGAGCGTCTGGACCGGTTCATGGCGGACATCATTTTGCCTCTGGCGGTGGAGACGAATGCTTTGATCTTTTGCTCAGGCATCAGCAAGATGTGCGTGCTGACAAGTTCTTTAACTCGTGTCGTCGCCGCATGCGGGCACAGGTGGTTGAGGGACATGCCCTTCACGATGATATACACGACGCCTCACCTAGTTCAGCTATTTGCCTCTGACTCTGGCAAGGAGAGCGAAAAGGCTCTTTTCTGGCGAGAGTTGGCCCAAGTGTGCAAGCCATGGAAGGATCGCTTGGGTGATTTTCAGAATGCTTTCAACAGGCGTCAAAGCACAATGCCGCTGCCAAGCATGGACTTTGATCTGGATGAGAGGGCAGTGAATTTCCTTATCGTTGACTCCCTGGGGGTTCCAAGTTCCAAGAAGGACGCTTTACTCGGGCAGTGCGGTCCCTACAATCATCTCATGACACAGTTGGTGGGACTTCTGTGGCGCTCCCTTCCAGTCTTGGCCTTGAAGACCGGTGGGGGAGATAGGGCCTTCGGAGGCTCGAGCCTCAGTGGAGTCACCGATCCCAGCACATTGCAGGCCGCGTATAACTTTGCTGCAGCCGGGATGCCCGTTTTGTGGATTGACATGCGGAAAAGGAAGGAGACCAAGGAGAAGGCGCAAGACGATGCGGGAAGAAAGAAAGCATTTCAGCGGACCCGATCATCCACCAGGGACTTAGAAGTGCAGGTCAAAGAGAAAAAGGAGGGGTATTTCTGGACACTGGGAAGTAGGCCGGCTGGACAGGCTTCCGGTACGCTCACGCCTGCTGACAAGGCCAAGGCCGCCAAGGATTTCATAGAGAACGCGATGAAGAGCTTCACGGAGCACCTGCAGAAGCTAGAGAAGAAGGGCAAGACAGAAACATTGGATGCTTGCAGCATCGCATATTTCCGTCACGTTTGCGAGACAGCGCAAGCCTCCTCAAGGGAGGTGTCGTTATTGGCAAGGCACCTGGCTGAAGAGACATTCCTGCACGTGTTTCTGCAACATCCACCGGAAGGCTGCCAATGCGAGTGCGAACCTTGTCAAGGAGCGCGTGCACTAAAAGGCAAACAAAAGCCGCGCTGGCAGAGAAAAGCACTAGGAGGTGTCCAAAACGAGCCACAGGAAGGGCATGGCGAAGGATCTGATGCAGGCGCTGTGCTTAGTAAAGGAGCTTGTCCACCCGAAGGCATCCAATCCCAACCAGAGGAAGAGCATGGCAACGGAAATGATGCAGTCGAATGTGAACTTTGTCGCAAAGCTTGTAAGGAGGCAATGTGGAGTCCGAAAGCTTTTGGCCCACACATTGAGGCCACGATGTTGTGTGCTCGCTTGATCCTGTCCTCGCCCAAGACGTACCAGGTAAACTTGCATGACAACCTTGAGGAATCTGTTGGCAAGAAGCTAAGGAGCCTCGCAACCGCAAACAGGCTCCCACAGCGCAATCCGCAGGAATCAGCACCCCTGCTTCGCAAAGCCTGGAGAGACTTCAAGGTCGCAATGCGCATGGCAGACATCTACAAGAGACGAAGTAAGATTCTGACGGCTGCTCAGCTACTGAACGGCTGGCTCATCATCTTCGTTACTGCTCTCAGTGCAGAGGCATATGGCCGAAGCGATGGGGCCGACAGTTTCAACGTACTGAGTCAAGTAAATTTTGGCTTAGCTTCCGTGGCCACGATTATCGTCTCATGCAACTCGCTGCTGAACACACGAGCTCGTTGGCAGCAGCTTCGACTACATGCATGCCAGCTCAAGGGGCTGATTTGGCGCTACCGCACCAGGGTGGAGCCGTTTCACATATCAGCGTCGTCTGGCGTCAACGACCCAGAGATAAAATTCAGAGAGGAGATTTGCCGTTGGAGATATTCGATACTGAGTGCTGCAGACCTGGAGAGCACGACCTTTGAGAAGGAATGGGCGCGCATCCCAATGGAAGATTGCCCAGACGAGCAGGATTTGGATCGGCTGATCCAGGAACCAGACCCTCTTGCAGAGGAGGAAGATCGAGAAGTGTCTAGCCAAGTTGTACACATGTGTACTCTCATGACACGTACACAATGCGACGCTTCACAAGCCTTCTTCCCGATGAAGCGTCATGTTTTCGCGGACAGCCTGCGGCCAAGGCTTTATAACTAGAGCCATGTCTCTGACGATCTCTCTCTCTCTCTCTCTCGCTCTCTCTCTCGCTCTCTCTCACTGTCATTCCCACTTTCTGATGGTCTCACTCCTGCTCTGTCTTGCACTTAGTCCCATCTGGCCTGAAAAGTTGTCACGCCGCACTCCGGCTCTTGTCATTGCTTTCTTATGCCTGGGCTTTCCCATCCCTTGTTCCAGCAACAATGACAGAACCGCCCAACCACCCAATTGTGGCCCTCTCTGCACTGTAGCCTTCACAGCTCGTAACTAAACCTTCTAAGCTTCAGCCCAAAAGGTCTGTACATCAGATTGTTACTTCCAGCCAATGTCCTTTAACTGCAGAGAAGCTGGTCTGGTCCTGCTTGGTTTCTCAGGGTGAACTCCATGCGCTAGAGCCAGCCCTGTTTAATCACAGCAGTCCGCATTGCCGCAAGGTCCACATAGAAAGTGAGGATTGCTACAAGCAGTTCTTCTCACCAGTGGCCCCGGATGACTACGTGAAAGAACGCATCAAGAGAGCGATCGCCTTCGCCCGCAGGAAGATCCCTCCCAATGAGCGCATGCACTTCATTTTTCAGATGCTAGTTGTATCTTTGACCATTGTGGGGACCGTGATCTCTTTCATGGGGATGCAACGCTGGCTGACCATCAGTGTTTCCCTTGCAGGCTGCTGCGCTGCATGGACTGACTTTCAGGATTATGGCAGGAAGGCAACACGCCACACGTGGACGGTACAAGCCTTGGAGCAAACGCTGACATGGTGGCAGAGCTTAACAGGCGTCGAGCAAGCATCTGTTGACAACATCTCAAACATGATCAAGTCTTCAGAGGCAGCGATCCTTGCGGAAACGGCGGCCTGGATGTCAACTCCTGCGAGTGAGACCACGGTCTCCGACATGGAAGCGAGAAAGAAGAAAGATCCAAAGCGTGCCACGCTCAGAGCTGACACCGAGTAGAATGTTTTTGCACAAATCCAAATGCTCACGGCAGAAGTCGTGGTCGCCTGCTTCGCGCCGAAGGTGCGGACTTGAATGAATGCTTTAAAGCTAGAAAATTCTAGGGTGCAACTCACAAGGCTCTGTGTAGACCGCCCCTGTTCAACCCAGGCAGTTGGCCAGCGAACTAGAGCAGGACGGCCCTTGGCGAGTTGTCATGAAAAAGTTGCTGTCCTTAGAGTTTCATGTTGGCACCGATGATTCGAGTCTCTAAATGTGTGGAACTTCTCCAAGACATCTGCAGGTCAGTGATCAGTCGTCAGGGAAGTTTATTGCTAAAACAAATTACACGCAGCAAATTTGACCTCGCAGTTTCCTGTGTCGTTCTTCTTGAGATCAGCAGCGAGGTAAGAACTTCAGCGGCCACCGTGGAGTGGAAGAGTGGTAGAGTGGCTGCGTCATGTGAATTTGAGTGGATAAGTATGTCCGGGTGCTTAGAGCTTACAGGGTGTAGGGTTTTGGGGATCTGGTGCTTCTAGGGTTGTAGGGTTTTTTATGTTCAGGTTCCTAAACCAAAGCAGGCTTCAGCCCCTAAAGCTCTTAAGCCACCAAAAAACTCTAAAGCCCCAAAAAGCCTTTAAAACCCTTGAGACACCCAAAAGGTCCACAAAACTCTGCCCAGAGCCCTGCACGCCAGAAGATGCTAAGGCTCGAGCCCTAAACCCTACATCCTAACCCAAAAAAACCCTAAACCTCTGAAACTCCAGGTAGACCATGAACGGTGGAATTCCACACCCAAGATGGCCAGCTGCGCGATGTTCAGGCTTTATGAGCGGGTCAGCCTGACCCGTGGCGTTAGCGGCAGGGTTTGGGGTTTAGCTTCGAGGGGTCATGGAGGTGTTTAAGAGCCAACCCCCTGAACCTCAGCCCCAAACCCCAAACCCTCAACCCCGAACACTGAAAATATCAAGCAAATGACCCCTGACACCCCTTGGAGCCCCGGAGCTTGGGAGCTTTACATGGTTTAGTGGCTTGCATAGGGTTTAGGGTTTAGGATTTAGGGTTTAGGGTTTCTATTACAACGTCGAGCCATGAGCTTTGGCGTCTTCCAGCAGCTGGCACCCGGCTCGGTGGTGGACTGCCCGCACCCCAGAAAACCTCGAGACCGGGTTAGGGTTTAGGGTTTAGGGTTTAGGGTTGAGGGTTGAGGGTTTAGGGTTGAGGGTTTAGGGTTTAGGGTTTAGGGTCTCGGGTTTCGGGTTTCGGGTTTAGCGTTTAGGGTTTAGGGTGGAAGGTTCTTGAGAGCTGGGGCCCATTTTGAGGATCGGAGATTGGGGTGGTTTCCACATTGACGGTGATTATCCATTACACAGGGGGTGATTCATGTCAATGTCTTCTTGGTATTTTCCCAGGCTCCTGTGTTGCCTTATATACACCCCCGGGCCGAAAGTTTCGAGCCACGGCACATGTTGGATGGCATGCAGACAGTGAAGACTCGCACGGAGTAGCGGAGTGCCGAGAAGTGGCGTTTTCACTACTCCTGCTAGTGGAGTACCCCGTTTTAACAATATAGTACTATTGAAGTTCCGGAGAGGCCCCCAGGCACACTTGTGTCAGGAGTCTATGGGGAAGAGGGCGGGGCACAGGTGGTAAGGACTTGTAGATGTCGGAGGGTCGAACTATTGGCCCGGCGCAGTATACCCCAAACAGTACATCCAGTCAAAAAAGCCAAACAAGACTGTGAGGCCCACCTACCTCAAGGATTACAGTAGCACAGGGGTATCTGATCCCAGTATTGGGGTTCGTGTGTTCCGCAAGGAAAACACAGGGCAACACAAGTTGGGAACATTTCCTCTTGGCAGCTAAATCCTACATCCAATTCTCAAGCAACATGAAGGAAAAGACGCAGCCCTGGGCCGTAAGCCCTAGTGCGCCTAACCTCGAAGATGCCAAAGCCCCTTTCGCAGTTTTCACAGTTTTGCATTGTGTGGGAGCGTGGGGGGGGGGGGGCAGGGCTTTGTTTGGGCCAGGCTCGACGTTCGCGTCCTTCACAAGCGCCGAGGCAACAAACCTCGCCAGGAGCTCGGTTTACTACAGCCCTAAGCCCCTGAACGTGCATCCCTAAAACCCTTAAGCCGAATAAGATAATAAGAAGAGTACAGAAATAATCAGAATAATACTAATACTAAATAACGAGAATAATGACAATCATAAACTCCCAGACCCGAAGCCCCCAGACCCTCAAGGCCCTAGAAGCCCTAAAAAAGAATTCCAAGGTCCTCACCAGGGGAGACCGACTGGAGGTCTACCACCTCCTCAAGAAGCAGAACAGGCGGAGCGTAGTGTTTCGGGTTTAGGGTTTAGGGTTTAGGGTTTAGGGTTTAGGGCTAGGGTTTAGGGTCTATAGGGCGTAGGGTTTAGGATTTAGGGTTTAGGGTGTAGAATGGGTTGGGCTGGCCACAAAGCCTGCGAATCAAGAGCCGTGTTTTCGAGGTTTCTGGTGGTCTTGTAGATTTTGTTCAATCAGCTGTATACTGGAAGGAAATAAATGTACAACTTAACAGTGTAATAAGATAGCAAGAATTGAGGACTTGTACATGTTGAACCGACTGAGAAAATGCAACGAGACAACCAACACTCAAACAAACGCGACAGGATTTTTGTTTAGTTCCGTACAAGTGGTGCCAACCGTGACCCGAGTCCAGACAGACCAGCGATAGAACTGGTACAAATTTTGGAAATATCAAATATCGTCTCTTCTGCTCTGGTCTGGTCATGGTTGGTACCAGCTGCAAACAACAAGAACGGTTTTTAGTGCTCCTGCCGATTTCTACTAGAGCCAAACCACCAAGACCCTGAAGCCTCAAAACCCCAAAGCCCAAAACCCGTAAATCCTAAACCCTAAACCCTCACCCAAACCCTAAATCCTAAATCCTAAGCCCTAAACCCTAAACCCTAAACCCCCTGCTGTCAGGCTGCGACTGGCCTTCGCATCGCCCTTAGCTGGCAGACCCGAAGCGCTAGCGGCCATCCGCCCTCGGCCAGGCGCGCTTTCGAGGGTTCAAGAATTTTGGGGGGTTTAGGGTTTATGGTTTGGTGTTTAGGCTTTAGGGCTTAGTGGTTCACTTACTGGTTCCTGTAAGAGCCAAAAACCCCAGCGAAACCCTTAACCCTAAACCGCCAACCCCTAAGCCCCCGAGAGCCCCCCTAAAGCCCCTAAACCCTTAACCCTGAAGCGTTTTCAGTCAACCCCGGGTCGAACCAGAAACGGCAAAAGCACACGCCCCAATTCTCTCTCAGCTGAGATGCGCATAAAGTTCGGCGCGAGACCCCCCCCTTCACAGGAGCACCGGAAAATCTGGTGATCCTATTCCGCCGGGCTACCTACCTGGTGGTCGTGCGCTATGAGCCGGTGGGGGGGGGGGAGGAGGTTAGCGGGGGGGTGGGGGTTAGGTTTGATGGGGGTTTGGGACCTCGTTTGGGAATCTAAGGCGTTGGAGGGTTCTTGGGGGATTGGCTGGTTTAGTGGCTCAAGTGGGTTCGCCCTCGGATCTCAGCGCCCCTGTGGGGCCTGCAAGGGGTCGGATGGGCAAGGGCTGTGGAAGTTCCAGCAGAGTACACTGGGTTTAATCAAACCCGGACCTAAACCCTAACCCGAACTGAGCCCTGAACCGTGAACCCTCCATGCCTAGGACCCTAAAACCCTAAAAGACCACCTAAGCCAATTGGGCCTCTTGGCGGGGTTTATGGCTGAGCCTTAAACCCGAGTGCCCAAATTCAAACCCCCCCCCCTTTCTGCACCCCACAGCCCCAAACCCTGCAAGCATCATGAGCCACAAAACCTGCAAAACAAAACAAAAAAAACGCATCTTCCCTGAAACCTGATGAATCCTGAGGGATTTTGGAGCTTAGGCGGCAGCAGTCTGCCTGAAACCTTTACAGCTTACACCCCTCCCCCCTCCGGGTACAAGCCTTGCACATCCGCGGAGGCGCTTGGTACTCTCCAGACGTGTGGCCAGCACCTGCTGATCTCGGCTACCGCCGGGGCTCCGGCTGAGGGTTTAGGGTTTATAGGGTTTAGGGTTGACCGGGTTTTAAGGTTTAGAGGGTTTATGGGGTTATGTTGCTTTTAGGGTTTTTGGGGTTGTTAGGGCTTTTCGGGTTGTTCAGGGGTTTTAGGGAATAGGGTATGGGGCGACTATGTGGAGGGGGCGGCGCGGCTTTGGGTTGGGGTGCTTTCAATGAGCAGGCTTTAAGGGTTTAGGGTGTAGGCTAGCGGGCATAGGGGAGGGGGGCGTAAGAGAGGTTTATGGTTTTATAGGGTTCGTAGGGAGAGCAAGGCTTAAGGCTGAATGTCATTCAGGTCCCTTGGCCCAATTCGGAGAAAGCAGGCGATCGGCATGCTGTGCTCCTGCGGTGCGTCTTGCTCAGGTGCTGTAGCCACGACCTTTGGGGGTTCGGGCGGTTAGAGGCTCTCTTTCACGGGCTGCTGGCCATGCCTCTCTTCTCGTGTCTCTGGGACCTATTTAGTGGCGGGAGTTCGACAGCCAAACCTGGTCCCCCAGTCAGCTACCGCTTCGCGCAGTTGACGGATGTCCACATCGAGCCCTTCTACAACCCCGAGCGCGGGCACTTGAAGGGAGGCGTTTGCAGAGTTCCGGAGGCCTTTAACAAGTCCAGGTGCATCCCCTTCGAGGTGGAGCCCGAGGCGGATGCGTATCCGCTGGGCAGGCTGAACTGCGACCCTCCGGTGGCCTTGCTCAGGTCGATCCTTGAGCACATGGAGCGCGTGGCTCGCACAGACAAGCCGGACTTCGTGCTGTTTCTATCTCCCCCTTGGAAATTACTTTCTTAATTTTTGTTCATATACAACCCAAGAGGATATTCAAAAATAGTATTTTTATGAAGGTTCTAAGGGGAGTATAGGTTTACCGGGGACATCCCCAGCCATCAGCTGTCGTGCCAGTTCCATCAAGCACGGACCATCGAGCTGGTCATCGAGATGATGGCGAAGGGCATCTTGGTGCCAACTGGCCGACGTTTTTGCGTGTTGCGGGGCCCCCATAGACTGAACCCTGAAACCCATCAAACCCTAAACCCTAAATCCCAAACCCTAAGCCCTAAACTGTAAGCAGCTGACTTTGTTTGAAATCGGCGCCAAGGAGTGAAGTCTGTGGCACCACAGCTCTATCCTGTCATGGGCAACAACGACTACTTCCCGAACTACAATGCTGCCAGGCTGTCATAATTTTGATAGTCGGGTTTATGGGGGTTTGCGAGGTTTGCAGGGTTTGTGGGGGGTTTGCTGTTTAGGGACGAACTCTTGGGTTTAGGGTTTAGGATGTTGAGGATGCTGTGGAGGTTGTTGGTTGTGAGTTTTGGGTTTCGGTCTTTGTTTTGCTCGTCTGTGGAAGTGGAAGGGAACCCCAACGAACGAGTCACACAAGATTTTGAGCCTGAAGTTCGGACACCCCAAACCCAGGCCAAGTTGAGCAACAACCCTGGCCAATCTTCAGCCGAAAGGTTTAGGGGGGTTTGGGGTTTGGGGTTTAGGGTTTAGGGTGTAGGGTTTAGGGACACAGACAAGGTGTCTCTGGAGCCCAATAGCCCGTGGCAGCAGTTCGTGGCCTCCCTCTACGGGCGCGAGGGGGTGCTAAGTGGCGAGCACCTCGGGCCAGTAAGGAAGTGGCCAATTTTTGAAATAGGTTTTGGGTTTAGGGTTTAGGGTTTGGGGTTTAGGGTTTTTTAGGGCTTAGGGTTTGGGGTTTAGGGTTTGGGGTTGAGTGGCGTGAAGACATCACAAAGAAGCAAATGTAGTTGTAAGCCGAAAGCCAACATGCATCTGGTGGCATTTTCAAGTTCAGTGCCCCAGCAGTTGAGTCCAGAATCCCAACTGAGCGACGAACCTCACGAACCCAGCAAGTTGCTGTTGAAACTCAAACGTCATCTTGTGCTGGGGCTATTGCGTGGTAGTCTATGATATAAAGAAAGCCCCTTCTGAGGCTTCTGCACAGGGAAGAGAGTCTTCTACTGGCTCCTATGTACAAGGGCCTTGAGGGTCTCCACCTGCCTTGCAAAGGCAAAGGTCCCCCATATGTTCTTCCGGAAACCTAGCGCCGAATCTCCCAAGCAAACCTCTAAGAGGTACCCCGAATGTTGGGCCGAGGCAGCTGACGTCCTTCGCCCGAGGCGGCTACTATTCCGCCACGCCACGGGATGGTCTGAAGCTCATTGTCCTGAACACCGTGGTCTGGAGCCAGAAGCTTGGCTGGGATGAAGGAAGGGGACGATAGGTACGGTTGGGATTCAGGGGGCCACGATGGGGGGTTCAAGGCATGAAGGCCATAAGGCCCTAAGACCCTAAGACCCTGAGGCCCTGAGGCCCTACGGCCCTAAGACCCTGAGGCCCTAAGGCTCTAAGGCCTTAAACCCTTAAATCGAAACCCGAAACCCCAAACCCTAAACCTTCGCAGGAAGGTCCTGGATTGGAATGGTGCCCCGAAGAAGCACGTGAAGCATCATCCCGACATCTCAGAGGCTGGATCGTCAACTCCGAAAGGCCCTTAATCCCTAAACCCTAAGCCCTAAACCCTAAACCCTAAACCCCAAGCCCTAAACCCTAATCCCTACACCCTGAACCTAAACCCCTACAAAACCATGATTGTACACCCTGTTTTGTTTGGTTTTCTGACGAGCGAACTGGAAACCTAACCCCTACTTGTAGCCTAAACCCTAAACCCCAAACCCTGAGGCAGGACTCTACAGGGGCGCGGATGCCCCTATGCCCGGCGCCGATTCCAGCGCTTGGGTCTGGGACCAGGACGTGGCGAGCAAGAAGTGCCTGTGCTGTGGTTTAGGGTTTAGGGTTCAGGGTTTAGGGTTCAGGGTTTAGGGTTTAGGGTTTAGGGTCTGGGGTTGCTGTGAAATGCTCCTTACTCAAACTGTCGCACATCAAGAGATTTTTTCTTGAGCCCTGAAAGGTGTTACCAAAATTATCAGGAAGAATCAGGAAGCCATTGCAGATTGAGTGTTTAGGGTTTAGGGTTTACGGCTTAGGGTTTAGGGTTTACAGCTTAGGGTTTGTGGGTGAGGGTTCGTGGTGCGAGTTTGGATCACTCGAAGGCTCTTCGTCGACTGCGACGCTCGTCCCGCCGACCCCTACGGGCAGCTCAAGTGGGCCCGCAAGGACCCCAATGCCCAAGGTTTAGGGGTTAGGCTTTAGGGTAATTAATCCTAAACCCTAAACCCTAAACCCTAAACCCTAAACCCTAAACCCTAAACCCTAAACCCTAAACCCTAAACCCTAAACCCTAGAACCCTCAATCCCCCAGTTAGTTTCCGTGGAGTTTGGGCTCCAGGGTCTCCTGTGACAAACGAGGCGGGTTCTTTCCGTTCTGGGCGTTGTGTAAGCCTTATGTCTCACGAAAATCACAGGTTCCAAACACCGGAATGACCACACAACATCCCTCCGAAAACAAATCAATAATACCCCCGCAGCGTGGCTTTTCGCAAGGATTTTCCCTTAAAGCCTTAAATCCTCAAAGGGCGAAGGGTTCAGGTCCAGAGGAGGTTGATCTGGTTCTAAGGCCAGGGATACGGAAGCAGCAACAAAAGGCACACAGACGCACACACGCCCGCAAGAAGTAGGGGCATGTCGCTTCAAATTACAAAGGAATACAGGTGAGATTGAGTTCTTCCCAGACACAGAGGAATTTGAGGTGTCTTAAAAAGGAATTTCTCATCAGCATACTATAGAGGAAATACAGGTTCCTTCTCAAGAATAGAGGCACTTACGATTTTCCAAGAGGAAGCCTTAGCCTAAATAATCTGACGGGCACACCGCGCGCCCTAGCTCAACTCCCAAACCCTAATCCCGAAACCCGAAACCCTAAGCCCTAAGCCCTAAGCCCTAAGCCCTAAGCCCTAAGCCCTAAGCCCTAAGCCCCAAGCCCCAAGCCCCAACCCTTATGCCCTGTGCCCTATAAACCCTGAACCCTAAACATCCCTCAGCCTAAGTTCGCTCCAAATGCCACAAGCCAAAGCTTCGGAACCCAGCCCCCTAAACCCTGAGCCCTGTAACCCGGTAAGCCCGAAACCGAAACCCCTACCCTCGCCCTAAGCCCTACACCCCAAACCCTAAACCCTAAACCCTCAACCCTAAACCCTAAACCCTAAACCCTTGGATCCATTCCGGGGCGTGCTGAACCATGCCAGGAGCTGCACCACGCTCGCAGCGCCGGCCAGCGCGTCATTGTGGCCGGGCACGTGCCGCCGGGCAACAAGGCGGGATGGCAGGTTTAAGGTTTAGGGTTTAGGGTTTAGGATTTAGGGTTTAGGGTTAGGGTTTAGATGTTTTCATGAGGCTTAGGGTGTTAGGGTTTGTGGTCGCAGGGTGGTAGGGTTTATGGTTACTTTGGGGCTTTTTGTTTCAAGTAGTGGCTTTGGAAGTTTGTGGGGGCGAAAGGTCTTGCCGAAGAGCGTTCGTTCAATGTCAAGGGAAACCCTAAACCCCAAACCCGAGGCCCCAAACCCTAAACCCTAAATCCGCAACCCCAAGCGCTGCCAGCGCTGCTGCCTGAAAGCTGTCAGCGGCTGCCAAGGTTGGGAGCAACAACTTCTGCCCGCGGCACTTGAATGACTTCAGAAGCCTCGTGCAGGACTTTGCGGACATCATTGAGGCACCACACACCAATGTACCCTAAGCCCTAAACCCTAAACCCTAAACCCTACACCCTAAACCCTAAACGCGAATCCCTAAACCCTAAACGCTAATCCCTAAACCCGAAACCCTAAGCCCTAGACCCAGTACCCTTGATGGTGTCTGCGTAGTTTCAGTCTTTTCGGGCTTCCCTGAACTCTAAGCCTAACCTTCCCGGTCGAAACCACCGACAACGTGACACCCCAAGTCTCCTGAAGCTTCAAGGCCTCTTTCTCTACTCACCTTCAACTTTTTGAAGGGTTCTTTTGCAGATTGTAAGTCCATTGTGTTTGATCGTGTGGGGGGGGGGGGGGGGTTGCAGCCCTATACCCTAAACCCGAAACCTTTGGTGCGGCTGGTGCGCAGGTGCAGCTCTATGGCGATCATTCCAACGACGAGTTCCGCATGGCGCCTCAGATGAGTGAGTAGGGTCCAGGTTGGGCTGTTAAGTGCTTGGGGTTTAGTTTAGGGTGTGTAGGGCTTAGGGTTTAGGGCAAAGGGTTTCCCAGCATGTGGGCGATTCGGTGTAGATTCGTGAGGTGTGGGACGATGGCCCGCGCCCCCGCGCTGTGTCCTCGGTGTTGGTGAGTGCAGGCAGCGAGCTGCCAGCGTATGCACGAAGCGCTGATCCCCTTCAGCCCTTCAACCCGAAGACCCTAACGCCATGAGCCTTGAACCCTTAACCTGAACTCTGATGTTTTCGGATCTAGTGTCCATCTGTTTCGAGCCGAAGGCTTCTGAAGTGAAAAACTAAACAGTTTTCATGAACTGAAACCCTTACACCCCTCCTCCCCGAACGCGTCAACCGAAACACTTAAACGTTTAAATCTCTTGAACCCTCGAAACCATCAAAACCCACCCAAAACCCTCGAAACCCTCAAGCACCTCCGAAACACGCAAAGAATAGCCAAACCTCCCAAACCCTTCCAACCCGCACACCCAAGAATTTTTCCCCTCCTCGCGCGCCATTCGGTGACGTCAGCCATCTCCTGTGCACGCAGGCGTCACGCCTCGCAAGCACTGCAACCCTTCATGGAGGACCTTGTGGTGGTTTTGGGTTTAGGGACAAAGGGTCAGGGATGAGCAGTGCTTTGAATTTCAGGGTTTTCGGTTTTTGCGGGCTTCGCGTTTAGGCATGAACATCTAGGGTTGTGAGGCCCGAAGAACTTGAGAGGTTCAGGGTGCAGGCAGTTACCTGTTCCAGGCGCGCTTGCAGCCTTCCAAGCCACCAGGTTCTATGGATTGCGAAAGCAAGTCCGACAACACCTAGACCCTGAGGTTCTAGACACATATAGTCATTGCCGAAAAGCCGGCCCTAAACCCTGACAGGCTTCAGGGGGCAGGCGCTTGAAGACCTCCTAGGGTTTAGGGTTGGTGGTTTGGGGCTTTTAGAGTTGAGGGTTGGAAGAGTTTGCGCAGGTTTGTTGTTTTGCTTGTTATCGAAAACACCGGCCTCTCAGCCCTTGGCGAGTCATCTAAAAATTTGTTGGGCAGTTTGTTTTGTTCTTTTCTTTTTCCTTTCCTTCTCTTCTTCTTTTTCCTCTTCCTCTTCCTCTTCCTCTTCCTCTTCCTCTTCTTCTTCTTCTCAAAGGGGGGGGGGTAGGAGATTCTGAACAAGCCTTTGTGTCTTTGTTTTCAGAGCCCTTTGCAACAACATCTGTGTGGAATGTGCCGCGCGCCTGCGTGAGGCGTTTTGGAAGGGGTCCTTTGGGATTCTACATGCGCTCGCGGGTTTGGGGTTCAGGGTGTGACGACATGCGATTCCTATTGGCCGTTTAGGGTTTTTAGCCCTCATTCTTCTCATGATTCCCTTCTGGCGACATCAACGGCTACTACACTACCCCGAGCCTGCCCTTGTTCATGGCACATCTCGTCTGCCCCTTAAAAACCCCAACCCCCAAATGATACGAAGTCCAAACCTGACATCCAACTCCTAAACCCTAAACCCCAAACCCTAAAATCCCTAAACCCTAAATGCCGTTTGCGGGAGGATGTTCGAGGTGTCCGAAGATCATCAGGTCTCCGACTTCTCGCAGTATTTCCTCCGGCTGGCAGATGCTCGGCTCGGACTTAGCGGTGCTTATATCCCGGGGAGTGCCATCGCAAACCCTACACCCGGCCCTGCACCCTAAACCCGATACACCCTAAACCCTAAACCCTTAACCCGAAACCCTAAACCCTTCAAACCTTTGAACCCCTAAACCCAGGACACCGACATCGAGCTGAACATGGACCGCCGTTGGAAGAAGCTGCACCGCCTGGGCCGGGACGAGGAGGTCTCCTGGAAGTTCTGGCAGAAGCAGAACCCTGGCCAGGGTTTAGGGTTTAGGGTTTAGGGTTTAGGGTTTAGGGTTTAGGGTTTAGGGTTTCCTAAACCTATAGTTCCTGAAGTCCCTAATGTCCCTAAACTCGCCAAACTCGCTAAGCTCCCCAAACTGCGTAAACCCTAAACCCTAAACCCTAAACCCTAAACCCTAAACCCTAAACCCTAAACCCTAAACCCAGGTACTCGTTCCGTGAGCAATATGGTGTCGGGTTGGACCCGGAGGAGCTCGAGGAGCGACATCTCGAAGCTCCAGGGTGTAGGGTTTAGGGTTTAGGCGTGGGGTGGGGTGGGGGGGGGGGGGGGGGGGGGGGGGGGGGGGGGGTGGGGGGGGGCAGTTAGGGTTGAGGCGTTGAGGTTTGGGGACAATTAGGGTTTGGGGTTTAGGGGCTTAGTAGGCTTTACTTGGTCGGGTTTAGGGTTTAGGGTTCAGGGCTCGAACCCCATCTTCCGGAATACAGAAACCATCCGGGATGCCCCCTATGCTGAACCCTTGTAACCCCAAACTAACAAAGCCTCAACCCCCCAGTATCCTGACAGGGCGGCGGGCTTATTTTGCGTGACCGAACACAACGCTGAAGCCCCGACCCGTGTACCCTGAACCCCTAGCCTATACACATGTCAAGCCGGATTGGGGTTGCGGGTAAATCTCGTCCTTGGACCGGGCCGCAGAGCATGCATGTCCAACAGGACTCTGGTAAATCTCTTATTATTGCTTGGTGGGAGCTCGCACTTTGGGCAGAAACATATGGCTATCCAACCCCTACACCCGAGCATCCCGCAACGCCCCAACCCTAAACCCTAAAAAAGAAAACAATACACCCAACCCTAAACCTAAACCCTAATTCCTGAACCCTAAACTTTATAAACCCTAGACCCTAACCCCAAACCCTAAACCCTCAAGCGGAGGAGCTCTGGAAGACTCTGCAGACAGATCCCAATCTCCTCCGCACCTACGTTGGCCACATGTTCTCCCAGACGGTAGGCCTGGACTTTTAGGGTTTAGGGTCTGGCTGGAGTTTTTTAGGTTCAGGGTTGGCGTTGAAGGGGTTTCGGTTTTTGGGTTTTGTTTGGGGGTTTTCGGGGGCTGAAGAATGGAGATGTCTACGGGTGCACAAAGCACACCGACCTCTCTATTTGCCCCCCAAAGATAGCAGGCCTAAACCCTAAACCCTTAACATGCCAGTACGCACCAAGGGTCGTGTGGGCCAGTGTGGGCTGAAAGACACAGGAGATAGGTCTTCGCTACTCAGGGGGGCATGGTTTTCGTGACATGTCAGCATCCTGCACCCGAAAAGCCCTCCTCAGATTCCCAAGAGCCTGCCTGAATTCCTCTGCCTTCAAAGACAGATGATCTCTACCAATAATCTCCTACAGCCCCGGCAGGTACCCCTTTGGCCTAATACTCCCCGTTTACGCCCCAGACCAAGTGTGGGGGACCCAGAGGCTCTTACGACTACTTCGACTACATCTGCGACATGCGCTACCTTGATGCCTCGGAGAACGACGCGTGCTCCGCGCTGGGGGCGCTGTTGGAGCCAAAGGAGCGCCAGGAGTTCGCCCAGCCGCTGGCGCTGCTGGAGCCGCCGTCCTTTGGCCCCCGTGAATAGCCCTACTATGCCCTACTCATTATAGGCCGTAAATTTCTAGAGTTAGACGATGTAAAGAAATTTTGAAAAAAATGAGATCTATTTTCAGGCGGACGTTCTCTAGAGGAGATTTAAAACAAGTCTTGACTACGAGTAGCACGAAAGCCTCTTCCGGCCAGGTCGCAAGCCCAAGCAGCGCGTGCAGAGATGGGCAACCTCCCCGCCGCCTTGGGAGCAAGCCTGGCGCTCAACGCGCTGCTGGCCGTTGCTTTCCTGTGGATGGCCCGCAGAAGGCGCTGGTCAGAGCCCGCCTCTTATGTGGCCCTGCCATAAGGGTGCAGGGCTTCACCCGGAGAGCCCCATACCCCTGGTTCAGGTATATACCTTAAATCATCAAGGGATCCTTAATGAGGATTTATAATTCGTGCCTAAGGGATCTCGGGATCTTTGGGCAAGAGGTTGGCTCAAGTTCCAAGCTGTTCCAGGTTTCAGGATGCGAACCCGCACGTGTATGAAGAAAGATCGGGCGCAAAGGACGACAAAGGTCGAAGCCGGCTGCTGGTGTGCCAATACACCCTATAAGCCCTATAAACCCTATAAGCCCTTTAAGCCCTATAAACCCTAAACCCCTATTCCCTGATCCCCCAAGCCTCCATCTTTCACAAGAGCCCCCCAACAGCCACAGAACCCGGCGCATCATCGGCGTCACGGCCCCCTCCATGTCAGGAGAAACCGCACATCATCGGCATCACGGCCCTCCATCTCTCAGAAGGGCCTCTTGACGGCCACAAATCCCGGCGCATCATCGGCATCACGGCCCCTCCATCTGTGACAAGACGCCCCAACAGCCACAGAACCCGGCGCATCATCGGCATCACGGCCCCTCCGTCTCTCACAAGAGTCCCCAACAGAAGCAGAACCCAGCGCATCATCGGCATCACGGCCCCTCCGTCTCTCACAAGAGCCCCTAAGAGCCAGCGCATAATCGGCATCACGGCCCCTCCGTCTCTCACAAAAGTCCCCAACAGCCGCCGAACCCAGCGCATCATCGGCATCACGGCCCCTCCGTCTCTCAAGAGCCCCTAAGAGCCAGCGCATCATCGGCATCACGGTCCCTCCGTCTCTCACAAGAGCCCCCAACAGCCGCAGAAGCCAGCGCATCATCGGCATCACGGGCCCTCCGTCTCTCACAAGAGCCCCCAACAGCCGCAGAAGCCAGCGTATCATCGGCATCACGGCCCCTCCGTCTCTCACAAGAGCCCCCAACAGCCGCAGAATCCAGCGTATCATCGGCATCACGGCCCCTCCGTCTCTCACAAGAGCCCCCAACAGCCGCCGCAGAACCCAGCGCATCATCGGCATCACGGTCCCTCCGTCTCTCACAAGAGCCCCCAACAGCCGCAGAATCCAGCGTATCATCGGCATCACGGCCCCTCCGTCTCTCACAAGAGCCCCCAACAGCCGCAGAATCCAGCGATCACGGCCCCTCCGTCTCTCACAACAAGAGCCCCCAACAGCCGCAGAACCCAGCGCATCATCGGCATCACGGTCCCTCCGTCTCTCACAAGAGCCCCAACAACCGCAGAACCCAGCGCATCATCGGCATCACAAGAGCGCCCAACAGCGTATCATCGGCATCACGGCCCCTCCGTCTCTCACAAGAGCCCCCAACAGCCAACCCAGCGCATCATCGGCATCACAAGAGCGCCCAGCAGCCGCAGAAGCCAGCGCATCATCGGCATCACGGTCCCTCCGTATCTCACAAGAGCCCCCAACAGCCGCAGAAGCCAGCGCATCATCGGCATCACGGTCCCTCCGTCTCTCACAAGAGCCCCCAACAGCCGCCGAACCCAGCGCATCATCGGCATCACGGCCCCTCCGTCTCTTACAAGAGCCCCAACAGCCGCAGAACCCAGCGCATCATTGGCATCACGGCCCCTCCATCTCCCAGAAGGCCCCCAGCAGCCAGAAAACCCGCGCATCATCGGCATCACGCGCGCGCGCGCGCGCGAACCCTCCCCGCTCCCCTCCCTCCCCCCCCTCCCTCCCCATAATCCCCTAAGCCTCTGAACCCAAAAACCCCCAAAACCCTCCAAACTCCCACACCGTAAGCTCCTCGGCCCCCTAAACCCTCAACCCTCAACCCTAAACCCTCAACCCTAAACCCTCAACCCCAAACCCTAAACCCTCAACCCTATACCCTAAACCCTAAACCCTCAACCCTCAACCCTAAACCTAAACCCTCGGAGGCCTCCCCAAGAACTCAAGGATCCCGCTGCCACGGGGCTGCGAGAGGGCTTCCAGCCAAAGGCGGGTTGAGGGTTTTAAGAAGTTCTTAGGGGTTTTGGTGGGGTTCTGGGTTTTGGAGTTTGAGGGTTTAGGTTTGGGGGGGCTCTGGATTTTCGAGGAATCTGGCTTTTTTGCGGCTTGGGGGGGGGGGGGGGTTAGGGTTTAGGAGAGTAGGGTTGAGGGTTGAGGGTTCTGCTGTTGTAGGGTTTAGGGTCTCAGGTTTAGAGCACAATCCTCCCCACATCTCTTCCGAAACCCTCAACCCCCCAACCCAACAAGGCACTAAGTCAGGCCTCTGAGAACCCTCAAGAGGACCCTGGCCCCACCCCAGAATCTTCAAATCCTGGCCTCTCGGCTCGCCTCTTGTTAAGCTGTAGACCTGGGCCCGCTAGGGTGTAGGGCCCAAAGGGTCATAGGGTTCAGGGTTTAGGGTTTCGGGTTTAGGGTTTAGGGTTTGGGGTTTAGGGCTTAGGGTTTCCAGCCGGTCCCAGCTTGTCTCATGCATGTTGGTGGCTTAACAGCTTCAAGGGGGTATTCTGCTTTTTGCTCAGGGTTTCGCAAACCCTAAACCCTAAACCCTAAACCCTAAACCCTTGTGCTCTAAGGATGTGAAGTCCAGGGCAGGGCTCATCAGAATGAAGCTCAAGCAATCGGGGGCAGGGGGCACTTTCTTCAACCTTTCTTATAGGTTTCTTCAGGGAGGGGGGGGGGGGGTCATGAGGGGTAGGTACTTAGGGAACCCTAAACCCAAAACCCAAAACCCAAAACCCTAAACCCTAAACCCTAAACCCTAAACCCTAAACCCTGGGAGCCTTAAAGAGTATGGGGCTTGTTTACGTGGTGTTCCGCAGGTTGCGGTCGATCCTGAGCAGCGGTGCCATCACCCCAGGGGTCTTGGAGGTTTTAGGGGTTTAGGGTTTAGGGTTTAGGGTTTAGGGTTTCCTTATAGAATACTACTCCAGTTGGTGTGCGAGAGTCCCGAAACCCCATAAACCTTATAAACCCCCAAAACCCGATTCAACCTACAGACCCCATAAACCTCTAAACCTCAAAACCCCCAAAAACCCCCCGAACCGCACAAACCCCACGAAGCCACATTAACAATATAAACCCGATAAACCCTAACCCTTTGCCGAATAGAGTTCCTGACAGGGTTTTGGGGGTGTGCTGTTCAGGGCTTGGCTTGGCCTGTTCTCAGCAGGGACTGTGGAAATTAGGGATTGTGGGTTTGATTAAGTTCGGGTTTAGCCCCCAAGAATCAAGAAACATCCCTTGTACGAGAACCTTCCCAAAGGCCGGCCAGTTGTAGCGTAAATATGGGGCACTTCATTCCGAAAGGCCAGACAGTTCGGTGTGTGCGTGGTCTTTGTTATTGCTTGTGCCTTGAGGGCTTGTGGTGTAGGGTTTAGGTTGGGCTTTAACCCCCTGAAGCTGTGAACCTGTGTATGTTGGAGTCTCTAAAGCCTTCTGACATTTCTTTTTCTCTTAGATCCCCTCATTCCTTACAACCCCAAACCCCTAACCCCTAAACCCTAAACCCTAAACCCTAAACCCTAAACCCTAAACCCTAAACCCTAAACCCTAAACCCTAAACCCTAAACCCTAAACCCTAAACCCTGAACCCTAAACCCTAAACCCTAAACCCTAAACCCTAAACCCTAAACCCTAAACCCTAAACCCTAAACCCTAACAGGACCACTGGTTAAAGAGACCAAAGGCCTCCTGGTGCAGTGCCTTCCAGAGCGCCTCACCGTGTTTCCCTGCAACTCCTCGGCTGGCCTGCGCGGCTGCCTCAGTATCCTGGGTTTAGGGTTTAGGGTTTAGGGTTTAGGGTTTAGGGTTTAGGGTTTAGGGTTTAGGGTTTAGGGTTTAGGGCCCTAAGCCCTAAACCCTAAACCCTAAACCCTATACCCGAAACCCCTTAAACCCTAAATCCTGAGGCCTGTAAACCCAAAACCTCTGTAAACCCTAAACCGTGAACCATCTAAGCCTCAGACCTATTAGACACTCAGCCGGATCAGTTCCACCGTGCCAAACCTTGACGGCGATGGTGTCAGGGCTCAAGCTCAGGTTCTTTTTCGGGTTTAGGGCTTAGGGTTTAGGATTTAAGGTTTAGGGTTTGGGGTTAGGTAGCCAAGGGGATTCTTCAGCTGAGTTCCCTTCTGTAAAGTAGCGCCCGGGCTACTTTTTCGGGGTTTTCAGGCGTTGAGGTGTAGGGTTAGAAGGATTTGGGGTTCGTTTCGGGTTTGATGGATTTAGGGCTGATTTCTTTTAGCAGGCCGCTTCCTCCGCCTACAAACCTGCACCGGCACCACGAAGCGGGGTGGCTGAAGGGAGGGAAGAAAGGCTAAGGAGCACCCGAACGCCGAACCCCAAATCGTATTACACCCTCCAAGCATCTAAATGTTGTAGCACCCTCTATACCCCGCCTGAACCCCAAACCCTAAACCCGAAACCCTACACCCTGAACCCTCAACCGAACCCCTCCAGATCCCCTAAACAAGTGGTGATGGCGTAGGCCGCGACTCCGCACAGCTGATGGGCGCACTTCAGTTCAACCAGGCCCTTTTGGCTGCATGCACGGTTTAGGGTTCAGGGTTTAGGGTTGAGGGTTTAGGGGCGTCTAGGGTTTAGGGTTTAGGCTTCAGGGTTTAGGGTTTAGGGGCGTTCTGGGGAAGCCATGACTTGGGGGTTTTGGTTTTTTGGGCTTGTGGTTTAGGGGTGAGCCCCAACCCCTGAACCCTAAGCCTAGCCCTTGGATCATTCGACGGTTCTGGCCTCTGAAACAGTACTTCGGGTCCTCAAGCCTCGTCCCAACAGCCGCAAACCCTGAACCCCACTCGCCTGAACTCTAAGCCAAACCCTAAACCCCAAACCCTAAACAATCCAGGGACACTAGCCTCCAATAATTGAGGTCTCAGGGTCAGTCTTCCGCCTGGGGGGTTTAGGGTTTAGGGCGTAGGGGGTGCCAAAGCAAGGGCCCACATTTTGCATCAGCGTATGCGCAGCAGAACAGTGGCCTTGGCGCGCGCGATTTTCTGGCC